CAGCATGGAAGAGCAGGCCTAAAACCCTCTCGAGCCCTTCTGTAAAGCCTCCCTCTTGTAGAGTCCCTTCTGCCAGCAGTGGCCTGAGCACGCAATTACAGGACTGCACCTTTACCAACTTTGACGAACGTGCTAATGGTAATTATTTGTCTAGGCCACACATTTAGTGATGGGAGGTATCGCTGACAGCCATAATATTTTCTATTGAATTCCAAATGTCATAACTTTGTGTGAAGCCCGTGATTGGTCAGTTAATTTAATGTGGTATGTAAAGGCATTCAAACTTGGAGAAATTATACAGTTTTAATGCATGGCATGCTAAATTGACTCCGTCAAAATCCAACGTTTTGTGTTATCTGCTAGTTCATGACCCGTAGGCTAGGAATAACCCTGAAAAGACTAATATGCTATTAGCAGTTTGAAAAAAAAATATGAATTACTCATTTCGAAATCATTTTGGGGGAAATGTTTCCTCCTTAAGCATTGGATAATTTATTGAATGACGATTAGTCGTTCCTTAACTTTTAAACCTGTTAAGGCAGAGCAAGAGAAAACTGAGGGGAAATATAAATGATGCTGTCTCTATTGCTGAAACAATAAAATAAAAAAAGCTATGTTTACATGTGGTCAATCTGCTCTTCAACACCTTTGGTCTCTTTTCTTAATATGACCCAGTCTCTTCATAATACATTACTCATCGAGGTCTGCTTGCGAATGGCACATTCTTGGGCAGTTTTGCTATCTTGGGGCGCCACAGTGGCGAGATGTTAACTTTCTCGCCTTGTATACAGGAGATCGTGGGTGGTTTGATCACAACCCTGACGCTTGTATATTTGCTTACACGTTCTCCCCATGGTCTCATGGATTTTTCTTCCGGGTCCTCCGGATTTTCCCTCCACATTTATAATCAACATGTTTTTTTTATATAATATTTAGCTGCTATAAAAAAAATCCACTTGATAAGCCACTTCGTTGAGCTATCATTTGTGGCCAGGTCGGTTTTTTTTTAAAAATAGCTCAGTGGGCCTTACCTGGTCAAATATATAAATAATTAAGTATGCAGTTAGTATTCAAATAGTTCTGCACCTGCAGTTTCATTGGTAGTGGTACTGCTGATGTTTGCTCCGTGGTCTAACACATAGAATCAATGGCGTAGCCAGGATTTTCAGGTGGGGGGGGGGGGGGCAACCCCTCCAGCAATGAAAAATAATAGTTGTTGGTAAGGACTTGTCCCTTGCTTTTTATTCGACGCGTGTGCTGCGATGACGCAGCCATCGATCAAGGATCGAATTCGAACCGTGTGTGATCGGCATCGCGCTCGCTGAAGGTATGCATTCAGGGAAGTCGTGGACTCTGTATAGGCAACTGCGCACAATTATGTGGGTCACTTATAACTGCCATTTATGGACTTAGACTGTTGTCCTATCATCTCATAGAGTCCCTGGCACGTCATAATATGCTACACAGTGGCAGTGGGGGTCGCAAAATGCCGACTTACTACTAATAAACCCCAATGATCCGATCGAAATTAGGGATTTCGATCGGATCATTGGGGGGGCACGTGCCCCCCCCCCTCCACTGGCTCCACCAGTGCATAGAATTAATACATACAGGTCAGCTTATATTAAGCCTAGTGTTCTTGACATTGTCCTCATGTTAATGAAATATACATTTTTATTTTTATAGTGATTTTTGGAATTTCATCATTTGTACTCAGCACTAAAAAAAAATCTGGAATATATTAATTATTCCAGCTATTGTAAAAATGTGTATGCTGTTAATTGATGTGAATGATTTTCACACACTTCACGTTGCAAGCGTACAATTTGTCTAACCTTCATGAGTACAATAATTATATTTCCTTACACGTGACAACTGTGCAAGCGCATTGAGGGACTAACTTCACTGTAACCGATGAGTTACATCATACAACATAGTCGAAATGCGTTGATTAATTTGGAATTGAACCACAGTTCTCGTCTTTTGTGCTCATAGCACAGCGAAAATAAATTAATTAGAATTGTGAAAATGTAGAGACGACTGAGAATCGTTTGGAAATTGTTTATGTGGTGACAGCACTGTTCTGTAAAAAAAAAGTGTATCCAATGTGTTACTGGAAATATATATCCTGTTCCATAATTGAAATGTTCTGCCCATTTCTGTCTGGTTTTATGTTCATAACTGCAGTTATTTTGCGCTTATGCAGCCGTCTGGAATGCACTTCCTTCCGATATTGGGAAGCCATTGTAGCTCTGGACTGTTAAATCACCTAGATTGAAAACTAATTTCTTTTTAAATGCTTTTTGTGTTTAGTTTGCCTATCTCTCGTGCCTCCAATTAGCACGGTTAGCTACGTATGGTGCAAACGGTCACCTGATGATGACCGTTTGCGTTATGGTCGAAACGTCGTGAGAATTTTTATTGTTTTATATATTTTATTATTTCATTGTTTCCCTTCAACGTGACTTTACGGAAAGAGCTAATAATATATACACAACAGATTATTTTATTAAATTTGCACAACTCTAATTTACAATTTTGTGATTCACATTTCAAATGTGAAGCAATATAAAATTGCTAAGAAAGTTCACGTGAAATTATCGTTTCTCCAGTCACATTTTAAACACAGCGTGGATATTAAATTCATTATTTCGTACATGAAATAGTGCAATTAATTTTACTTGTATTTTATTTTTCTTGTTACAACCAAATATTAATTACACTTTTGAGAAATCACAGCCTGAAGGACAGGAAAGTTATGTTATGAATGCATGCATACATACCAGTGTTAATTAAACAGCAAGATATGATTTGAAATAATGAGTTTTTATTTGTTGCTGAAACAATTTTTGTAAATGTGCCTTTAAGGTATGTGCTAATTTACAATGTAATTGACCCGTTTGTGTTTTAATTAAAACATTCTCTTGAGTATGCACAACATTAATTTTGCAAGCACAAGATACCCAAATGTAAATGTACGAAAGCTGAATTAATATTGTGAGCACACGATAACATTAGCAACATAAAATCTGAGTGATTGGAACAGCTAAGCCACTCATCGTACAACTTTTTTTGGTCAATGAGTTTAAAAAAATATACCAATTTGAGTTTGTGTGCATGGGGAGCGGTGGTGTAGCGGTTAGCTCGCTGCACTACAAACCCGGCTACACGAGTTCTATTCCCGCTCACGGCCAACACCAGTGACGATTATCTGAACCAGTCCTGGGCCTTCCCTAGGTCGACTCAGTGAGCAACTTACATACATAAGACAGGAGGGTAATGGATCTGTATTTCTTAAACTTAGCTTGTCTCTCTTTTATACTTTTTTACAATATCATATTGATTCTTGAAGAAAATACTGTACTTTAGTTTAATCAAACTGGATATAAAAAAAGATACAATTCTAAAATATTATACAATAGCCTTTTGCCCGTCCAAGGACGAGTGTATTGCAGTAAATCTGAAACTCGCAAGCGAAAAGCAGACCGCGAGGTGATATTCATTGCATGAATTCGTGTGCAGTTTGTAAGGGCGCGGTGACACAGACTTATTTCATTTTAAGGTTATGATCCCTTGTTCATCACGACGTCCTTTTTACATTTATGTCTCAATAGCGTTACGAAGATCGTGTGACGTGAGGGTTCTGCCTTCGTAGTGAGGGTTGTCAGTTGACGCTGAGAAGGGGGGAGGAGGCGCCTCGTACCCCCATGTGGAGTGACGTCACCCGCTAATTATGATGAATGGAGGGGGTGGTGTCCATTTTGAAGACTTCACCTCTTCATGATTATTAATGTGGGTGGCTGTTGGATGTGGAGTGGAGGACGTCACCTGTTCATGAGTATTAATGCGGAGGGCTGGCCGACGTGGAGTGACATTACGCGCGGGACATACAGACATTATTGGCTCATCATAGTAGTAAATGGAGATTCATATTGACATGCGTCCGCTTATATAAGAGGTATAGTCTAATTAAAAAAACATACGCGCTTACACATTTCACTTGTCTCCTATATATCCCGGCAAACATCGATTTCCCGTATCTTTTCTCAAAGATGTCAGCGATCATGGCCTCCCGACGTAGCTCTGTCCATGATTGAAATGACCCTCATGCGTGGGCATAAACACCTGACAGTGTAGTGTGCTATGAAAGTTTATATATACTTACAAAACAAATCTTCCCCCTTATCAGGTCTGTCTAACATGCACACGTTACACGCTTCTTATTTTGACTGGGTTCAACGGGGAGATGCAGGACACAAATGGCGGGGCTCGACCATTGCTGCATTCGTGTCTGGAAATGGCCGCGCAATGCATGACGCACGTGGCACGCGCTTCAGTACATGAAACGATCACGAAGTCTTCACTGAAAGAGACACAGCGATATTGAAGTGCACGTGCTGCCAGGTTGCTAGTAAGTGGAAGTGTCCTGCTCTGAAGGTGCTGCAGGTTGCTGACGACTTTTACGCAGCTATTTCTTCTGGGGATGCGGTCTTGCAGAGGTGGGGCGAGTGCGCTAACCCTTTCGTATGTCATCGGAATGGGAAAGGGCTAAACGAGCGTATGCATGTACTGTATGCATGTCGCACCGTATGTAACCAACTGCGCTAATCGGAGGTGTGGGGGAAGAACGACAAACTCAACACAAAAAGCAGTTCTATAGAAATTCGTTTTTAATCTATATTTCAAAGTGCATAGCTCCAGTGGCTTCCCAATTTCGGAAGGAAGCGAGTGCCAGGCGGCCACAGAAGCCCATCTGAAAGTGCGCGATGCGGTGACCGCCTTTGTTTGGTGGCCAGCCAAAAAGTCGCTGCTGCGAGGATGACCGGAAAAGGTACTAGTTGGTGGAAGTGTCCCCCTCTTGAAGGTGCTGCAGGCTACTCGAGACATTCAGGCCGCTATTTCTTCTGGGAGTATGTGGTCTTTGCGGAGGTGGTGGTGGTGGGGAGAGTGCAACTCAAAGGGCGCGCGCCGTGTGTCCACGCTGTCTGCCGCCCCCGCAGGAGACCGCTACCGCATCTCGTCCACGGGAGCGCTCTACGTGTCGGACGTGCAGACGGAGGATGGCCTCTCGAGCTACCGCTGCTCCACCCGCCACCGCTACACGAGCGAGACACGGCAGAGCAACAGCGGCAGGCTGACCGTCACTGGTACCAGAAGCCGGCTCGTGCCACCCCTATGGCGACCCGCGGCATCCATCCACGCGTGCACATCATCTGTTTAATCTCTCCGTTCCCGTCCATCCCATCCGCAGGCATTCTCTCTGTTTTGTCTGTTCAGCTAAAGCAGCTAACGACGCATACATTCATCTGTCTGTGTGAAGTTAACCATATTTCAGATATGTCGTGGTTACTTTGCTCATCACTCCATTAATCCATCCACATGCTCACATCATATTTTGAATCTCTCCATTCTCATCCATCCCATCCGTAGGCATTCTCTCTGTTTTGTCCATTCAGCTAAAAGATCTAATGACCCCACCCATTCATCTGTCTGTGTAAAGTTAACCAGATATGTCGTGGTTTGCAATGCTCATTGCTCTGCTTATTATATAAATAATACTCTCTAAAGTCTACTACAAGAAAATATCTTTCATGTTGATTGTGTATTCGTGCTGTGGGTATATTTCAAACTCCTTTGCATGTATTAATGCATGCTGTTATAAAAGTGTTATCACTTGACTGGAAGTGAATCTGAGGTGGATAATTATCTCGGTAGAAACACTAATTTATGAAATACTGTGTAGTCTCAGAATTACCAAATATGAATATGTGCATTGCTCACAGTGTAAGCACTTTAATTATCCTCGCATTTAATTACTGAGATGTAAAATTAATATTTTTTTAATTAAAATACACTTCAAATTATGGAGTAATTATGATTTACTAGGTAATAATTGGAACATTTGATCATTTATTTCTATATTCTTAGGTTAATATGATTATGTTATTACATCTCACAGTACGTTTTTTTTATTCACTAGAAACAAGATTCAAAATGAAAAAACCAAACGGGCACCTGAGAATTCAAACGTTCAAGGCAAAAAAAAAACCCACCACAGAATTATATGTTCGTGGAGTAGTTTTAGTCGTTAGAATTATGCATTTCTAATACATATGTAAACGTGTACCCCCTATTTATCCTGCGTTGAAGGTCATTATGTCACGGTATTTTATTGGCCTGTTACGGCACCGTTCTTACTAATTACCTCTAGGCAACACAAAAAAAACACATGCATGTGGATATTACATTATCCTCGTGAGTGATGATGTACTCCTCAGGTGAATCTCAGTTTGCCAACATTCATATTTGAACATTTCCCTATTTATAACTGTGATTAGCCGTTCATGGTGGGGGTCACGGACGTGTGGGGGATACACGCTGCCATCGTGGAGAATTGCATGGCCTTGGAAGGCTTGATTAACGTGAGCTCTTCATCAGCACTTCCTTGAACAATCGTGTAGAGGTGGCGGGGGGGGGGGGGGGTGATGTGAAAGGTGATAGATTAAATGAGGCTATCCAAGAGAGTGGAGATGAATGAAAATTGACAAAACTTGAGAAGTTGCGAGCGTTTAGAATGAGAGGGCAGATGGTGAATAAGATGGGTCGTGGAGATCGTCTACAGAGACGTTATGTCTAAAGAAAAAGGGACATCACATTTATCCCTCTATTTAAGACCGAAACAGGAGGAGGATTTCTCCGCAACACTGGCTGTCGCCTGATGATACTGGTTGTAATTAACGGCAGAACGTCTTACACGAATTGTAAATGTTGTGGTTTTACTCAACACACCGGTGTGCTGTACGAGTAACGAATTGGCATATTTTGTTTACGTGACAAACCTTACTAATTGGCTGTGTCGGGTGGTAGTGGTTTTAACGACACATTTTTTTTATTTACGCGATCTAACCCAAAAACCTCTATTATGGATGATATTGGTCTCTGAAGAAAGGACATTTTAATCAACATCATATTATACTTATTCTGTTATAAGGCGGTGTTAATGATTCATGCATTTTTGTTTAATTTTGCACACATTTGTACTTAACTGTACATCCACAATTTCACCTACACGTGCAAAACATTTTTCAACAATTGGAGGTATCTAATTGTTCACTGTGGGCCTACGACGTCAGCAGAGGGCAGTGGAGCAACATTCATTGTTGGACTATACTGTACTCCATTGTCTATGCTCCCTACCTTCAACCAACCCACACTGACCACTTTTAAAAAGTATGGTGAAATAACCCCCATAATGAGGGCATCCATAGGGACGTATGCCCGCATCCAACAGTGCATTGACAACAGTGGCTGGGCGCCACGGTGGTGAGATGTTAACTACCTCGCCTGATATACAGGAGTTCGTGAGTTCGATCCCGACCCTGGCGCCTGTATATGTGGAGTTTATACGTTCTCCCCGTGGTGGCATGGATGTTTCTCTGGGTCCTCTGGTTTTCCCCCTACATATTTAGAATCAACGTGCGTTTAAATTATTTTGCTGCTATAAATTTGCGCGTGATAACCCATTTCGTTGACCTATCAATTGTGGCCAGGTTGCTTCTGAAAAAAGAGCTACATAGCTCAGTGGGCCTTACCTGTTCAGATAAATATTGTTTAGCTTCAGTTCGTAGTTTGTCCAAAGGACAGCCCATCGTCGCTGCGGCCGGCGTCGTTTTACCGGCAACGCGACGCCGGGCCAAAAACCTGCCCGCTCGCCGTTCCCCTCTTCGCCGCCAGAGTTGGTGAACTCCGCGCCGTCGATTCTGGACGGCTTCTCGTCGCACGTGGTGGCGGCGTCGGGTTCGCGCTCCGAGCTGGCGTGCACGGCCGCGGGCCACCCGGCGCCACGCTCCCGCTGGCTCCGCGACGGCGTGCCGCTGCCTCCCGACCGGCGGCGGGGCGCGGGTGGCTCGGGCCTCGTCATCACCGACACGACGGTGGAGGACTCGGGGGCCTACGTCTGCGAGGTGTGGAACAGCTTCGGGGTGGCGGCCGTCAGCGGGAGGCTCACCATCAAAGGTGAAGGGTTCCCCCACCCCCACCACCCCCGCCCCCCCCACCCGCTCGCCGGATTAAGTGCGGATGAGTGAGATCGTTGCCGTGTAGCGCCGTCGGCGTCATCGGCAGAATCGTTATCAGCGTCGTCATAATCATCAGCGGCAGCATCGTCAGCATCATTGGCAGAATCATCAACAGCAGGATCTTTCGGTAAAGTCACGTTGAAGGGAAACAATAAAATAATAAAATATATATAAAACAATAAAAATTCTCACGACGTTTCGACCATAACACAAACGGTCGTCATCAGGTGTGTCGGTTTGCATTAATTAATTTATTTTTAAACGGTGTATTTAAAAATAAATAAATTATTGCGCACCAACACAGCAGGATCTTTATCATCAGTGGCAGCATGATCATCGTCCTTAGCAGCATCGTTATCAGCATCTTCATCCTCAGTGGCAGTAGCATCACCATCATTAGCCACATCGTTATCAGCAGCAGCAGCAGCATCATCAGCAGGATCATCAGCAGCAGTGACATTATCTCCAGCATTGGCATTATCATCAGCACCGGAATCATCATCATCATTATAAACCGTCATGGATGGCCACGGTATGCATGCCCACGCCCAAACCCACCCTAAATTGCATTATTTTGACATGTGGTCTCAAATCCAAATTGTGTTATATTGTATTGTATCGTCAATCATAACAATTATTGTGAATTATTAATCATACAATATAAAACCATCATGCTTTTTTATTGTCCGTATCATTGCCAACATAAACCATTCATATGGTGAGCAATCTAATGACATACCGATTGTATTATGAACCACTTTTATTCAATGAGTGAAGATACTGGCTCATAATTGCCTCCTGTTGGAATTGCTGTAGAAATTATTAATAATTTCATTATTTTGATGGTATCTAATGCCATTCAAAGATTGGGGTTTGAGTCACATCACTGCTAAACCACAGGGCGCCACGGTGGTGGGATGTTAACTACCTCGCCTGGTATACAGGACTGCGTTGGTTCGATCGCGATCCTCATGCCTGTATATTTGGAGTTTGCATGTTCTCCCCGTGGTCATGTGGATTTTTCTCCAGGGCCTCCGGTTTTGTTCCTCCGTGTTCATAAACACGCGTTTAAGAGTATTTGGCTGCTTTACATGTCCACGTGATAAGCCACTTCATTGAAATATCATTTGTGGCCAGGTCGCTTTTGAAAAATAGTTATATAGCTCAGTTGGCCTTATCTGCTAAAATAAAAATAGTTAAATAAAAAATATTAAAAAGTTAAAGGATTAGTTAATACCACTCGGCTATCTAAGTGATCACAAAAGTATTTTTTCTTTAACCCAGAATTTGACCATCACAGAGCTCCCTCCATAACAATATAACAGCAAAATATAGTAAATAAAAAGGCAATTTGTTGTTGTCGTCTAGGCTCATGGGACTTCATCAACATGAGTTGAAGGCTTTTCGTAAACTGCGCGCGAATTTATCATTCGTCAAACATTGCTTTTGGATGATATTCAAAGAGTTTTACGTTCCCGTTACGGGCCACCGACCTTTGCACCTCCCGTTTTTTTTTTTTGCACGTTCGCCGCTTTAGCCCCCGTGGTGGTGAGGGTGGATCCACACCGCCTCAAGACCACGCTGAGCGGCACGGCGGAGTTCTCCTGCGAGGTGTCGGGAGCGGCGGGCGACGGCATGGTCACGTGGTTCCACAACGGCGACCCGCCGACCCCTACGGCGAGCGTCTCGGGGGCCCAGGGCGAGCGGCTGTCAGTGCACGCGGCCGGCAGGAGTGACGGTGGGACGTACCAGTGTGTGGCGCGGGGCGAGGGGGGAGACACAGCCCAGGACTTCTCCATCCTCATGCTGGAGGGTGCGTTGCCACACGCAGACGATTTGCTTCATCGATACTCGGTGCATTTATTGATTTGAATGTTAAGCCACAGGTAATCAATTGAACCCCCCCCTCCCCCCTTTCTAAAGGAGAAGGGGTGGTGGAGTGTGTCGGGGGGGGGGGGGGACTTTTACTGCAGTGTGTCTTCTTCAATGGTTCTGGTAAACACTGGAGCAGATAAAAAGAATAATTCAAACTTGCCATTTGAGAAACTGGTCAAACATCCAATGCAGGAACATCCTTGAAAGGAAAGAGTAAAAGAATTGCCAAAGTGGTTTCTTTCTCAAATGAAAATTGAGCTGGTGTCCACTATTGGCCCTGAGCCAATGGTGGACAGGTAGGAAGGAGTCTCTCTCAAGCACAACTGCTCTTCACCACTAAGTGGTTGCTTATTTTAACGACCCCGCAGTGATGATGGGCTGAGTCAACAGCCATACCAAGAAGTAGTTGTTTGAACTCGCATCCTTCCGATTGTGAGCCACTCTCTTTGCCACTGAGGAGCCACCTAGATGGTTTAGGAGAGGACTGACCCTGGTTGAGGCTTTTCTCGACAAGTAAGGAATGTTGCTGTCTCGTTTCATCGCTCTCACTTATTTCCAACGGTTCAAATTAAATGTCCGATGAAAGTTTTCCCAGCCTAAAAAATTCCACACGCACTCTGTGACCCCTTGATAATCAAGCGTCTATGCCTAATGGTTTAATTTATTTATTTTTTACTTTACCAGAGGGGTATACACTGCAAGATGAAGTCAGTTCTTATTAGTGGGTGGTGCGTACTGCGTCGCGATCTGCTTTAGGCTATGAAAATGCCTCCTGACAGATGCTGATTTGCATACAATGGGTAGCCACGCATTTCCAGTCGGCGTCCTATTTGCTCACTTAGCAAGGGGATATAAAAAAAACAATCCCCGTGCCACCACAGCAGGTCACCACGGCTTGCTGATCATGCTGGGTCAGTGCTGATGCAGAACACTGCAAATTGTTCATGGTATATTTATTCACCGAGTGAAGAAATTAATTACTCGAGTAACAAAAGGTCATGTTTATTTATATATATAATTACTTTTATTACAATTTAAATGAATGTGACGTGCGGAGTTGGAGTCGCACACAAATGTGACACTTGCTGCTTTGTTAAGGTAAATTGGTTTTTCACTTCATGACAAGTTTGGCTCCCTCTGTCTACATGGTCATGGCCATCATCGTCCGGTCACCAATCACGGACCTCAAACACCTTTTCAAGAATGAGCGCACTGTGGGACAGTCAACATCACCCGGCAGAGAGATTGGCCTCCACCAAGAGAATGTGTAATTTCCACGACTCGCTTCTATAAGCCATGCCCTACACACCGGAGCAGGACATGTTGACTTTCAGTTTGTGATCTAATCAGCAGTCATCATTACACCTCCAAATCAGTTAGAGCCTCCTGTAAATCACTCTACTTACATGTGGCCACCGCCTCTCTGTCCCCCCCCCCCTCCCACGAAAACACCCTGCTCGGTACAGCTCACTACAAATTGTTCCTTACTTTCTCACTCCTTCTCTTTCCTCCCCTCTCATCACCCATTCATCCCCAACATCTTGGCCTGGATTATTCCTTCTCCTCCCCGTCCTCCCCCTCCATCTTCTTGCCGCTCATCTTGAGCCCTTGCCCACTTTGCCCGCCTTGGGGACTACTGTCGCAGCATCCCTCCCCTCTCACGGTCATCTTGCCCTCCGCCCCCCTGTCTGACCATTTTGTGCAAATGAACCTTGTAGCGGGACCCGGGGTCCCATAAGCCCCCGGCTCTCGCATGAACTGCGTTGCGACATCGTTTTATGTCTGTTGAAGGCGAACGACACGGCAATCTATTCCCCTCGACGAGCTCTACGCGATGCGCTAATGAAAGTTTAAAAGTTTTGTGTCTTCTGCGCATTCGTCCTCGCTGCGCTTGTACGACACGGCAACGGAATGATCCCGGGGGGGGGGGGGTCGCAGCATTTATATGCGCGGTGGGACGGAATCGCCAAAAATAAATGGGTTAATTACAATTTTGACTTCCGTTTATTCGGGACCCCAGGGTCCCACCATGGCTACTCCCCTTCCCGTGGTGTGCCATGTGTCTAGCACGATGTATACGTAGAATCTAGCGAATAGTACTGCCTATGACGTATGTATAATAAACATGTGCGTACTAACGGCGATGGAAAGTGTGCAAAGCATGGAGAGATGCGTGCTTGAAAAGACACACTGAGAGACATGAAGAGAAACACGTGGCTTGGAGAACATACGCTAGTTAGGAAGCATGTTGAATGTTAACAAATAATGGTACACTTGGACGGGATACATCAACAATAGAGGGGGCTTATTGAGACTCGTGGTGGAGTGGAAGCCAAAGGATGACAAACGCCCCAAAAGCACGTCAGCATGGGGATGGAGGATTGAAATCAGCTGGTGTGCAGACGCGAGATGGATTGTTATATTGAAAGACCCCGAGGGAAGGTGATGGGTTGGGGAGGTCTTCATGCATAGGCAATGGCCTCCCGTAGCTGATAATGTTGAAAGATAGATAATTTGGAGTTTGCATGTTCTCCCCGTAGTCGCGTGGATTTTTCTCCGTGTCCTCCAGTTTTTCCAATTAGAAACATGCGTTTAGAGTGTTTGTCTGCTGTCAAATTCCACATGATACGCCACTTAATTGGGTGATCACTTGTGGCCAGGTCGCCTCTAATAAAGCGCTATACAGCTCAGTGGGCCTTGCCTGGTAAAATAAAATTTTAAAAAATGTTTTAGTTTAGCACGGTTGGCTACGTACGGTGCGCAAGAAGTTGAAGACACACCAATAGACGAATCGATATTCACAATGCACGGCATGTACGTTCACAATCGCCGTTGTATTCTTGGTTCTTTCGGTAAAGTCACCATGTAGAAGGCAAACAATAAAATAATAAAAATATAAAACAATAAAATTATCACGACGTTTCGACTGCAACACAAGCCATCGTCGTCAGGTGTGAAAACCACAACAAGAAAATTTGACTTTACCGAAAGAACCGAGAATATGAATCCCTGCAGTCACGAAAGCTTTAAATTAAAAAATCGCCGTTGTGTTTTAATTCCGCCCCCGCCCCCCCCCCCCCCCGCGAACCACGCCGCAGACGGTAGCCCGAAGATCGCCTCGTCGTTCAGCGAGCGCGTTGTAAGCCCCGGGGAGCCCTTCTCGCTGCAGTGCGTCGTGCGCGGCTCCCCGCCCCCCACCATCGCCTGGACCCTCGACGGCGAGCCGGCCCTCTCGCGCGACGCTCCCCATCGCCGCGGCAACCACATCGTCACCCCCGGTGACGGCGCGGGGCCTGCTGCTGCTGCTGCTGCTGCGGCGGCGGCGGCGGCAGGGGCAGAAGCGAGAGGGGCAGAAGCGGGAGAAGGTGGAGGAGAAGGTGGAGGCGCCGTGGTGACCGGCTACCTGAACGTGACGGGCGCGCGCGTGACGGACGGCGGGGTGTACCGCTGCCAGGCCGGCAACGCCGCGGGCCAGGCCGAGTACCAGGCACGCATAAACGTAAGAGGTGCTTAACGGCTATTTCTGTTCTCACACACGCACAGGGGTGCGTGCACGCTCGCTGCAGTGAAACGTGCGCCCGGTGTGACCAATGACGAACCCCTTGCACCTCTCCCTCCCGCCGCCGACAACCCCAATTGGAGGCGCTTTAGGAGATTGAGAGAGGGGCCAAATCTGGCATTTGTTTAAGCGTTGGCAATTGACGAGAGCTGATTTTAAACGAGGCCACTAAATTGAGATATGAGCTCACACATTTTTTTGTACGGTTAACTTTTAAGATCGTGTGCTGACCTCAGTGTCATCGTGCAGTTTCCCCTGTGTATATTATTTTAAGAAAATGTTTAGATTTTTACCATCAATTTTCCAGGGGTTAACTAAAATTCCGAAAACAATGTGCCTCACTTTTAGCAATCGGTGATTAGTAGTGCAGCTGGTCACTATGCAATGTCGGGCCCTAACTCTGGTTTCACTGTACGCTTGGACGCACCCCAACCAGTCAAAAATCATATCCGTGGTCATTTGTGGACACAACTTTACCTATTGCTGCATGTAGCGGTCACGAACCCCAGAGTCATGCATCAGTCTCACACACGTACATCGATAACACCAAGACGTACTGTAAAGCCACCAAGACTGTTGGTCAAAGTGTTTTTGGTTGGCAACCCAATTAAAGCCGGCACGGTGCACGAGTGGGGTGGTGTGGCTCGACACAATGCTACACCACCTCTTTCTCCCCAGTGCTATGATGTGTGCAGATTGCACCAGATGCTGATTTTAATGCTGAGTTTATCAATATGAGGCCCAATCCAGTTTCTGCTATCACTTGTCATGCATGTTAGCTGCAGTCCGGAATCAAACTCGGTTTTGCCAGCTTCATAACAAACTATATATTTACCGCTGTTGCCTTAATTTCCTCCATATAAATGACAAAGACAAAGATCCCCCATACAATCTGTGTAAACTGTTGGGGCAAGCTTTGTTAACGTGCCTTCATAAATCCTGCACAGGGGTGGTGTGGCCAGAACCTTTGTCGCCGCAGTGCTGATGTGCACACAACGACAATAGGTACTCATTTCAGGATGAGTCAATCTAGGGGAGACCCAGGACCACTTCATAAATCACTTGCCAATGATGTTTACCATGGCCAGGAACAAAATACAGGTCACCAAGGATGCTGACCACTGTGCCATCACTCCCTATATCAATAACACCTACAAATCAGACATTAGAATCCTATGCATTTTTTCTAAATTTCTTGTCGAAAATAATTCAGATTCCATGTGAATTTGGCTCATTGTTACGAAACATTAATACACCATGTAAAAATATGTTATATGCAGCTTGGTTAAGCTTGTCGCCTTTTGCTGTGAGATGTTTAAAGTTGTACGCAAACAAATGTTAAGCCACAGAAATTAATCAATACTCATTGATAATGCTTTTCAAAAACAAGGCCACATTTTCTTTATTGAGAAATGCCATTGCCCTTTTAATATATTTGACGGCAGTGACTTGGAGAGCCTAATGTGAGATTTTTTAGGCAGCATTTAATCAACTTATAGACACGCTAAAACTGCTTCCTTCATGCTCTATTCTGGGCAGTTTAAAACAGAGAAGACACTAAACCAGAGGCCTCCGTGTGGGCCGTTATACATCCCTGTTATCGCCAAGTTAAGCACCAGCAATAAACAAGTAATATTACCCCAGTTGTAAACACGCTTTGTACGGTTTAATGGACCTGCACCGTATAAAGTTTTTTTTTCCTGTAAAATAAACCAACGTGAGCAAAGTGTCCGTAAAGAGATTTTGCAATTAGAGGTGCTTTTCTTTCAGGTCAAGGTGAATAAGGCTATAATCCATCGGATAGCATTACAATTGTGTAGGTTACGTTTGTTTGTGGACAGCGCACATCTACATTTTATTTCGATTGATAATTATGCAATTGTAATTACTTACCATGGAATGGGCCACTACATAACCTTGTAGTCAGCACAATGACGACTGGGCCTCTTTGCAGAGAGTCAATGATTTGTCTCCTGCCACTGCCTTGAAAATTACATCGGGAATTCCCATAGTTCACTGTCTGCTCTAAGGCAGATGTTAAATGCGCTGCAGCTTTTTCATTCCCACAAATAGCCCACCCTGCGTCATCATCACAGATAAAGTTCCCAATTAAAATAAAATTACCTTCAACTAAATTGGGCCCAACTAAATAATGGCTCGGATGCAAAATATGTCACCTTGGTCATTAATGGTGGCACGACAAAGATGATTAATTTCACTTGGTAAAAAAAAAATTCAGCCATTCAATTGAACGTTTCATTAAGATGCGTCGCATTGATTGCTTGATTAACCATGGCACAAATTCCTGAGCGCTCGTGCAATTCTACCCCGCTGTAGGATCTCCGAGCATCCGCCCGATGCGCAACGTGACGGCTATTGCCGGCAGAGAAGCCTACCTCCACTGCCGCGTCATCGGCTACCCCTACTATTCCATCCGTTGGTTGCGGGAAGGCACTCCGCTACCCTATAACCACAGGCAAACGGTGTTCGCCAATGGAACATTACGCCTGGCAGACGTGCAGAAGGGCATGGATGAGGGGGCATACATCTGCAGCGTGCTGGTGCAGCCCGGAGCCAGCCCAAGCCGGAGTCTTATTGTCACTGTGAAAGGTACGAACCTTTTGGCCATATTGTACAGTTGGTAATTGGATCTCACACTTGGGTAGGCGATGCGGTGTCTCTGTGACTCTGCCATTGCCTGGTTATTACACACACGCTGTAACGCGGCACACAACTGATGGTTTGTGGTGCTGGGGAAACTTGACTCTTAATTTGGATCTCAGAAATTGGCAGAACGATGAGACTGTCAAAAAGATTTACCATCCCTGAGAAATTGGTCATTCTTAGTTTATGGGGACCAGCTATACAGGTTACGGCACAGTTATTTAGCCCATCTTAGCAAGAAGAATGTGTTTTTTTTCCACAGAAGAATATCATGTAGATTTTGAGATTTCCATGTACTCATGGACATTTAAATATAAGACATTTTAAATGCATATCTAATAACATAATAGGATTCAAATAAAATGAAACAATAATACACATAATCAATACAAATATTCCTACCATAACAGTATCTATATTATAGTGAGTTACAGCCTCTCGGGGTGGCCAACGTGAGCTTTAGTCAATAAATCTAAACATTAAATACGAATCATTCAATTATTTTCAAAGATGCCTGGTTAACAATGAGGTTGGTCACGTGACACAAATGCCACCTATCTGCACCGCTTTACCCGTGGCCGCACAACGAGGGCTAAAATTAACTCGGGGTGGGGGGGTCCATTCCTGCGTCCGTCCGTTCGAATGCGGCAGAGCCGCCACTCATCCAGCCATTCGAGATGCCGGCGGTAACGCAGGGCCAGCGCGTCTACGTGCCCTGCGTGATCGTGTCCGGCGACTCGCCCATCCGCATCACGTGGCACAAGGACGGGCAGCCGCTGCCGCCTCGCCTGGGCGCCCAGGTGGAGACAACGGAATTCATCAGCTCGCTGCTCATCCCCAACGTCACGCAGCTCCACAACGGCAACTACACGTGCCTGGCGAGGAACGAGGCTGCCACCGTCAGCCACGGGAGTCAGCTGATCGTCAGAGGTAGCTCCCGCGTTGTCCTCCCCGCTTGTCGGCCGGTGACAGTTACGAGAGGCGCGGCAGATTCGCCCGCCTCGACTTGTTGGTGCAAAATCGTCGCGATTATTTTAATGAGTCTGATTTGTTGGTTTTTTTTGCTGTTTTGTTTTTGTAGCAAATGTAGCGGTCCGCAAGTGATGGCACGGGTTCCATGTTGTTGTATTGTTTGTTGTCGTAACTTTATGACCCGCCCCGACTGGATATCTGTGAAAAAGCTGTATATCTCATTGGATTCCTCCGGTAGGAATACATTTTCGGATTCTAATCTGATTCTGAACTCATTACATGCAAAGTATATGAATTGGGGGGGGAAAAAAACAGTTCTTACATACATTATTTCATGCATGCATCGTGAACCGATGTTAATATCAATAAATTAATTGACGTACAGTAAAACCTTGGATTGCGAGTAACTTGGTCTGCGAGTGTTTTGCAAGACGAGCAAAACATTTAATTAAATATTAATTTGATAAACGAGCGAGGTCTTGCAATACGAGTAGTACGTATACGCTTTGTCTGCCGAGCGTCACGTGATCACAACTGATATACGAGTGCTTTGATATACGAGTGCTTTGAACGAATTATGCTCGCAATCCAAGGTTTTACTCTTGATACCTCTAGTAGTAACTGTCTCCATGAAGCTGATAGTGCTTTGTTGCATTATGCATTCATCATACCCCTGTCTGTGCAAGATGGTCTCCTGTGTAGCAATAAAAATTTCTCTCGAACCGTTAAAAGTACAACTCGTTTCAGGATATAATGAGCATTGGGCAGGGGTGATCTCCATTTGCAGTCCAAAGCCAGTGATGCGAATATAAATTCAGCATGACTATTGTGGCTCCTGTTCCCACACAGGACAAACGTTTAGAAAGTGGCGATGGACAGATTTTGCATATTTTACAACCCTGGAGGCGGGAGAATAATTATGATGATGAGCCAAATTGATCTAATATTTGAAAACCACCACCTTAAAAGGTTGATCTCACTGCTCTCGTGACTGAGTTATCCCCATCCGTTGCATATGCACACCATGAACTCTTCCGGTTTTATTTGCATTTGTTTTGTTGCAGGCTTACGAAGATACATTCTAATTACCCCTGTGCACCCAGAGCTAATTATGATGATATGGATAGGAAATTCTCATTTTGTTCTTCCGTTATTTATTTATTGTAGCACATATCAGTTCAGTGGGGACCCCATGTGCACAACCCGCACTCAAGATTCCTTGTCAGACAGTGTTCGATTTTCACTTCTCCGCCCAAAGGCTTGAACCCGCGATCACAGAGGCGCTCACGCAGTATTCTCACATAGACGTGGGCCTCAGGAGGTGTCCAGCCCCAGGGCTTTAACTCGTTGTATCAGAGGTACTGACTCGGTTGCCCCTGACATGGATAGAAGACCCTTGCATGACACAGCCTGAGGGCTTCAACTTGATGTCTCAGCAGTGCAAGCCGGTTTTTCTGACCCCCAGTGTAAATGAGTACCCTTCCTATTAATAAGATCAAAGGACTTGTCCTAAATATTGAATAAATTGTAATATGGATTACGATGATATCCTCTGTGTGTGTAACCATATGAGAACCCATTGAGATGAAGCGCATCTTTTTCAATGGGAGACAAAGTAAAAGCACATATATAGCTCATCTAGCATTGTTAAAACGCTACAAAATAACCATGTAATTAAAAGCCTGATACACAAAATAGAAAGGGACGATGTCAAACATAACAACACAACCATCATCATCATCAGTCAGGATCTATACACCGCTGGTTGAAGGCCTCTCTTTAAGCTGTATGTTTGTCGAAATTCTTTTGCACTGTATGTAGCCAAACATACTAATCGGAGGGGCGACATCATGAAGCTGTTGATGATCTTTCACAATCTCGCAATCCAACAGTTCCCTTGGCTCCTGGACGCGAGCTCCAAAGCAATCAGAATGGCAACATCTATTTATACTGGAGGAATCCGGTGAGCTATAAAGCTCTTTTCACAGATGTCCGGTAGGGGCGGGTCAGAAGGTTACAACAACACACGAAAAACGCGATAGGAGTGCAACGTATAGGAAAGGTAAACAATTTACTTGAAAAAAACATCCCAAATAAAACGAATACATTTTTTTCTAGCCAGTAAATTGTGTCCCTTCCATTGGCTGCCACTCCATTGTCAGCCTCAACCACAGGCCACCGTCATTACTCCGAGCGACACGTCCCGGCCCAATCCCACGTGCCATTCCTAAAAGTCACGATGTGATATCTTTAACTTGCACATGTTCTGTAATCAATGTGTTCCTCTATCTCTCAGTGTAATTCAGAATCTTTATTTGTCCTGAAGGAATCCGATGAGCTATTAATCTCTTTTTCACAGATGTGAAAATAAATTACAAGCGTTAACCCCTCCACGTTGCTTTACAAACCTTTTAGCTTGAGTTCCATTTACCATGTCAATATCCACATGTGTCATATTAATATAATAACAAGTATGAATTTGCAATTAAGCAATTAATGTAATTAAAACATGTATACGATATATGTTTTCTAATTGGGCTAAATACATTATAGCACATTGCGTGCCATGGAGGGCAAAACGCCGAAGATCATATAATGGTTTGGACATTGCAGCAATTGCAGGATTGTGTTGATATAATTAACGATGGATGAGAAGGAAAGAAACGTGATCAGTTGGATGGCCATTGGGGCATGATGAAATGAAGGTGTGTGCAGCAGCGAGATGGATTACACCTACACAGGATGGGATGCGGTCTTAACGTTTGATCCACCAGTATATAGACTGGCAGATGAAACGAGTGCGCAGTACAAATGAGCACTCCCAATGTAACAAATCGTGCCGAAACACTTTGAAAGATGGAATTTTTTACTTGCCTTTTGCACACTTTTCTATTTGTGGCGTGAAATTGGGGTGGGTGGTGGTGGGGGGGATTGGGAACGTTTTATTTTTCTAATAATTTCATGAATATCGATATACAGTGTCAGTGGTTTCAGGTGTGCCTTCAACCCTCACTGGCAAGAATAAAACCCCTCTAAATATCGCAAACCTGTTATTTAGTTGACGCTGCTCCTTACAAAGAGCCATTATGGGAATCTTTCATCACCGTCGGGGGTGCGAAAAGGTTTTTACCCTTTCGATGCATCTCGCTCCATTTGCCAAAAATAACCTGCGCATAATAGCTGATATTTTCACCCGCGGGGGCTAAAGCGCAACGCAAAGTGAAATCGCGGTGCTGGGGCGGTGCATGGGGTTGTCGCTCCAAGGTCTGAATTTCATTGCCGCGCGTGTGGCTTCTCCTGACAGTGCCACCACGTTTCGTGGTTCAACCCAAGGACCAAGATGGGATTTTCGGGAAGCCTGTGGTTTTGAACTGCTCAGCCGATGGCTACCCAATACCCAAGATTATCTGGAAGTACTCAAAAGGTACACGGTTATGGTTGCAAACGACTGCAGTGAAATGCGCGAGAGGATGGGCGGGGGGGGGGGGTTGTTACAACTTGTTTATTCTAAACTGCACATTAACACTAATAGCACAAAACCCTAAAGTGCATTTTTTTTCTATCAACATCGCAAGCAACCATTATGAGGATATTGCAATATCGTTTTATTTTTTTTGTTGCAAACGACTTTAATGCTCATACATTCTCCTGTGTTTCTCCGTGTGAAAATGTTGTCTCTTTTTCTTTTTTTTCAGGAAACAATTATGAGACTCGAGCTAAAATTGCATTATCGTAAAATATATGCTTGGCGGGGGTGGGAACATATTTATAGTTCAATTCATTTTGAGCTTCCATAGTTTGTATTACACTTGAAGAGTGCCATTTCCACCGACACCATTACTCGTGAGCAGTGCGAAAGTATGCGTAGACCGATGATATGACAGCTCATTTTTCTTCTAGCAGCAGGTAATGGAACCCCCCACTTCTCAATCCATGCTGGGGTGAAAAAGAGTTTGAGTCCAGCTGCGCAGTAATGCCCAGGAGAATGCGTGATATGATGGTTTATGAGCCTTTTCTCCATAGGAAGTCGGGTGCCCCAAATTACGTATGGAATGAGGGTGGTTCCAGTAGTTATCTCACACCCAAGGATGGCTTGCGATATCCCAGTGTCGGACTTTAATTTGCAGGATGGGAGAATATTTCTCGCGTCACCAAAATGTCCTCCGAGGGCCGCGATTTAACGGCTCATATGCTTTCCTTTAATATGTGATAACATTTTTACACTGGGTTTTAATATTCCAAAATGACACGGAGGACAATTCAAGAGACCGGCCAACCCCCATGAGGATGTGTTATTGTACCGATATTTTTTCTTTGTTTTCTGCTGACTGAAAAAAAAAACCCTATTCCGTGAACAAAAATCGTTCACTATTGGTGTAATGTTGGTAAAACTTTCGTTTATTATTCATCGGGGTGTGGACATTCAGGTGTCCGAGTATGTTCCACGTGCCCTACATATTCTCACTACATGTACCGTAATGAGAGAAAATAATCGTTACTCACCATTAAGAGAGGTTTCCGTATCAATATTTACGAAACACAATGCGCCAAAAAAATCTATGTGTTGACGACAAAACCTGTTATAGCACCTCGAATTATAGCGAGAACGAAATAGTGAATTGTTACGGAATTGAAAAGGTATAAGTCTGAAGCCATGCGAATGAAAAAAGGGCATGTGATATTAAAATAAGAGGTATTATTATCGCTTTCAATTTGCAAACAGATAGAATTTCACTGTTTGGCCACTATTTTGCATAATAAGAAATGAAAGTCGGTTATAGAGTCATTTTTATCCAAAGCCCTCCGGTCTTTGGAGTGAGTGAGTGAGAGAAGCCAGCTGCATTGTCACCAATTGGGGTTTCCACTCGGGACTTGTGTGCTTCAATTTTTTGCTGTTGTGCTTCCTAGGTTACAAGTATAACTTTGTTAGAGAGTACACCAGGGGTTGTCTCAGGGATTCCTGCTTCCTTGTGCCCATGTTGTGTGGAATGACAACAACGTAGTGGTTAATGCACTCGGCTAAGTTCTCAACGACTCCTGGCCTCGCTCAGCAATGGCAGTTGATATCTGAAAATAGTGGGCCCAAGCCTCACCTATGTAAACTCAGTCTAAAATGCGTTGCAACGTCCACATGGGCAAAAACAAAAGGTGGATAGGTGTGATGCTGACCACACCGCTATCTTGTGTACCATGCAAGTTTTAATGGATGCTAGTTACCTGCAGATGCCCAAATAGAACACATGGCCAAAGAGGTTCTTTGTATTTAGTATTGTGTTTTTTTTTTCTTTCAGCATGTCAATGCATCGCCCTGGTTGTGTATGCCACTGACGGACTGCTGAATTGTATCCACCCGCCCCATCCATGCACGTGTCATTGACAGGCAACGGGAACCCACAGTTCCAGCCAGTGCTGAGTGGGGGTGGCCGCTTCCAGCCGCTCGGCAACGGATCCCTGCTCCTCCGCCAGGTGCAGGAGGAGGATGGAGGCTTCTATCTGTGCCAAGTCAGCAATGGAGTGGGCACCGACATCAGCAAGTCGATGCTGCTCAACGTGAAGAGTACGATGCTCTCATACACTGTTGCGCCGGTCGCGTTCACGCTGACAGATTTTGACTGTGCAATGAATGGCACGGTGCCATGGGCTGAGACACAGGTCACTTTACCGACACTCGTGAATGGGCCAATGGGGTCTTTTTTTTTGTGTGAAACCGAAGTGGGTTTGTGCATTCTCCTGTTGTTGTGCTTTTAACCGCTCAGATATCAGCACCGTGGATCTTCAAGGATATTGATAACTAACCCAAAAAGAAAACAAGGTTTTTACTCACTCAGCCTTTAGTGTGATTAGTCCTTATCTGGTTGAACCGCAAATGCAGAACATGTCCCCCCTGTAGATGCACAGCACATGCGGCGTCCCTTAAGGCCTGTGGCAAACACCACGTAATGAGTTTAACTTTGTGTGCTTAATTGGTTCCTTTCTGCACGAGAAGCTTGATCAGAAAAACAACGGATGTGGCGTAAAAAAAAATTGTTTACAAACTTGCTTCGACGTTAAGTTTGAAAGTACGTTTATCTAGAATTTAGTTGGTTTCTTGTGAGATAGGGTTTGTGATAATAAAAACTATCTAAATTGCATTGAATTAAGTTTGATCTGTGATGGAATTCTCACCGGGGGGAACGCGTTTGAGCTTGTGCCATGAATTGCAACGTTAATAAATACTCGTCGTGTTACGGTGGTAAGCCGTTGTCGTTGGACTTTTACTTTGCGAGCAAAGCATTGTTGTGCAAAAGAGTTAATCTTGGGAGCCACGTCAGTACTGTGGGCTCAACGATGACGATCTTTCACACGGGGTTTTAGAGACATTATTGATTTGTTGCATAAATAATGTGTTGCCCAAGGGAATGTATTCACCCTTGGTGCAATCAATCGGAGTTTATGATTTATAATGTGTGATTTGGATAATATTTTATTTTCAATTTAAAGCAAAGATAATAATATTTTTACATCATTAATGCTGGTTTGAGCATATTTGGCGGAGACGGACTAAAGCAAGTTAAAATATGTGCATTTATTTTGCGTTGCACAACATTCCGTATACACTTTCTATTTTAATTACAACTACTAATACATGCTAAATATTCAAGTACCGTTGCACCAAGAAAATACAATTGAAAATTCTGAATACATTTCAATATATATGTAATTATTGCATATTTATATCATTTACTTGCCCTTTCAAAACATTCTTATTTACAGCGCTGTATCATGATCAAAGTGGTTATGGTTCAAGTAATTAATCAGCCTTTGATCTTAAAAAAAAAACCTATCAGCATGTGCCTGTAATTAAGGTTTTGGGCAGTGTTGCTACACTTATCCTGCTATTTTAATACTGAAAAAAAATCTAAATTAGGTAAAGGACATGGTACATTTGTAAAAAGAAAATGACACACAAAACACCTAATGACTGCAAACCGGACTGGTCATATTAATCCTTCCTAATAGATCATTACAGCCATCCACTTGATTTGGAGGGTAAACCAGGGGCTTGTTCCAGTCCCGGACAAAACAATGGGTCGTTTATCGCCAGAGGAGAGAGACTACCAAAGCCCCAAGCTCAATCTACTTACTCATGACTTAGCATTCAGGACAACTCATTAAAAGGATTGCATTATTTTTATCACTGCGCGGGATTTGACCTTTTGCACGTGGAACATTTGCACCTCGCAAGCCCGAAAGTTGTTTGGGAAAAGAAAAAAAAGCACAGTTTGTATTTAGCAATACATTAAAATTGCCAAATGGTCATGTCTGTTTTCACGTATTGGAATTAAATAACGCTCTGGCACTTTCCTATCGATTTATGATAACACTTGTCACCACTTTGTGGGGGGGAGTGATTCATAAAGTTTCTATTTGGCGAGCCAACCATCTGTTCAACATGCACCATGGATATATTCCAATGGAATACAAAAACTGTTTATGCCAACATATTAAAAAAAACACACACTTGGTCCAACTGTTGGACCTAAGCTAATAGAATAATTTTTCACGTGTATGCAGACATCCAGTTGATAAATATATATTATGTGGGACATTCATGGTAATTGTCAGTGCTAATGATAATAAAACAAAGATGTACCACCGTGCTTATACGGTATATATGAATAATAAAAACATTTGTGGGAAGCTATGAACCTGCCAATACTTTAACCAGTGTTCCATCAGCAATTGCACCTGATTGAAGCCGTTTTGTAGAACCTTAAAACTGAAACGTATATTTTTTTAGAACATTTTAATGTTCTCTTTACAAAAAAGTGTCACGCTGCACATTTCACATAATATACGTGCCAATAGTATAGTCGCTTTATTTTGTGACAGGGATGGTGTTGACCGATGTGGCCGTTGTCATGATAGTAGTGTTGGCAAACAAGCCTTTAACACGCTACCAATTTTATCCGTAATAGAAGTGTTTTGGCTTGATCGGGTGGTGGCGGTTTTAACGACACATTTATATTTCTCTTCTTTGGTTCTTTCATTTATATTTATTTGATCTAAACCCAAAAACCTCTTATGGATACTCTTTGGTTCTTTCGGTAAAGTCACGTTGGTATAAAATAAAATAAATCACGACGTTTCGGGCGCCCGAAATGTCGTGATTTATTTTATTTTATACCAACGTGACTTTACCGAAAGAACCAAAGAGTATGGATTCCTGCAGTCACGAATGCTTCAAATCAAGACTCTTATGGATAATTAAGCCTTTGTTTTTCATTGTTGTTGGCACCTGCGTTGGTCCCAATAATTATTGTGAGCATATATTCCACATAGTATCAGTTTCCAACTGCGGGCTGCCGTGATGTTACTGGTCAGCAGGGGCGGAGCCAGGAGGGGTGACAGGGGTGACATTCTGCGTATAAGTGTACGACACTCGGTCTGGCGGACTCCGTGCAACTGCATTGTCAGAGTGTGTCGCCAACCGATGGCGTCTAGTTCAACAGCCTGACTCTCTAATCATTCTTGAAATTAACATTTGTTGAATGTCACCCCGGCCTGAAATCCTGGCTCCGCCCCTGCTGGTCAGTACACTGCTCTTGCGATGTAGTAATTTTTCCAGTTCGATTCCATCTTCTGGGACAGCTGTTGTTACAATGGTGCAAGTAATTATTTTTCAATCCCACCAGCCCTTGTCCACCCTCCAGTATGAGTGGATACTCCACGCTTAGTCGGTCACGTGTGACACCCGGGATTTCGCGACCAATGATATCCAGAATAGAGGTTTTTGGGTTAGATCGTGTAAATATTTACATGAATATTTATGCAATCTAACCCAAAAACTTGGATATATTTCCGTAAATATTTACGCAAACATTTACACAATCTAACCCAAAAACCTCTATTATGCATATCACGTGTGGTTGGGTAATGTATGGGGTACTCTGACCTTTTCCCAGATGTCTTACCAGTGTGGAAAAGTAAAACACCCTTTAGAGGGTGCCGGCTGGAGCTTCCTGTGCTGGAGAACATTCCAAAAGCATTGACATGAGCAAGTAATTAAAGGGCTGCACCTTTAAACGCCCTTTTTCTCCACTGCACTGGTACACATTAGGAGCAGAAGGGCAGAGTTCAATCGAGCGAGTGGAGTTTAGTTTATTTTTTAGTTATCCGTTTACTTGGTTGTTCTTGTTGCAGGGCCGTACATTCGCTCTGCATCGTTTGGCGCCGAATGTAATGGCCATCGTCGCATTCTATTAATATAATTGTGTGCTTGTCTCTGTAACATGTATGGATAGGGCTTGTGGTAGTGGATAATGTGGTCGTAGTGCTGAGAGTACTTTTGGTACTCAAGTCTTAATTTCATGCCTTAGGTAGCAATGTGAATGCCTGTGGCCGTGTTAACCATTCGCTATTAATTTGTACGCAGAGTATGCCAATTAAATGCACGGAAAAACGAAAGTATAATATTTGCACTGGGAATTGTCTACACACATCCACCTATAAATAGACAATTTTGCTGTGGGCCTCACTCTCAATGCCCTCTTTACCATGCTAAGACTCTTTCTAAGTAGATGTCTCTGTAATCCTTGGCTGGATCACACGTGTGATCAGCACAAGTAGAGACTTTGTAAACTTGGACAGCTGTTAACAATTAGCTGTAGGATATTTAGTCTCCATAGGAATTCACAGCATTGGGCCTCACCTCCAATGAAGGCACTAATAGGAGCCTTGGGCCCTGATATCCAATTTGACTTTTAACTCCTTAATGTCAGAAATATAGACTATTTTCACTTAATTGGTTTGGTTCGCGATGTGCGTGGTTAATAATGTTTTATTTCACCACAAACATTATGCCAGTGCTGTGAAAGCTTAAGGATATCTTGCTGCAAAAGCCCATATGGGAGAAAGAGTTTTAGGAAAATATTAAATAAAAGTTATGCATCCGCTAAGTTTAGAAATTAAATTTGCATTGTGCCATTTATTCCTTCACGGAAGGCTGACCAAGGAGGTTGCTTATTAACCTTCTGTGTTGTTTTAGGAATGCAGTACATTTGTACCATAGCCAGTTTCATGAGCATTAGCAGTGAGGGCTCTATTTGTCCAAAAATGTTATATATCACTTGCTCAACCAAATCAGTTGGTTGGGCGAATCATTGTGCATCGTCATCCGCCATTGTCTATCCACTGCTGGCTTAAGGCCTCATGCCATCGCCATTTTATCTTGGGCCGTCATAATCATCATCGTCGTCAATCATTCCAATAGGGAGACCACAGAGCTTGAGCAATTGTTGGCAGCAGTAGCTCTGGTAGCCTTTCCAACTTGCCTGAGGTTCACCCGTGCCTCTGTGTGCCAAATCTATGCGCGCTACAAATTCTACAGCATTTTGAGTGAATGATGGACGCAAAATAAATAAATCAATATTTATTATCTCATTCATATATTTACACAAAGACGGTCACTGCATCGCACACTTTTAGATGCGCTTCTGCTGCCATCTTGAACGCTCTTCCTTCCGATAATAGGAAGCCACTGGAGCTATGCACTTTTAAATCTAGTTTGTTGTCCTTCCGCGGCGCACCTCCGATTAGCACGGTTTGCTACGTACGGTGCAAAATAAGTTTGACATACATACTTACATGCATACAAGGAGCATGAGGGTAGCCAGTGAATGGTGTCAGCTTCAGTGGAAACGTCATGAAGCTGGGGCGGAGGCAGTGGGAAGGGGAATTGAGTGGAGATGAAGAGGCATGGTGACAGCGTGATAGGACACATGCAACGTGCGGGAATCGGTTTGAACCTCCGCGAGAGTGTGAAACGTTAATCTCAAAGCACAGATTGATGTTCAATTTACAAACGTATAACTTGCATGAAAGCGTCAGCGATGTAATGAGACGCATATATGTATGCAAATGTGAGCTAAAGATGCATGTGACCAAAATAAAATAATTGTTGGAGGGACACCTGGATAACGCAACACGGTGTATATATATATCGCTATTATTGGAAAACTAGGGTCAAAAAATTATACAGATTTTTCGAGTGGAAGCAGTTTGGCATGTTTGTTGGCACACTAATAGTGCTGGTTAATAACAAAATGTAAATGTTTTAAAAGGTAATTTTTGATAGTGTATTATCAACTCGTCTTAAACAATACTGGGCTGGACATTGGTAAGCTCCGTGTTCGGGTTCAAAGTGATTGGTTTTATGCTTTGGGAAGTTTTCCTCAATCAACTTTAAGCATACTCAGATACATGGAGGCACACAATCTATCCCAGCCATAGCAGTAAAAAGCGTATCTGGCTTCTTATATATATGAAAAAAAAATCACTTAAAAATTGCCACCACAGTTTGATAGCCGAAAAACAATTTGTATTTTGGGTGAGCAAATCCAATCGCACGTAACTAATTTTCCGTTCTTGGTTCTTTCGGTAAAGTCACGTTGGAGGGAAACAATAAAATAATAATATATATATATAAAACAATAAAATTCTTCAACGTGACTTTACCGAAAGAACCAAGAATATGAATCACTGCAGTCACGAAAGCTTTAAATCAAAATTAAATTTTCCGTTGTTGAACCGACACAACCTTTCCAAATGGCAACACAGCACCAAGATGGACGCCGCCTTGTTATTTAGCACAGTCGTTGCCGGCGTTGGGGCGCGAGGCTTTTGTCGACCGACTCGGCTGCGGGAGCGCTTATTAAGTGGCTCGTGTGCCCCGCACAGTCCCGGCCCTCGTGACCTCGCAGGCCAACGTGACGCTGGCGACCCGAGGCCAGCACAGCAACCTGCAGTGCTCGGCGCGCGGGGAGAGACCCATCATCATCCGCTGGGAGAAGGAGGAGACGCTCATTGATCCCGAGCGCATGTTCCGCTACGTCGTGTACACGCAGGACACGGGAGATGAGCTGCTCTCCACCCTGCAGGTGAGCCCAGCGCTCGTTTCACGTGCTGCGTGTGACGTTGCCACGGTGGTGTTATGGTTGGTGCACTGCATGTGCAATCCAGAGGTCGTCGGTTCGGTAATGTCTTTCTGGCGCAGCTGTTACAACACTGCCCAAGTTTCGATAAAGCTTCCCACCTCTATCCACCCAGCAGTGTAAAAGGGTATATCACAGTTCGTCGAGTGTGGTGGGGTAAAATGTGTCTTCCATGATGTCCTGCCAGCGTGGAAGAGTAGTCCAAATACCTTTATCTATTTGTAATGACGACTTGACACACTTCTCTTGAGATGGCACTTTATTGAAGACGCGTTCACTTGACATCAGGCGGAGACCCCCACCGCAACAACCCCGAGTCTCCCGCGCATTTCCCTTTTTTTACCAACACGAGGCCACGCCCCCCCTTCTCGATTATTCTCGCCGACTCTGGATGCTCGCTCCACCGGCAGACTCCACCGTCCTCTTCCGTCATCTGACCACGCTCCCTTCTCGATCATTCCCGTTCATTCCCGTAGCCACCAGTCCCTTCGCACTCACAACTGATACCCCTGTCATTACCCCCCGTGGTTACTAGTCCACTCACAGCGCATGTAGGCTCTGCTGTCATTACATCTTTATATGCAGACCTCCATGCCAGACATAAACAAGTGGTCAACAGTCGCCGGTCCCAATACAAACTCCTGGCCATTGTTTATATTGAGGTGGTTCCACCGACTGAGCTGCATCATGGCCACATTGGTATATCTATATTTTCCCAGGAAAGCTTCACGAAGTGGCAAGATGTTAACTACCTCGCCTGGTAGACAGGAGGTCGTGTGTTCGATTCCAACCCTGCCGCGTGTACATTTGAGTTTTTGTGTCTTTCTATCCTCCGGTTTTCCCTCCACATTTAGAATCAACATGTGTTTAGAGTATTTGGCTGACATAAATTTGCACATGATAAGCCACTTCGTTGAGCTATCATTTGTGGCCAGGTCGCTTCCGAAAAAAGGCTAAATACCTCAGTGGGCCTTACCTGGTAAAATAAAAGGATCTTTTATAGTTTTAAGTCCCATGGTCTTTTTCAGGAGGTTCCCTTTGGGATATTTGGGCATTCCTGTTCACGAATTTTCGTGGGAGGAAACTGCAGTAAGCGGAAAATCTTATTTATTTTCTGAGGAACAATTTAAACCAGACGGCAAACATTAGACTGAATAGTCATGCATTTTTTTACATAACCATGAGTGTCAAATCATGACAATTAATCACATTACTTAGGGGGTGAACCATTACACGCCTACATGATACAAACTGCACAGCATAGCAATTGCATGTATTTCTCCCTTTCCTCATAACAGACACCAACTCTAGCCCCATAGGAGTCTGCATTAAAGTAAATGGGATAAATATGAGTCGGTTTGAAAGTCGGTGGGGATAGATGCCTCTGATACAGAATGAGAGTAATACACCCCCAAACTGTGCCTCACTTCTGAAGCTTCTGAAAAGCTGTGCAAGTATTTACGGATACACAGGGAATGGATTTACCTTTGTTTGAAAAAAAAAATGTGATGCGCTATTACTCATCAACTTTTTAAGTAATGGAAAAAAATGTGGTCACCTTTTCCTCATGTTTGTATTCAAACTATAAATGTAAGGGATGTTTAATTTGTATTACATTTTATCCACGGCTGTTTTAATGTTTTAAAAAGCAATGAAAAGTGATGCACGACAGCAACTGTGGTTGCCAAATCTATGATTTGTCCAAGTGTCCACATAATGTAATTCAAATGTAACATTCTTTTAAGTTAGCGAGTCACAATTAGCATTCATGCAAAATTAATTTTCCAACAACATATGGAATGAAAAAAAATTCAAAACCCTTATTCATAACTTGTTATTCTGATTATAGTTCACTCAAATGATGGAACCTCCTTCCAGGGAACCACCTGTAAGGAGATGGAGCAACGAGATTCCTGTACTATTTATGCTACTATTTTTTTTATTTTACCAGGTGAGGGCCCACTGAGCTATACAGCTCTATTTCAGAAGCGGCCTGGTCACAAGTGATAGCCCAATGAGTGGCTTGTCAAATGCTCTCAACGATTAGTTAATGTGCAGGAGCTGCATGGATGTTGCATATTGAGATCATGAGGGATGTTAATGGCTTGGGAGGCTTTCATCCAGCAGTGTATAGATCATAGTTGATCCTGATGGTAATAGTCAATCCAACCGAGCATCCCTTCCTCTTGCAAGCACCATTGGTATAAAGATAACAGTGCAAACCTTTTTAAAGATGCCTAACGGCACCATAGCAATGTAGAATTTTCACAACTGGTGCAGAACCAACACTAATGTTGAGCACTGCATAGCATTGTAATGAGATGCTTTGGTGTTAATAAATAACACATATATGTGGGCAATGCATTGCAATATATATTTTTTTATAGCTCTCACTCAAATTATTAGCAACGGTAGCATCTATATTTAAGCAGGGGATGAAAATGCAGGCCCACTGAGACAAATGATGCAGTGCCTCTTTATCAATGGCGACCTGGGGTTGTTGCCTCGTCGCTCCTGCGTTGTAGATCCTGCCCACGGTACGCGGAGATTCTGGCTTCTTCACGTGCCACGCCATCAACTCTTACGGCGAGGACAGAGGGCTCATCCAGCTCACCGTGCAAGGTGAGTTAATGTAGCATCCCCCCCCCCCCCAACGTGCTGTTGTGCAGATTTACTCATGCGCGCCGGGAGTGTGGTTATCCCTCACGCGTGCACGGCACGTATATTCTGTGGCACCCTGTAACGATTGACCATGCGTCGCCGGATAATAGAATTTGCCTAGGGTATTTTACGTTGCGTTTCTGACTTGCTTATGCCGATGTGTGTCTTTCAAGCGCAACGTTTTGTTTAACACATTGCGCTTCCCAATGAAAACGAATGTTGAAATCACGTGGTGTGAATGGATGTATTTCACTTCTAAATGCTTGCTACTCCGTAGTGAATCACCATGACTCTTGTGGATGCCAGGTTCTATAGCTGCTTCCAATCATATTCACACTGAATTCACCCAATATCTTTAGAACTCAGAGATAAGCAGGCTTGAGCCAGGTTAGTGCCTCGGTAAAAATTCATAAATTCATACCAGGTGTTATAAGCAAAGGGCTGCAAGGTGGCCATGATAAGGGAGTAGAGCAATGGGTTGAACCCAGAGATGGTTCAATATATTGGATCTATCCGTGGATTTTATCTTTGATTGCAGAGCTTCAAGTGCTGTCTCCTCACTTTGTTGGTTTTCTCCAAGGTTCCCTGGCATCCTTTCCACATGCCAAACACTCATAAGTGACGCAGGACCCTCCTAAAAAAAGGTCTTGAGGAATGTTATTGCATTAAGGTCGGAATTCTCATCTCTAATTCCGATTTCTGATGCCACATTTACTCACCATCCTCTTGTCTTTTGCCTACTTATGCACTGACATCTCCCAGTCCTATGGTCGGAATGCTTTCTTTGCAGTGGAACAAAATATACACTCAGAGCAGTGAAAGCATTGCACTTGCATCTCACATTCAATAACAGAGCGTGGTTTATTAATGCAATGCAGATACCACACCGTGATTAACCATCAAAGGCCACATTTGTAAGGCTGCAGAAATGTGAATACAATCTAAGGTGTTTTAAAAATATATTTTCCCTACCTTCCCCAACCTTCCGCACCCGCCACCCACCCCACCGCACTCCCCCCCCCACCTGCCGTCCCCCAAGCAATGGGACGCCGCTTGATGTTGGGAAATGAGGCCACCGTGTGTAACAGCTGTTCATGTTGTGATTTCATGTTCATCAGAGCCCCCGGACCCCCCAGAGGTGGAGGTGAGGGAGGTGAATGCTCGCACCATCACCTTGCGATGGACCAGCGGTTTTGACGGCAACAGTCCAATCACCGCCTTTGACATTGAGTACAAGAACAGATCAGGTGAATGCCTGCTGGGTGTTTCATAAGTGGCATTTTGCACTGATTTAAGGCAGGTCGGTGACAGCTGTAGCGGAAAGGTGGAGGCCCAGAGTTGGAGCGGGCAGGTTGAAGTCATTCATCACCCCCATGTAACGCGCAATTCTCCAAAAAAAATGCTCTTAAAACCATTGCTGGCACACTGGCCTTAACAAAAAAACATGGAGGAGTCCATTACATATACATTTCCCCCTATGTCATCACTGTTAACATTGATAGTTTTCTTCTTTGTTAGGATCTGCTCGTGTGTCACATCCGGCACGACATATAATTTTGACCTTAAATAATTAATTTGATGCTATTGAGCACAATGGAAATCACAAACTGATTTTGCGAGCTCTTTAAGAAATAATGAATCACATAGATTCCTTGTGCCCTTAACCCGTGGTTTAAAATGTACGAACACACTTAATATACACCATTCCACTGACAAGGCATGCCTGTGACATAATCAGCTTACTCTAAGGCCTGCATTGTGGATAACTTGGCCATATGAATGAATCACTATTGTAATTAATGCAATGGTGTTTGGGAATTTCTAATATATGAAATATACAGAATATAAATAGGCCAAATGAATTGCTCCACGGCAAGACAGAGCTCAATGTAAGAGGAACTTTGCATACATTTAGATAAATACATGATATAGATAGATATATAGATAATGAAATGCACCCATCCTTATACATTTTGTATTATTTATAAAACAGTGATGTAATTGAAATTAATATAAGAACGCAATTATATATGCAAGTGTTCATACAATACGCTCGTTTCAACACTGTCATGACCTCAGGAAAACTTATGAGCATGACGCCAATAAAGACGACGACAATGATGATGATGGTGATATCGTGCTTATGACCAGATACTTGGGAACAGAAGCAGAGAACCAAGGACATTTCGTCCACCATCAACCAAGCGACCATCATTGACCTCCATCCCGCCACACACTACGTGTTCCGCGTGTATGCCAAGAACCGCATCGGCGCGAGTGAGCCCAGCAAGGATCTGCCCATCACCACACAAGAAGCTGGTACTTATTATCTGCTTGCAGCAGTCACAGCGGGTTCGGGATGTGCTCCAGATTTGGAGATTAATGAATAAAAAAAATCTGATATAGATACGACATTTTGGACTCTCCGGATATTTTTTTCCGAAGTGCCATCAACAACATGACGTATATGGTGCCAAAAAATGCTGCCATATATGGCCTTGGACGACATCACTGATGTTAGCAGACGGACATTTGACGAGAGTGCATAACATAATTGATCCTTAAATCTGAAGAAAAAAAAATCTAAATTTGCCCTAGAAAATCTGGAAATATTCAATATTATTTAATTCAAATCCATCTTTAATGGTGACTGCCTAGACTGGACGCCACGGCATGCATTGCCTGGCACTTGCAAAACCCACGTGTACCAATATTAGTATGCAGTTGAATCCCCTTATGTCCCATTGAGACACTGGCCCAAAAAAACACTTTGGTGGATATGATGGGAATGACATGCTTATCAAGTACATACAATTGCACTAGCCCAGTGCTCCAATTTAGATGGCACAATTTAACAATCTGTGAAAGGCAGACATCATTTTTTTCCCCTGTATGTTGTCAATCATAAAACAAAATGCGCGCTAGTCTCAGGTGCACAAGTACTGTTGTAAAATGAAAAAAACATTCCAATTTATATCCTAATGGTTGTTGCTAACAGAATGACATGTACACTAATAGCCAAATGTATATTTACGTTACTTGAACATATTTTTTTAAACCTAGTTGGGCAGCATGTTCATCACTTTAGTGCGTTTGCATGTAGGTATTTATGTGTATGTGCATGAATGATCTTGTGTGTATGTCTGATGTGTGGGAAGCGCCCAATTTGTTCATCTCTCCACGCTAATGTAGAGCTCAAAAGACTAATTTGTAGCTCTGAGTCAGTGTACGGAACATTAACTCATCATTCATGGGGCACTACTGAATATTCTTCACAGCCATATCGGACTCCTTACCCTCGTTCAGAAAATAACCTCCCGGTTGACTAGCGAGCATGTTATGTATATCTTTTCTGCAAGCTTCATTGGTCTGGCCTATAACATGTTTATTTACTTTTCATATCACCGCCACAGCTCCAGATGGACCTCCTTTAGAAGTCATATTGGAGCCTCAATCTTCGCAGAGCATTCGTGTCACATGGAAGGTAATGTTTTGTGTTTCACCTCATTAGCTATGTTCGACGATTGTGAAGTCTGAATAGTATGTGAATCCATAATGTTACATCTACAAATGGCGCTGACAAATATCAACAAATGCCAATAAATCTGAGGTAGTATTTGCAGCCGATGTGTAATGTCATGTCACAACAGTTCCACGATGTTTCCACATCTAATTTATCATGTTCATTTGATGTGTGTACGTGTCTATATTTATAAAAGCTTGTTTGTTTTGTTGGTGGGTATAATCGTTGTTAAATCATTATGAAAGCCATTGCTTTTTTTAAATTAAATGTAGAAGGTTAATTTGTGTACTTTTTAATTGATATCTGATGATTTTATAAATATAACTCTAAATTAATTTCCCGTCTTGCTCCATATCATTTATGCAACTTATATTGGATACGTTACGGCACTTCAATCCATCTTCAATTTCCATCGATCTTTGTAATTGATATAACATATTCGTGCTCTGCTTATGTAAAGGAAGTGAAAGGGGTTTGACACCAGCACAAACACATCACGGATTACAGTGCAATGTAAACTTGTTAAAAGCGCACGTTTAAATAAACCGTTTCAATAAACTGTACAACCATGGTGTCTTCCAAAGCTCTGGTACCCCTGCAGGAGAAGTAAAACATAGTGGGGGGGCGGGGGAAGTTCCTGAATGCTTATTCTTGGTTCTTTCGGTAAAGTCACGTAGAAGGGAAACAGTAAAATAAAAAAAATATCAAACAATAAAATTCTCACGACGTTTCGACTGCAACACAAGCAATCATCATCAGGTGTGAAAAGCACAGCAAGAACATTTTTAAAAAGTGGCGTTTTTTTTTTTCAAATTTTCTTGCTGTGGTTTTCACACCTGATGATGATTGCTTGTGTTGCAGTCGAAACGTCGTGAGAATTTTATTGTTTTATTATTTTATTGTTTCCCTTCTACGTGACTTTACCGAAAGAACCAAGAATATGAATTCCTACAGTCACGAAAGCTTTAAATCAAAATACCTAAATGCTGTCATGAATTCTCTAAAGAATCAATGCCCACTGGAAGAAGAGAGGGAGTTGAACGGGTTCCATATTTGGTGGCAAGCTTCCTCCCTGCCCCTTAGTTATGCACTTCGATGCTCTAGAGCGGTATTTTTTTACAATGTATTGGCCCATTTCCGCAGTTACAGCCATTGTTTGAATTCATGCAGCTGTAATAAATATGGCACTGTATGAATCTGTACGATGAACAGCTCTAAGTTTGACTGTGATGGGTTACATTTATGATGCTCGATCCTTCCACCATGCAACTACCGTCAGGACACCGAGTCTGTGAACGTGAGAAACACGTGAAGATATTTTTATTCAGGTATAATGCAGGCAATGCCACTCATATTGCTGGCTTTCTGAGTTTCTGTTGTGATCATTTTATGTCAGCAATCCTAACAGTGTCTTAGTTTGAGCAAAGGGGAGATAACGCTCAACCATGAGAATATGTAGTGTCGGTGACTCATGTCTTCTTACATTTATGTATGTAATCTAAATATGAAACAGCATTTCAAATCAATCGTGTAAATCTATCTGCCAGATGTTGGGACGTTACGCAAGCTGTGACGTCACCACACCCTGCTTGTCGTTGACTTTTTGGTGACACGCACAACTGATTAATAGAGATATGAAGCAATTGGTGGGACCCCGGGGTCCCATCACTGCCCCGGGGTGGGAAAAACCGCGTAGCGACACGAGTCTTGCCTTACCGACAACAAAACTAGCGGTCAATCGATTGGCCTCGTCGAGAGCTACTCGGGGCACTAAGTTTCGTAAAAAGTTGAAACATTACATAAACACGTTAAATTCACTGCCTGGGGGGGCGGTGGGGCTCGCCTTGGCAAAGAAGCTGAGGATCGACGGCTGACCGGAGGGCGTCGTCGCCGCGCGCGACTGCGGCGGACGCCCCCCGGGGCTTGCGTTTGGCCGGTGGGGTGGCGCCCATCGTGTTGATCGCCGCCTGCTGCTGGCGCTTGTTGGCACGAGTCTGGGCGGGCGGCGCGTTGCTGTCGGGATCACGAGTGGGGCGGACTAAAGAAAAATAATAATTATTGACCTGATTTTTGCGGGACCCCGGGGTTCCGCCAAATGATTCATATGAATAAACACCGTTAATATTACACACACAAAACAAGAACTGTGTTATTCCGAACACTGACTACAATGAAGATGGCATGCATTTAATAATACTATAGCTAATTATATTCATATTGCTATATGGAGTAAGTTAATGAGGTAAATTATGCCTTCCCTTGGTAGAGAATTAAAAACACGTCAGGGAACAGCTCCGGTGGATGACATCGCATACCCTCATTAAGTCACTTAATTAATATGGACCTCTGTGCACTTTTTTAAATAATCTCGTTCTGCTTCTCCGCATATTCGTGTATTTTAGCCATTAAAATGTGGCTAAAGGAAGTTCAGCGCGAGAGAAAAACAAAAACCTAAAAACTTTATTATTAGTCGTGCATTTATTCAAGACTGGCATTGGCCAGAGGTGGCTGTGTGGCTCAGAAGTCAGAGGACTGAGCTAACGCCACTGTTATCCGAGGGCCGGGGTTAGGAAGCCACTTGTGATGAAGCAGGGTTCTCAAATATATTTAGTTTATGGTCTCAGCCAAATGACTGTACTAACAAACAAACAAACTATCACCTTCAATGTTGTATCTGTGTTTAATTTGGCTGTATTCTGGCTCCGAGAATAAAGCATATATATCGATTTTACTGTCAGGGACTAATATTGCTTTCATGTGGCATGGTCTGCGGGAAAGCGCTTCCCCTTAGTGTATGGATCAAAGGTCACTTGAAGGGATTTCAGAGGTAGCTCTATCATATTTACTTCTGTGGGCCGTTCTCTAACACAGAGGGTTGCAGTGCTCTACTCTGCAAACGCTGCAAATGGATACTTGGTCTCTACTCTACTGCAGGCACAGTCGGGAAAAACCTGGGGAAACGTGACAAAAAACAATAAAAAAGATTGGCTGAGACCATCAACTGCCTACGCTTGATAACCTGGTGTAATAATCACAGATAGGTTGCCCACATTCAAGCTCAGAATTTCAGCAATGCTAAAACGGTTCAATGATCTGAGAAAATACGAGAGCTAGTCTGAGTATGCGTTACCATAGAGATCCACATCCATGCGAGTGATTATTTAGATTGTTTGGCTGCTATAAATTTCCACATGATAAGCCATTTTGTTGAACTATCATTTGTGGCCAGGTTGCTTCTGAAAAATAAACTAATAGCTCGGTGGGCTTTGCCTCGTAAAATAAAATAAATAAAAAATGTGTGTGAATTGCTGACCTTTCCTATGCGTTGCACTCCTATTGTGTTTGTATTGTTTGTTGTTGTATCTTTCTGATCTGCTCGGTCATCCTCGCAGCGGATTTTGGCTGGCCATCGAACATTGACAGCCACTGCATCGCTCGCTTTTAGATGCGCTTCTGCGGCCATCTGAAACGCAATTCCTTCCGATATTAGGAAGCCATTGGAGCTTTGCACTTTACAATCTCGATTGAAAATTAATTTCTGTAGATCAATTTTTGTGTGTTTAGTTTGTTGTCCTTCCCCCGCACCTCCGATCAGCGCAGTTGGCTTCGTACGGCGTGAAAAAAAGTTCAACATGCATAAATATAGCTCATCGGATTTCTCCAGTATAAATTAATGTTCTGATTCTGATTGAGTATTCTCACTGCGCATATCTCTGCCTCTGCCCCGCCTGCCGTCTTCGCTCAGGTACCGCATGGGCACCTACGCAACGGTGTCATCCGGGGCTACCAGATCGGCTACCGCGAGGCTGAGCCGGGCAGTGGGGCCTTGTCGCAGTTCAACATCGTGCGGCTGGAGAGCACGGGCGAGCGCGAGTCTTGCCTGCTGCATCACCTCAAGAAGTTCACGCGCTACGCCGTGATGGTGCAGGCCTTCAACCTGGCCGGCAGCGGCCCGTCCTCCTCCGAGGCCTACGCCGCCACGCTGGAGGACGGTGAGAATCTCGCCTGCGCAGATCATCAACTTTTAAATTGAACGAATTTTTTTGTAATTTTCTTTTTTTACCAGGTAAGGTCCACTGAGCTACAGAGTTCTTGTTCAGAAACGACCTGGCCACAAAGGATAGCTCAACTTCGTTATCCTGTATGTGGAAATGTATAGCAGCCAAATACTCTAAACGCATGTTGGTTTTAAATTTGGAGGAAATCAGAGGACCTGGAGTAAAATCTACAAGACTACAGGGAGAACATGCAAACTCCAAATATCAAGGCATCAGGGTCGAGATCGAACCCACGACCTTCTGCATACTAGGTGAGGTAGTTAAAATCTCGACACCGTGGGGCGAGATGTTTTCAGGACCGAATGGAACTTCAAAGTAAACCTTTGTGGGCAACCTCACACGAACACACGCCTCTGGCACTTCTGACAATACAAAACGGGGCCTCTGCAGGTAACCCAGGTAACCCCTTTTGTGTGCATGGTTAATAGAGTGAATCTTTGTGTAGATAATAGTATTTTCCACGTATCAATTTGGGAGGGTGGGATGGGGTGATGGTGGATTATCGGAAGAGCAGATAATTGGAGGGTAGATTTGCAGAATGTCCATCTACCTGCTAACTTCATCATGGACACACTGTCTGTTTTTGGCTTTGTAACAAAGGACAACAGCTAATGGGGTCGAGTTAACATTGGTAGCAACCACAGATCTCCGAATCACCGTTGGTGCTTGATTGTGAGAGTATTGCTAGCAACGGGTTTATTTGTTATTCATTGCATTGTACATCATTTACATTTGGTGTCGGCTATTTAATCGACGCCACAAAGGCGCATCCATCAACGCAAATGAGTTGCCGGTCGTGTTGATGGGTTTCTGATCATTTATTCACGGGAGAATCGGGGAGTTGGGTCGACATAGCAATTGAAATCCTTGGCCGAATTATTGCTATACGTTTTCCAAGAGGGACCCCGATTTCACTCACATTCATATTCACTACGTGTGGGAATTTGCACGAGGCCACTAAGTACCGCGACACTGTGTGTGGCAAGAATATTGGAAGATTGGACTGAAAACCACTACTTCAAGATCAAGTGCATTGAGGTTCCGCCTCTGGCAGCCTGGGCCGCTACAGCTTTCAGCTGTGATCTCAGCTTAAGGCACAGCCTGTGATCATGTCGATTACACAGGTTCGAGAAAAGTAGTGTCTACATGATGGCAAATTCTGGCTCTCGTTGAAACTAATACGTAACTATGGATTAGACATCGTTCATATCACTGCTCTATACCTACAAAGGCACATAATGGGATATAATTGGAAAAGCTTAAAAAGGCAATGCTAAACATCACCTAACATCTTACAACTGAATGTTATGAAGTGTAAGAAGGAGTTTTGTAGTCATAGGGTGTAGTTTCTTGTTTTTCAAAATATGTTTTGCTTTGCCAAATGATTCAGAAGCTGGCAGTCACAGTCGGTATTCACTAGGCATGGCAGCATCCCTTCCCTCTCTCCACCCAGCGCCCTTTTGGTTTCGATGAACTATTACAATTCTTCATCGCGATTCGATCAAAAATATCTATTGTCTAATTTTTACCATCCCATTCGCAGTGTTTCACCTTTTTTAATTTCGCGAGTACATTCTAATTCATGACAATGGCCTCGATCAATGGAAAGTGAGAATATAAGCAGCATACAGTTTGCATAAATTATCATGACGACGGCACGCACGGGCAATTCCGTGCGTGGATTGCAAGGCTAAGAATGCAATTTTCACTGCTGAATCGATGCACCGTTTGACACGCCTGTGCGCGCCGCGCAACTAACAACTTCAGCGTTTAAACATTTGCTTTGCGAATGCAGAGGGATGTTATTGATGTCGGGTCACAGCTCGAGGGGTATTGGCCAGAACCATTTGCTGGGGGACTGTGGCTGAGAGAGGCTCACGTTATCTGGTGCTCCCCTTCACGTGCAAGGGAGGGCAGCTCCTCCTTGCCCATCCCCCCTCCCCCTCTGCCCCCATTCCATTCCCTCTCCCTTCAGCAAAATTCGCTCGCAAAATTAGATTGAAAAATGCGTGCAGCTTCTTCGCAGACAAAATGCAAAACAGTGCATCTTGAGTTTTTGTTGTTACATGAATGTGTAACGGGGGAGAGTCAAAGGAGACGGATATTCACAGCAGGAAGCAATTCAAGGAGGGTAAAATGATGATTATTTTCACACTCGTTGCCTCGTAAATGAATGTAAGCCCGTCGAATGGAATAGTCCCAAATTGTGGGAAGATGCTTAGGTTGTTATTCCATTGTTGAAGGGTCAATATTTTTTTATTTGTATGATAAAATAAGGTTGTTCGAGCCCAATTTAAAAACGTGTACAATAATAGATGCATTATGAGAAGGCAAAATATAGTCTCTTTGGCGAAACATTTCTTATGAAATGACGAAGCTGAATTCTTCCGTGTATTATTGCAACACATTTTTTTCTACGTGTTTTTTCTGTCCATATTGCCTTTACCGATAATTATTAACTAAAGTGCTGCATATAATTTCCGAGCTCATTTCCTATTATAGGCATCATGCTTGATGCTCTAATGAACATCCCTCACGTGACCTGATTTGTTAGTGTTTATGGATGAATACAACTCCTATCGCTTGTCCACCTACTTTCAGTTTGTCCACCTCATTTATTGTCACACATTTGTGGATGTTCTCCATATTTTCTGAACTAATATTTTCTATTCTGTAAATGTGGCCGATCGTGGAGATAACTCCTTGTTTAAGTAAATATACAGTGGCACGCATTAGTCATTCTCACTGGGACTCTACTCCTTTTTCCTATTCTTTTGCCATTGATTGATTCAAAGTTAGGTTTTTTAAATATGATTATTTAGTTTTTACATACGGCACATTTCCACTCGCTTTTAAGTTATAACACCAAAGGTTACGTGCAAATCGGAATTAAAGAGTAACATCTGTCCTCAGTTTGGCACGTGAAATAGTTCCATTAAAAAAGATGAATCGGTCGAACCGCAGAAAATGTACGTGATCGCTTTTTTTGCATGTAGGGCCTGTGATGTGCGTTTGTACAATTAAACCTTTGATTTCACACGTAGCGCACGCGGTTCGCTCGTCGCGACACCTGACTGATCAAACGGTAGGTGTGGGAGGTGGGGGGGGGCCCGCTGGTAACTGACTTTTGTTGTTGCAGTGCCAAGCAAACCTCCCGCAAACATTCAAGCCGCCTCCATATCGGCTGACGCCATCACCCTGTCGTGGTCGCCTCCGCCCCGCGACGCGCACAACGGCCTCCTGCAGGGATACCGAGTCATTTACTACCCTGTTCTTCCCGACGGAGGTAAGTCGTGACATCGTGCAGCGTACAAATAATACAAAAAACAACCCGCGAATGATGGCAAAACAGAGCGAGTTAACCGAGCTGTTCGTCCCATCAAATGTGCCGCCAGTTGGGATGAAATTACCCAGTGTGTATCTTCGACATTCTAACTGCATGCATCTTGATAATAGCGTTGCTATGCCCCAGAACATTACCCCGATAGTGTTTTACTTCCCATAAACATATTTTTTTTTGTCGTACGGAAGCACACTCCTTTATTCACTTCATTATAATTTAAGGTAATGGGATACTGAATGTAAGCAGCTGTTTTCAACTAAGCTCAATTGGCAAGAATACGTTTACATGAAAGCATGATAAAGCTGTCTCGGCGCGAGAGAGGGTCCCATTGTTTTGAGGGAGTGTTTTTGCCAATTGCAGTTGGCGCTTCAGCAGCCTGAATTTGCTGATGAGATGCAAAAGGTTAAAACTGGATTCAATGTTATTATTTGTTTTACGTTAGATAATTCAATGGGTCAATTTTGGAAGATGTGCTACAAAAATAAGTATTAATTTTGATCTGGAAAAAACAGACAAATTGAAGAATGTTATTGATATATCACACTATGTAACACGATTTGTGTCCCTGGGTAGTGTTATTTTTTAATTGCTTATGCCTAAAAAGTATAGAAAATGACTATTATTCCCTACAAAATTTGCTTTTGTGACCAGGACTTTACGTGAAAGAATGACACAAATGCACACCACGTGTTCTCATTGAAAATAGGTACATTTAAAAATATCAATGTCCTGGTCACAAAATCAAAGTTTGTGGGGGATAATAGCATTTCCTGCACTTTTGAGGCATGAGCAATTTGGAAATAATACTTACTATCCAGGAACAATTTTTTTGTTACACAGTGAAATGGTTACCTTATACCAGGGACACCCAACAAGAGCCTGCAGGTCTGATCCACCCACTGACTCGTCTTATCTAACTTCCAGCATCCGCTCTCAAACTTACTATTTAATACAATTACAATTCTTCATCGCGATTCGATCAAAAATATCTATTGTCTAATTTTTACCATCCCATTCGCAGTGTTTCACCTTTTTAATTTCGCGAGTACAGCCTAATTCATGACAATAGCCTCAATCAATGGAAAGTGAGAATATAAGTAGCATACAGTTTGCATAAATTATCATGACGACGGCACGCACGGGCAATTCGGTGCTTGGATTGCAAGGCTAAGAATGCAATTTTCACTGCTGAATCGATGCACCGTTTGACACGCCTGTGCGCGCCGCGCAACTTACAACTTCAGCGTTTAAACATTTGCTTTGCGAATGCAGAGGGATGTTATTGATGTCGGGTCACAGCTCGAGGGGTATTGGCCAGAACCATTTGCTGGGGGACTATGGCTGAGAGAGGCTCACGTTATCTGGTGCTCCCCTTCACGTGCATTAATTAGGCTGTACTCGTGAAATTAAAAAGGTGAAACACTGCGAATGGGATGGTAAAAATTAGACAATAGATATTTTTGATCGAATCGCGATGAAGAATTGTAATAGTATTAATAGTAAGTTTGAGAGCGATGCTGGAAGTTAGATAAGACGAGTCAGTGGGTGGATCAGACCTGCAGGCTCTTGTTGGGTGTCCCTGGTATAAGGCAACCATTTCACTGTGTAACAAAAAAAAATTGTTCCTGGGTAGTAAGTGTTATTTCCAAATTGCTTATGCCTTAAAAGTGCAGAAAATGCTATTATTCCCCACAAACTTTGCTTTTGTGACCATTGCTCTCAACTTACTATTAATACAGCCCACCACAACGTAAACATTAACTGAATGGAGTTAATTATTTCACGCAAGTGTGAAACTGTGAAGTAAACGATCTTAGACTGAACGGCTATTCAGATAATGTGAGATGGGTGGCAATTAGACGTCAGCGCGTGTAAGTGCTGTACCTTCATGTTTTACATATCTCTCTGTCAATTCAATTTGTCATATCTCTTCTGAATATATCTCCTAGCTGTTATATTTTCTTTCCCCAACGTCACCTCTCCTATATCTCTTTTATAGCTTTATTTTGACTCTCTCTGCATATCTCTCTTTTTATAGATGTTCTAAATACATTTTACTTCTATGTCCGTTTTTATTTGTTTATGAGATATTTACTCTTGATTTGAAGCTTTATTTACTATGTGTCTGTGGCCCAAGGTTCTCCGAGTGTAGTCAATTTGGCATTCTATGCCAAAAGGTTCGGTACCCCCGTGCCTTACGCTGTATGCAAGTGAAACAGATTTGGCTGTTGGTACTTCTTAATGAAATATGAGTGTGCGAAAAAGAGTTTGCGCAGATGGAAGTGGTGAAAACGTGTCTCCGTGCCGATGTGCATAGTTCACGCCTCCTTTCCAAAAAGAACCGAATGTTTTCACTTCTTGAATGGGACAACCTTTATCTGTGATGGCAATTGGTGTGCTCACGCCGTGAATTGCGCCATACCGCCCGCTTGTCAGGAAGAACATTGTGTTAGGTACCAAGAAGGAAAATTAAAATGAGTGTGAACCCATTTTTAGATGTAAAAAGATTGCAAATATTACACTCTGATCATAGTGTTATTCGTAGTAGTAGTAATAATACCGTAATGCCAATGAATTACTCAAGGAAACCTCACTGAATGTCAAGATACTTTAGCGAGATAGTCCTGAATTGGGATGTTTGACAAACGCTATAGATGCATGTTTGGCATGCGAGAGGAAACTGGAATTCCCATTAAAATCCTATGAATGTTAGGGGAGAGGGTGACTCTCAGCACTGCCATCTCTTGGCCATATCACAGCCCCACATCTACAACACCTGGCAAGCCCCAGTGATGATCTATCCAGGCTCTAATCAACCCAACGTACATCTAGAGATAGATATGACAAGATCAGATATATTGAGGGTGATCTCGTCGTAGACAATCAAAGTAATGATAACGAAGTAACCTTGTGAATAATATTTTTTTCTTCTTGGTTCTTTCGGTAAAGTCACGTAGAAGGGAAATAATAAAATAATAAAAATAAAACATAATAGAATAGAATTCTCACGACGTTTCGGCCACAACGCAAGCAGCCGTCCTCAGGTGAAGAAACAGAGCTGTCGGAAAGACAGCGCTCCAATGAACACTGTGAATAATACTCAGATAAAAAAAACTATTTTCACAAAGTGATTAGGATGTGTGTTGACAAAGGTTATTTATTATGCTAATTCTGATTTAAAGCTTTCGTGACTGCAGGGATTCATATTCTTGGTTCTTTCGGTAAAGTCACGTAGAAGGGAAACAATAAAATAACAAAAATATAAAACAATAATTCTCACGACGTTTCGTGAGAATATAACCATAAAATTCTCACGACGTTTCGTGAGAATTTTATTGTTTTATATTTTTATTATTTTATTTGTTCCCTTCTACGTGACTTTACCGAAAGAACCAAGAATATGATGCTAATGTTTATGTAATTGATCTAATAATTTAATTATTTAGCTTCCCGTGCTTGTTTTAATTACATGACACGATACATTGTACAGAATATTTTATGAAGCGACGGTGAAGGTTGTTGGTATTTAGACGATGAATGTTGTTGGATTTAAATAAACCTTTAAGAGATTAACATAAACACTGCAGTTAGATGTTCTTTTTTTTAATTTGCTACACAGTAGAGCAAGCTTCTACATTCAAAGAGACTGCTATTCTTACGGATAATACGTGTTAGTTTGTTCATGTGCTCCTTTTAAAATGCATATGGGAAGCGCATAGCCTCACACGTGACATGTCCAATAACAACGCAAACATTCGTCCCCAGACTCTGTTCAGATGTTACCAGCTTGAAATCAGTGCGTAATTAATTTGGACGCTAAAATGCCGTGTGCTCAAAGGTCATGAGTGTTACAGTTTGCTTTATCTTTTCAAGGTAACAAGAAATGGAAGCCAGATGAGAGGGGGAAGAGACCACTAATAACAATAGTAATAAATTACTCGGCATTTCTACTACCGCCCAGGGAAAATAACCCATTGTGACACATAATGCTTTTGAAAAAGCTATTTCTCACTTTATACACAATGTGTTTTTTTTTCTCTCCCCCTCTGCCTCTTTAAAAAGAATTCCAAAACACCGTAACATTTATGTGATACAGTAAGGGTAATTTACCGCCTATTGTTTGTACTGCGGCGAATTATTAATTCTCGTCCTTCCTCCATGTGCAACACTAAAAATAAACCCGGGGTCTGTACGTGCAGTGAATTGGATAAAGATTGAATAATTCAGTTAATTTCGGACGACTGGATATGCCTTGCTGTGGTGCATCCATTTTTATCAGGCAAATGTATCGAGGCAGCGTAATGGCATAGAGATAATTAAATATTGATGGCCACGCAAAGCAGCGAACACAGAGCTGTACATTCAAATGGATATTCTTGGCAGAAAAAGTTCACGGGCAGTGGCTTTGTATAATGAAGAGCTTCAGTTTGTGATAGATGAGCAGTGTAAGGGGGCCACGCACTAATTTTGCATTATTAACATAACCACAACCAATTTCTGAACAGGATTATAAACTTGAAAGGTGAAAAAGAGACCCGTGTCACATCCATTAATTATCCTAAATGTATGTATATTTAAATAGCGGTGGAATGTTTCACATATTAACGTAGTGGACCATGCTGGATTTAAATTAGTATGTATTATGTATGAAAAAATATATGGTTTTATATATTATTAATGTGTGCATATGAAATTGTGTATTTATGTTTGGATGTTGCTTCTTTCTCTCTGCACCTTCCTCTGCGTATTTGTGGTGTTGTTTATTTATTAAGTCATCCTACTTTGCCAGGGGAATTTTCACGCTTGCTCACACTTTTTATGAGCAAATATGTTTGTATTTACGTATTCATTTTTCTGTTTAATAATTGATTGAAGCTGATTTTTTTATTTGTACAACAAAGCGATGTGGACTGCCCTTTACTTGTGTAGTGACTGACTTGGAGATGTAACTTATTGGAGGCAAATCTTTAATTAAACACCGAGCACACTTTGTACACTTTGTACAATACACACCGTACACTGTTACACACTCTCTGTCTCTCGCTTATACGCAACTCTACACTGGTTGCTAGCATACAACACAACGCTAGCCGTCTGACACTGACGGCGCTGAACTAAGACAGCCAACTACGTCTAGCAGCACAATTATCAAGTGGAGACGACAGCGATGAAGGTGACGTGGTTGTGTCCACCAAGGTGTGGCTGTGTGTTTCCTTCCCACAACACCCCTACAAAGTCGACGATCTTCAACAGCAACGACGACAACGGGGATCCCACTCCAAACGACAGCCCCGAGCTCCCGCTCGGTTCCCCTTTTATCCTGTTATCGTGGCCTCGCTCCGGCTCGGCCACGCCCCCCTTCTGGAACCTACTAGTGGGCTCTCGACGTGTCCCTTCCATAACCTTTCCCATAGATCCCTCTCGGGTCTATCACGTGGCCTGCTGTCAGTCAGGGCTGCTACAAGCTGCAGATCCCCTTCCCTGCCAGCAGCCAGCGCTATGCTACGTAGTGACAAATTCTATGTCACTACACTTGTGAAACTGGGGCAGCGTGTACGCCCTGCGTAACATTTGTGAAATTAAATGAGAATCTGCCCCCAACATATAACCTGCAACCCCACTCGGAGTGATGTGGATTATCGTTGTCATAGTGGCCACAATCATTATTGTTATCATCATTGTCATTTTGGTCATAATAACTTTCGTCTCTATCATCATCATTAATAACCATCATATGATGTAGGAAATAATCGTTTTTGAATTTATATGGCGTGAAAATTCCTCAGTAATTGAAAGCGCTCTACATCACATCTTATCTTCTTTGGTTCTTTCGGTAAAGTCACGTAGAATGAGAATAAAATAATAAATTGATAAATAAAATAACACAATAATATTCTCACGACGTTTCGGCCACAACACAAGCAGCCTTCATCAGGTGAAGGGACGAGACTGTCTGGTAGGACAGCGCTGGAGTGAACTGGTAGGACAGCGCTGGAGTGAACTCCAGCACTGTCCTACCAGACAGTCTCGTCCCTTCACCTGATGAAGGCCGCTTGTGTTGTGGCCGAAACGTCGTGAGAATATTATTGTGTAATTTTATTTTATCAATTTATTACTTTATTCTCATTCTACGTGACTTTACCGAAAGAACCAAAGAAGATGAATCATTGCAGTCACGAAAGCTTTAAATCGAAATCACATCTTATCTCAAGCATCCAAAGGGCACCCCTAATGGCAGATATCCCTGCGCAGCACATGGCGATTCGGCAGCAGTGGCCTGTAAATGGCCATTATTCTGACATTTGGGTGGGCGATGATTAATCTGTGTGTAATTCCAATGAGTAAAATATAGGTACTTTTTTAGAATTTTGGCAAATTTGGACCATGACACCGGCACACTGTGCAGCTGACTGGATTTTTATGTTTTTACAATGCACATTGTCATCTCGATCATCAACATGCTATTCACAATCATCGACCCCAAAAGGGTTTTTGTGCTTAGTTTGTTGTCCTTCCCCCCACACCTCCGATTACCACAGTATGGTGTGAACGAAGTTAAACATACATACAAACCAATAAACCGATAAATAATTATGCATACAGCTGTGAACATCATAGTCATCGTCGCTAAGCTATGATCTATCAGCGGCTGGATGAAGGCATCCACAAATCATCACTATCCCTTATGGTCCACAATGCGACATTCCATCTGGCTCCTGAGCACAAAGCTGATCACATCGCTCCATCTCTGTGGTGGACGTTCCGTAGTGGCATGTACGTCACGACAACCAGCCATCATCCCTTTGTGCAATGTGCCCTGTCCAAGTCCCACTATTAGACCAAAACACAGAGATTACTCGCACATGTACCCAACCTTTTTCTGTCACCTATTACCGGCATATTGTGTTTGTACTTGTATTTTTGATTTGTATGTGTTTTGTTTACGCACGGATCTCCCATGTAAAACTGGCTTAACGGGACCATCCGTGTAACAAATTAAACAAATTCGAACCTACTTTTCATAATGACAAATATGATGCCTCTAATTTGTATAGGTACCTCTCTACCATGCTTCGTTGATGACCTTTCAGCTTTTAATCAATTTTCTTCATCAAGTGCTTGTAAAATCAATGTCATATAAAATCACTATGTTACTGTTATATCAATAACATAGCGATGTCATAAAAGAATACGTGCAATGGGAATGTAGTCATCTTTCGTTCTGACTTGTCCTGAAAAATGATGACCACAACTTAATTGTGTGGGTTTGCATGTGTGTATATATACTTTCTGGTTCTGATACACGACGATCCTATTATAGATACTCCCCACTAAAATAGTTATCATCACGATCCGTGGGCAGCTAGCCCTCAAGTGTCCGCTGCAAAGTTTGTCATTTGTTTCCACTTTCCTCCGTCTCGTGCCGATATGATCAAGCAGTGCCACAACTTTCTGCCACCAATTTCTTCCTATGTCGTCAAGCCATTCTCTGTCAGGTCTTCCTCTCTTTACAGTTCCTTCCATTTTTCTGAACAAAACACTTTTAATTTAACCTTTTGTTACCTATAGTACATCTACTACATATGTGTCGCACTTTGGTTTAGCACGGGCAGCCAGGTACGGTGCTAAAGTTGTTCAACACACATAAATAGTGCCAGTTTCCTCTAAAATAATAGCAAGATATTATAGAGAAGTCAAAGCCTGTATTTATCTCCTATCAAACTTTTGAAATATTTAATAATTCTCCTTGGAAAGATATGGAGCCATCGCTTTCACGACATTCAATCACCTGTTGAAAAGGAAGTAAGAGGCTCGTTATAAATCAGTGGGGTATCTATAAATAGATAACTCGGTATTTCTACTTTAGAAAGGTAATACAGGACTGTGACTACATGTTCCATGTAATACTTATCTTTGCCTTTCACTGTTGATATTCAATGGGTTTTGATTCAGTACTCCGATTAGCAGACACCTCCGATTAGCTTAGTTGGCTACTTACGGTGAAAAAGAAGTTCAACGTATATACATACTAATTTGTTCAAAAACTCAACACATTTGTCTATAGCACTGCCCTAAATAATAATAAAAATGGATATAATTAAGTAACGTTTAAGGCAAGGGGCTCTTCTTATTTTGAAGAGCTATGAATAAGGGCCATTACCTAAAATATTACCTATTATATCTATTTTTGTTATTTTAATGCGATTGACAAATGAATTTACTTTTTGTATTAATTGTGCTTTTGTGCCGCTGCTAAATGCGGTATCACTCACTAAACTGAACGGTTTTATTCAGCATCTGTGTCACTTTGTGTCTTGTTTTTTTTCACATTATGATCATTACTATTATTATCGGGGACTGATCGTGGTCCACCATTGTTCGATCAGAGCTTGGAGATGTGAGAAACTTGACCACGAGCCAGCTGAGAGCCGACCTCAGGGACCTGGAGAAGTTCACCAACTACAGCCTTCAGGTTCTGGCGTTCACTCGCGCCGGAGACGGAGTCCGGAGCGTGGCCACCTTCGTCTGCACGCAGGAGGACGGTACGTACGGTGCTCCAACCAAAGACAAAGATTCCCCCATATGGCCAAAACAGACTGTTGGGGCAAGTGCCCTTCGCGAGTGGCACCTGTGAGCGTGAGCATGGCGCACGAGGCGGTGGGTGGCCAGCACCACGCCCGGCCGCCTTTGTCTCCCCAGTGGCTATACTTAGTTGCGGGAGTGCCACAGCTCCACATCGCACCAGGTACTCATTTGAGGCTCAGCCGACCTTGGGGAAGCCCAGGACCGGTTCAGATAATTGTCATTGGTGTTGGTCGTGTGCGGGAATCGGTAGTGCAACGGTTAACGTGCTACCGCTCCCCACATGGCTCCATTGCAAAAAACAAAGACAAAGATTCCCCCCGTATAGCCTTAACAGACTGTTGTGGTAAGTGCTGTTCGCGAGCACGTGATGAAAGCCGGCACTGCACGCGAGGGGGTGGGTGGCCAACACAACGCCCGGCAGCCTTTGTCTCCCTAGTGGCGATGTTTACACACCGAACCAGGTACTGATTGGAGGCACACACACACACATGCACTGGCTATCTAAAAATAAAAATGTCAAGGTGTAGCCCTGCACTTGCTTGCTCACTCCACTGCTGGTGGAATGGCCTCCAATGCTGGTCAGACGTTTTGGGAGAGGTGGGAGTAACCCACACTTTACCCCACGGACTTGGCTTGCCAATCGACTAACTCTGGTTGGGGATTTAGGAAACTTGTTTCATCCCCCGCGGGGGGGGGAGGGGGGGAGGCGGGGAGGCGGGGGGAGATGTCATGGAACACGCAACCCCTGAATCGCTCGTCCAGTGTGCTGACCATTACACCACAGCAATATCCCTCATGCAAGTACAATCTTTTACTGGACATCTGTGGAAAGGAGCTTTATATCTCATCGGATTCCTCCGGCGTAAATGCAGATTCTGAAAGGAATCATATGAATTCGTGAGAGAGGTGTATATATTTAATTCATTGAAAGCTTTAACCTGGAGAAGCCCTTCACGTAACACATCTCGTTGGCAAGTTGGTCCAGGGTGTCAGGTGACTCGAACGTCGAAGACACGTGACGAAACGTATACAAAGAGATTGGGTGGACATACTATATTTATATATATGAAGAGATAGTCAAATGTTTTTTTAAGAAAGGTATATAAAAACGTAATTAAAATTCACAATATGTTCGTTTTTGATGGTCACCACTAAGATGAATGCATTTTACCTATTACATGTTAAATTATAACATGAGGTAAGACCTTTAAATGTTGCCTGACATTGTGTTCATTTTACTATTCTAATTCCTCCAAATTGTATTTACCACTACTGTGCTTGTGTGTGTGCACATCTCCTTTATATCTTTGTTTTAAAAGGTAATATATTTGTCGTCTGGGTAACACTTAACTTTATCATTATCTATTGCTACCCAAATGGGTATCGATACTAATTAGGGCGCTATCGATCAAGGTCATCGGTATGTGTGTGTGTGGGTGGGGGGGAACGGTTCAATTCTAAACGTCCCTCGGGAGCTGCGGCACTCCAGTAACTAATTGCTAACATCTGCCCTGCCCCGTGAAGCCCCGTTGCTGCTCGCGCACAGGTGCACGTTACCAGCGATTGCCGAGCACATTGGGAACAGCAGCAGCAGCAGTCGTAGTTTTCGCAGGGCGCGCTTTTAGCGCACTTAAAGGAGCGGAGGCGAACACCAACCTGGGACGATAGCCGACTCATCGGGCACCGCCCGTGATCGGGCACGAGCCTTCTGAAACGATTGCCGATTCGAAACCCGGATTTTCACTTTGCCCTGAATCCCGATGATCGGTGAAGGAATGCAACAAATCCTGTGTGAAGCACAGAGCCTTGGGGGAAGGCCTGCCCGTGGTGTGGGATCGGAGTGGCGTTTATTTAGTTTCGTTTGGGGGGAGTGGGTCTGCATGGAAGCACTTCATGCCGCGTCATGCAAAGTGAGCGCGCACAATGCAATTTAATCAGCGATATTTGCCATTTAAGAGTTATTCAATCAACGTTATTGCTCACAAATGAAGCCTTTGCAGCCAATCGATAGGGGTTAGCTGTGCCGCGGCACGACGGCGCGTCTCGGATGTGTAAATCTGGGCACGGTCCGCTGAGCTCCAAAAGCCCGCAATCATAACCGAATTGCGTGAAAGTGCGAAGCGTAATTGGCACTGCGCGGGCTTGATGAGGCGTCTTCTGACCGAAGAGCCACCTGATTCCCGTAATCACAGTGACTGTGAAAAGACTGCCAAACAAAAATTATCCCTGTCTGAAACGCAGAGGGTTTTTTTTTTACTTTACTTAATTTGTGGCAGTGTTACAAGCCGGAAAAAAAAAAGTCTAATCGCACTCATTAATTAACATTGTTTTGTTGTTTTAGTCCCCTGCCCACCTGCGGCTGTTAAGGCTGCGCCTGCTTCAGCCAGCAGCGTCGTGGTGTCCTGGCTTCCACCCGCCAAGCCCAACGGGATCATCCGCAAGTACATCGTGGTGTGCGCCTTCCCCTACGTGCCCCACCCCGTAAGTCCTGCAACCCCTCGAGCACACTGGTGCACTTTCGTGAAAAAAAAACCGCGGCATCACAAGTTTATACATCTTGCCCATGCCGAAACATCAGGGGTCAGCAACAGTGATGAAGTGGCATTGACATTGAAGCACCATTAAATCCGCACCGGCGGTTTGAGCATGTCACATTTTTGTCCACGCAGGCTGAAATTCGTTTTGAGTTTGGCACGGAGGTTTTTCGCGACCAGTATTGTCAATAATAGAGGTTTTTGGGTTAGATCGCGTGAATAGAAATGTGTCGTTAAACCCGCCAGCACCCGACACAGCCAAATAGTAAGGTTTCTCACGTACTAGTTCAGCACACCGGTGTGTTGGAAAGTAAACCCACAACATTTACTCTCCAACAGACCGGTGTGCTGAACGAGTAACGAATTGGGATGTTTTGTTTACGTGACAAACCTTAATAATTGGCTGTGTCGGGTGGTGGCGGATGTAACAACACATTTATTTTTAAGTGATCTAACCCAAAAACTTATGTTATGGAATGATTTTTAAGCGGGGTTCCACTCTACGTGTCAAGGTTTTCCGCAAAACCAAACCTTTATCTGAACTGGGATATTCTCTCTATCAAAAAAATTATCAGTGAGAAACCTGGCAAAATGTGTGCGCTTAAGACTCAGTTCTGTCACACTCTCCTAGTTTATTACGTAGAAACGAACAGCTGTGTGACCATGCGTAAAGGATTGTGCTGCTCATTGCACCTATAACATTTCCTCCTGTAATGCTGGATAATTACCCTTATACATAAAGACAAAAATCCCCCTGTATATCCTGTAACTGAATTTTGGGGCTGTTAGCGAGCACCTATGAAGGTCGGCACAGCACACGCGGGGGTGGGTGGCTAGCACCAAACCCAGCCGCCTTTGTCTCCCCAGCGGCGAAGTTTACACACTGCACCAGGTGATCATTTGAGGCTGAGGCGACCTAAATGAGGCCCAGGACCGGTTCAGACAATCGCCACTGGTGTTTGTCGTGAAGCGATAATCGAACTCAGGTGGCGGGGTTCGTAGCGCAGCGCGCTAACCGCTGCACCACCGCCCCCCCCAACACCCAACACAGTGCATAGACGAATGCAACGTTTGATATGTGAGACCCGATGCTTGATTTTGAATGCCACACTGGTGGCTTTGCTTCGATGCCACAAACACACCTGGACGTCCGTAAAAAAAAAGCGTTTCGTAGCCCATCGGATTTCCTCCAGGATAAACAATTGTTGTGACAAATAAAGATTCCGATTATAGTTCTCTGAGCGATACGCAGTCACTTTGATGCAGGCAATCAATGCCCTTGTGAAATTTGCATGTAAAACAAAACACCTGCAGGTTGTTTTTCATTTGCCAAAATCGTGGCACTTATTTTAATTGGACTCTTTTACATGCCGCACGTCAAACAAGGCTGCTCAGTGACGACAGGTTGCCTTTTGTTGCCCATTCGCAAGTGAGTTGGTTGCATGAACATTTTTCTCTTGTATTTCCCACATCTTCATATTGCACACCCATCAATTATTTAAAAAGGGCACATTTTAAAATGGATGCCGTAGGTTTCTCTGTGCGAGTAATTTGCAAAAAAAGGCAAATAATGAAGAGCCTGACCGTCTGTGTGGACACAATGGTGGGATGAAGGCAGCCCCTGAATGTTGTGTTGAGATGCAGCAGTTAGGCACATTATATTATAAACTGTTTTCTGTCTAATAATGTAAATGTGCTCATTATGAGATGAAAACCACAGTAGTTTGCTGCTCGTGAGGCATTAATTGGTTTCCTTTTTTTTCCTTGAAATTAGTTTGGCATTCTGGGCGAGGGGTGAAGCCGTTTTCTTATATATTACAAAAAATTCAACCGCAAGCTGATGTCATAATAGCGTACACGGTGAATAATTACGCGAGGCAGTCATTTGGGTTACTTAACGAAAGCACACACTGTAATTTGGAAATAATTTTTTGCCTCTGGTTCTAATGAAATACGTCGCAGATTTGTCAAGGTCAACAATAGGCCTCGTGTAATTGTTGGTGTATAAATGTAATCACCGTTGAATATGAGCGTGTATACCTCTCTTTCACGTCGTGATAGAAAAATAATATGTATCTTAAAACATCTAAAGAAAACTCGCGCCTACTTTCTCCGAGTGCTGACGAAGCAGTTAAATTTACCACGATCCCTGACAGCCACCACGTAAGATGAACTTCATCTCAGTGTGGCGTGGTAACCCTATAAGAGTGTTTCCCATATAACTCATACGATGTTCAACAGCTGCAGTTTTGAATACCTCTCGCCATGAAAACAAAATGACCTTGAGAATGAAGGGCTTTGAATTCACGCAATTATAATTGTCCTAATTTATTTTTTGTGCAGGTGAGATATATATGTGAAAAAACGGTGTTCTATAGTCGAAAAGGTTAACTGGCGCGATTCCAATGTGGTTCAGGCTTGGAAGGAATTGATTTGAAAGCTGTCCGTGTCGAGTGGGATTAAATCGCATTACTGGCCACTACTGGGTGACCTTGTATTCATTAAATGGGGCTTAGGGGAAACGGGGAGTAATATTTCTACAACGTAGTGACATTAAGACATGAAAATCCTTGGGGTTATCTTGGACGTGGTTGCAGAGGTTTCCGTCTTCGAAATGACTTTAACTTGAAATATGCCGAACTCATTTGTTATAAGACAAATATTTTTAATAATGTCCACATGCATTATTTAAAACAACATATTTCATAAGTTGAATATAACCGGTCTAATATATTCATACCATTATTTAATATTGTACTGTGTACGTGTTAACGTTTTAAATGTACTATTTTGCACGCTGCTTTATTTTAAGTGGTGTGACAATGCATGAGCAACGATGAACTCTGGTGGGTTTGTCACAACCTCGTCTTGGTCACGTTAAAGTCCAGCCAAATGTAATTTGAAACAAGGACAGTGCGATACTAACGGCGTGGCATTGTGCACACATTAAAATGCCAGAGGACGTATTCTTTCATGTATAATTGATTCATTAGAGTGGTTTTGCAATAGCATATTGTCAACATAGCCCATCAGTTACAAGTCGACAAAACAAAGCTTTTTCGCATAATTTTCTGTAACTATGATTTGCAATTTGGGCCCCGTGATTTTACCCATTCATTATTAATTTTCACTTACTGAATCGTGGTTAAACAGTAATGTGATGGTTTATCTTTGAATAAAAAATGTTATTTAACTAAACTGTGAACTAAGAGAAATGTAAAAAACTTTTATGAATCCACGAAAGCATCACTGAGTCTACAGATGTTTATTTTCAGGAGGGTTATGCATTGAGGTGTTTTTGAAAGTGTTTGCATTCTAGCAAATATCAATACATCTGTCAAACACTTGTGATACCAAAGAGCGTTATATATAGCTACTATATATACCTGTTGGGATGAGTGGAAAAATGGTTAGCGTGCTGCAGACTGAATCTCGCAACCTGAGTTTAAGACCTGGCCACAGATAATATTAGTGGCAAGTGATGTCTGAACTGGTCATGGCGTGTTCCCATTCACCAACCCGCAATCCCAGGGTGGTTAAATATGGTCAAAAACCCTCAGAACTGAGAGTGCAGATAGATGGGCCTCTGAATTATCCTGAGTCTTATTATTATTATTATTTCTACAGCTAATCAGCGAGTACGAGGTGAGCCCGGAGAGCACCCACCACTCCATCAGCAACCTCAGCCGGCACCGCCAGTACAGCGTGTGCGTGGCGGCGGTCACATCGGCAGGGCGAGGGAACAATACGGAGAGTGTCAGCGTGGAGCCGTCTCCGAATGGTATAGCACAACGACACTTCCGTTCGACGAAATCGCCCGCGCATTATTTACTCATCTATTTGCTTGCCTTATCTCTCAGCTGGTCGGTTCATCGAGCCGAGCCACATTGCGCGTCGCGTGGGTAATCGTCGGCGCGATTCCGCCCGTGTTCCGTTACTGTGCTTTGTTTAGATGGGCGCCCCCTTTGCGTTGCGAGAAATGTAACGCGTAGAATCGGGGCATGCGGTGACATCGCCACGCTTTTTCTCGTCCGCCCGTGCGCATTCCATTCTATTGAATTCATTATGCTGCACGTAAAAGTCTATACACACATTTATGAACGCTTATGAAATGTCACGATGAAAATAATTAGATACACAAGGGAATCCATATATATAATTTTTCATTGCATATTTATAAAAGTATCCCCTTGAATTTAAACTAATCATTTTATTTTGATTACAGATAAGGCATTCATTTTAATCAAAGTGATGCCACTTGCTATTGATGTCTGAGCATTCGGTTACCCATCAAAACATGAACAATAGATGTAGTGGTGCTCTGCATGCAAAAAAAGAGGATCCTCTCAGATGGAAATAAGGCGGCACAGTTGGAAATTATTTGTTCATTCATTGAACGAGCGTGTCGCTGCGGTAGCGGCGGCAACAAAACGATGTGTTCTCAATCCCCGTAGCCTGGGCTCATTTTCAGTCGCCATATCTTGTGAATTTCTCCCCCAGTCAGTTCCTCTGCCTGAAATGAACGTCTATTTTTAGACACTGGGTTTATTTTTTTTTTGGTGAGCCTGCATTGACTCTTTTTGGATACTCAAATTCTGACCAATTTTTTCGGTTTTACTCTAGGAGAGCATATGGCCATCCTTCGGTCTTGACTCGCTCTTCAACTATGCGCCCTTAACTCTTTTGTCAGCTCCTGCTCGCATCTTGTCCTTTGGTGGCCCCATCTCCTCGCCGTGGATGCGTGACGTGGAGCTCCCATGCCGCTCTGTGGGGGAGCCCACACCTGTTGTCCGATGGACGAAGGAAAGGTGGGCCTCATGAATTTGATGTGTATCTATGCGCGTGTGTGTGCTTTACCAGTGTAAGAGCGGTAGTGCAACGGTTACCTCGCTTCACTACAAACCCGGCGACCTGAGTTTGATTCCCGCTAACGGCCAACACCGGTGACAATTATCTGAATCGGTCCTGGGCCTTCCCTAGGTCGACTCGGCATAAAATGAGTACCTGATGCGGTGCGTAAACATCGCTACTGGGGAGATAACAGAGGCCGGGCGTGGTGCCGACCACTCACTACTGCGTGTGCCATACCGGCCTTTATAGGTGCTCGCTAACAGCACTTGCTCCAACAGTTTGTTAACACTATAATAGGGGGATCTTTGTCTTTTGTGCTTAACCATCAAAGTTTCAGAGGCGGGCTATATGCTAAGCTGTGTGTGTGTTCACACGTATGTTCTATATTATTTTTATTGATTATCTGCAATAAGAATTCCAAAGCTTTTAAGAATGAGACATTAAAAATCTTCACTTTAAATGTCTTACTCATATACGATATCAAACTCGTCCAATTATGTATTTTATACTGTATACATTTCTGTGTATCGCTATTTTCAAAATATCCAACAGAGATGACTGGCTCAGAGGTTAAAGTGTTGAGCTAGGTACCACTGAGATCCTGGATTCATATTCGTGCAGCTGCCAGAGATTAAACAAGGGTTCTGAAACAAAATGCCCGATCACCAGCAGCTGCACAACAAAAAAAACACCATATACAATTTAGCTTAACACGTAATTTTACAATTACAGCTCTGAGAATTAAAAATATAAATTTTGACTGTCATCTGATGATCATAACTATGTTGCATTGCCAATAGGAAAGTAGAGTAATGGCCCCCACTCGAGTGTAGTTTTGTGATATCCGCTTCCACTGACCATTCTCGAACACAGGGGCATTACCTTGTCTCGTGGCATGGCATCGATAGCAACAACTGGGATAAAAATGGGCGAGGAGGTAGTATTCAAGAAATAAATACGTATGTATGTTGAGCTTCTTTCGCACTGTATGTAGCCAACCCTGCTCGTTGGAGGTGTCGGGGAAGTACAACAAACTAAACACAAAAAGCACTTCTAAAGAAATGAGTTTTCAATCCAGATGTAATAAGGAGGCGCACCATTTCACCCACTGCCCACCCCACAAAGTGACACGTCGCAAGTGGCAGTGCCTGCTGACGAACACGGCTCCTTCCTGCCAAACGGCAGCCTACTTCTACGCTCCGTTCGAGCAGAAGATTCGGGAGACTACAGCTGTACAGCCTCCAACGCGTGGGGCTCTGACGCACTGCTAATAACCCTCCTGGTCCAAGGTATTACGTGTGTGTGTGTGTGTGCGTGCATGCGCCGATTACTATTTGGCTTTGTGCGAATTCGCAACTCCAAGCGCAAGGCGGTCGCACGCCAATTACGTTTCGTCGTCGCAAAATGTCCCCGTCGGTGTGAAATTGCTGGCTTGCTTGAACTTATCTGCTGGAATACAAAAAAGCCTGTGATATTCAATTAGGGAAACGGAAAACCTGCCACAGACACAATCCTTGTTAAAAAGTGAAATGTCTTATTTCCTTTTTTGTTTATTATCCGGGAAGTATTATTTTTAGTTACGTGCACGGTCTAACGGTGTTGTAGTGTGAATTAAAAACACGTTTTACAAATTAAACTACAAACTGCCACACATGCTCACCAAACATATACCCGTACATATCATGACGTCTCGCACGGGAGAATATAGATAGAGCCTCTCAACTATTCAGATGAAATTTGTTTTGTTTTACCCAGCAGATTATGTGTCGTCATACCCATTAGAAAAACATCTTGTTTCTGGAGATTACTTTTGGCCGATGGATATCGTTGAGTAATGTGTAGACATAGATTTACAATTGAATGGTCGATTTGATCGTATGTCAGTGGCTAGACTTGGTGAAAAAGACAAAAAAATAGATATGTGCAGCAGTTATAACGGGTCTTATCAGTTCACCCCCGCTGGAAACCTCTGTAACCCTCTTTTGAGGTGCAGTGCTCTTGATTACAGATTGACCAACGAAACAACATTTCAATTATCCCATAGACCGATAAGTCAGCGGTGCTAAAGTCTAGTCCTGGTCTTTGTGACCCAATGGGAAAATCATTTCGATTAACATCTATGCCAAGCATCGTTTGATGTTTGAATTATTATAAGCCCATCGTGAGCACTCCAATAAGCAAGTATAGGAAATGTGCCTAAAAGGCTTGATTTGTTCCGATAGCATCTACAGTTACTCTTTTTCATTTAAAAAAAAATCTTACTTTATAATTTTTAAACAATCGATATTAATACATAAAGATACTCACAACATTATAAACATGAAAAGAAACATGGTTAATCAATGGATTCATTCATATTTACTGTACCTACAACAGGCCGTTGTTAACAGGGGAATGGTCGGTAAGCAAACACGTTGGGCTCTATCGAGGCGCACTACACTACATTATACACTACACATTGGGCTCTATGGAGGCACTACACTACTATACATTACACTACTATACATTACACTACATTATACACTACACATTGGGCTCTTTGGAGGCCCGTCGTCAAGCGATTAGTCGTTAACAGGGGTGGTTGTTAAGAAGGGTTCTACTATACATACTATACACTACACTACTATACACTACACTACTATACACTACACTACTATACATTACACTACACATTGGGCTCTATGGAGGCCCGACGTTAAGCGGTTAGTCCTCAGTCCTTAACATGGGTGGTCGTTAAGAGGGATTCTTCTGTATATGAAAATAACTCGTGTAGAAATCCAATATTGAATCCAAAATTATACTTAATATGTAAAATTACAACCAAATAATAATAATACATTTCAACCCTTTTTCAACTGCTGCGTGAAGGATTTCTTTCCGATGTTGGATCAGTCATGAGGTTGTTTTGACCATACTTCACCACGCCGGTCAGCATGGGTCGGTATAGGCAGGGGTCCCAGGAATGGTTCAGATATACGTTGCCAGAGGCGATATCCATGCATGACTGGGAAATTTAACCTAGGTGTCATGAGGTAAAAAGCCACAGTCCGCTAACCCCTGTGCTGCCACTCCTGCACCCTATTAGGCAATAACATTAAAAGGGAACGTCAATCATGGGAATTTGCATATGCATGTTGCTTAACAGGTATTATTGCATATGTTTGTAAAACATTTTTTTATTTAGACCAAAACTGTCCACAAAGACAAAGATCCCCCGTATAGCCTTAACAGACTGTAGGGGCAAGTGCTGTTAGCGAGCACCTATCAAGGCCGGCACGGCACACGAGGGGGTGGGTGGCCGGCACTACGCCCGGCCGCTTTTGTCTCCCTCAGTGCCAATGTTTACACACCGCACCAAGGTACTCATGTCAGGCTGAGTTCACCTAGGGGAGGCCCAGAACCGGTTCAGATAATCATCACCGGTGTCGGTGGCCGTGAAGTGGGAATGGAACTCGGGTTGCCGAGTTTTGTAGTGCAGTGCGCTAACCACTACACTACCGCTCTCCATTACAAATCTGTCCACACGTGCACACGCACAACAAAGGCCAATGGCCTGTTGTGTTTCTGTTTGGTTGAGGCTGTCTCGGGACAGTACAAACGGCAACGTATTCATGCACGCACCAAAAAACTGGCGGGTATCACAAATGTCCTCCCTTCTTTTTGGAAATGGGTTTTCAAAAAAAGATGCTGAACACGAATTAATTAATAATTAGTGAACACTTCAGTTCATCCACTCTAATCTAGATTTCGCTCGCATGCGTGACCCATTTGGTAAATTTCCGCGCGCAACTTTACTTTTACATTTTCGCAAAATCACCGCGAGCGCATTAGCATTTGCAAATTAGTTGAAAACATTTCCCAATATGAGACTAGATTCAATTTAATGATTGCACAATTTCATTTGTAAGGGGGTAACTTGAAAAATATCTTTGTATATCAATTTCAGCTTGCTTAATTGGGTGCATATTTTTTTCCGCCTTTTTTATGTTGTTGAATTTTCAAACATTAAAGATGTTAAACCAGATATACAAACACAATAGTATCAGGAGCCATATTTTATCCATGCAAGGCCATTGGCTAAGGGCTGTGAGCAAGCATTTCCAAGGTTGGCACGGTAACAAAACGGCGGTTTATCTGCAACTCATCCATAGACTTTTTCATCCATTACTGATGTTTAAATTAAAATTAAATGTTACACTAGGCGCTCGTTTCAGGCTGAGTATACCTAGGGGAGGGTCTGGGTATGTTTACACTCTAATTAACACTTGCATGTGTGCATGCCCAGGAATAGAATGCAAATCACCAGGTTTCTGGTGTTCGTATTCATGTGAGAACCTGAGCCTCCATTCCCCAAACACACCCCAAGCCAAACAGATCCCTATAAAGCCCTGTATACTGTTGGGAGCCAGCGTTGTTAGTGAACACTGGTATGTATGTAAATATGTTGAACTTCTTTCACACCGTATGTAACCAACCGTGCTAATCGGAGGTGGTGTGGGGGAAGGACAACAAACTAAAAACAAAAAGCAGTCCTAAGGAAATGAGTTTTCAATATATATTTAAAAGCACATAGCTCCAGTGGCTTCCTAATATCAGAAGAAAGAGCGTTCCAGACGGCTACAGAAGGGCATCTGAACACGTGCGATGCAACGACCGTCTTTGTTTGATGGCTAGCCAAAAGACACGTGATGGTTTATGTTCCTTGATGAGATCAGCCAAGGTAGTATGGTTCATTTGTAGAAAGCACTTGTGTATAATTAGTGGGCACCTGAGTGGCGAGATGTTTACTACCTCATTTGGTATGTAGGAGATCGTGGGTTCGATCCCAAACCTGACACCTGTATATTTGGAGTCTGCATGTTCTCCCCGTTGTCGCGTGGATTTTTATCCGGGTCCTCCCGTTTTTCCCTCCGCATTTAGAAACATGTGTTTTAGAGTATTTGGCTGCTATAAATTTCGACGTGATTTAGCCACTTGCGTTGAGCTATTATTTGTGGCCAAGTCGCTTCTGAAAAAGAGCTAGATAGCTTAGTGGGCTTTACCTGATAGTTTATAGTTTTATATTGAAGTGAAAATCTTTTAAAACTTGTGCAGCACAAGTGCTTAATTTTAGCCAGAACAGTCCAACAAAGCTCGTGCTATATCCATCTCGCCATTATTTTGTACTCGTAAATTTTAAGAAAACTGTGCATGAGATCATAGAAGTATAAGGTGCAATAATGTAGGATTATTATGAATAGGTGTAACTTATACTCCAATGGCTTTCCAGAAAATATTGAGTGATAGAAAAAATTACGCCCTTGCATGGCGCAAAGAGCCAGCGCCATGCCCAGCCACTTTTGTCCTCCGATTGCTAACCTTTACGTGTCACACCAGGTGCTCATTGAATCCTGATTCAACCTAGGGGAGATACCACCTGCCACCGATGTTATTCCTGCTCATGAATCAAATCCAGGTCACTATAATCATCGTGCAGTGTGCTAACTGCTGCATCGCCACCACTCCCCATAACACACATACACTCGCTCATGCACGCCCGAATGCTTTCACACACGGCAAAAATATGACCACACGATGAGACTACTCAGCCCTTGTGTTGCAGTCATGAACAAATTCCCTGGCAACGGTCAATCCGCGCAAAGTTGCCCTTTAATTGACGCATGCGCGTGTCTCACTCTGTCAGGTCCATTGATCAGATTACAGTGACCACAAGGGCTGAAGAAATAAAGTAAACCGTTGTTTTTTTAGCATTCAGATTTATAATGTTGCATCAGGCTATTCCAATAAATACTTAGAATTCAGTTTTTTTCCCGTGTGAACAAAAAAAAACACGCTCAGTGTGAAATGGTCTTCAACTTGTATGCAGATTAACAACACGTCCCTTAATAGTTTCAAAGTTTGTACGAGAGACGTTTGTGTGTGTGTGTATGTGCTCGTGTTTACGCGCGTATCTGGAGCGACGCTCGCATCAACGAGGAGAGTGTTTGACGGGTAGCTCAAACACAGGCAATGCATCTGACAGTCATATCAGTCCGGTTAACCCCACCACCCCTGGGCCTGTCCCGTGACCATCTACCAGCGGCACCTTTGACATTTCAAATGCCCTCATAGTGCCCAAGCATCGTGGCGACATCACCACCACTTGATGGAAAATGGCAGTGGTTGTTCGTTGTTGTTGTTGTTCTAAGTGTGTATGTGTGTGTGCGCGACCCCCACAGTGCCTCCTGACCAGCCCAGGCTGAGTGTTTCTAAAACGAGTGCCTCTTCTATCACTCTATCCTGGATCCCAGGAAACAATGGAGGAAGTCCTTTACGTGGTACGTATTGCTAACAGGCAGCATTCATTACAGAAGTGCTCCACCTTATCCCTGGTTTTTGGTTTAATTCGACTTGACTGACATTTCCAAAAGCTACTTTCATATATTTGTGTGTCTGTCTGTGTGTGTGTAAAAAAAACATGGCCACAGGCTGTGGACTTGAACGCCGATAAGAACTTGTTCATGCTGCCAGCTTACATATCTTCACGCGTGTTCTCGCCGGCAAAGTGGGCGAACAGACGTAAAGGGATGAACAAAGGCAGTGAAATGAAGGATTGTTACAGGAGTGAGCTGCACAGAAGCCGTTCAGGATCATGAGTGATGCTGTGGGCATGGTGAGATCATGAATACACATGGAAGAGCAAAGATGTCAGTGTTGTAAAAGTGTGTATATATATAAGATGTGCAGCTGTGGCTGCTCATACAAAACGGACTGGCTGATCGCTTCATGTTGCAAATAGGTTCGTTTTTTGTGATGTAACGTGTGCTCTGAACTGAACGGCGTTTTACATGCCGATATGATGATCCATTGAGCCACATGTGTTTCCGCACAGTAATAATGACTTTTACTTTGCGTAGCATCGTTATCGTGCATTGTCGCCTCAAAAGTTGCAATCACGGATTCACTCAGGCTTTTAATGGGAACATATGCAACAAGGTGTTTGGTCAATTTGATTTGCCATTAAGGCATATTCTAAGACGATCACTTGGGATGAATCTCACAATCGTAACAATCACAATAATTTGCGTTTATATAGCCTCATTCATTCAAATGGCTTCTCTAAAAAAACGCAGCATTTTGAAGCTGCCACATAAACATCTTAAAACCCTCCGAAAAAAATGTTCGTCATAAAAGGTGTACGATGTCACCACAGACAATTAAGACTCCTCGCAGCCAAGAGCACGGAGGTGTGGGGAGTACAGCCGGAGCACAGTGGGCCACCATCACTCACTCGAGGACCCAAGCTCCCGACAGCCAAACAAGTCCAGGGAACAACGATAGCAATAATTCCATATCATATGAATCATTCCATGTAGGCTTAACATTTAAAATTATTGTCAATTTGTGATCATTTATTGCCACGGGTTTGGTGTTTGTGCGTGCGTCTGAGGAGGTTGCCTCACAAGTTTGAAAATAATTTGGTTGCTGATAGGAGAAGATGTAAATTTTGACCTTTTTTTATATTATTATACACTTCATTTCTATTCGTAGTTTTTACATTGCAAATTTCAGTATTTTGTCTAGCGCCTGAAGGCAAAGCCTTAGAATGAGGCGATAGACCGTGAGCTCAAGAGTTTGCGTAGAGCGTATTTGTTTGCTGACCCCTCCCAGTGCTAAATAAAGGTTCTGGTAAATATTCTTCTTATATTGCTATATTATATACAATGCAATGAAATTCAGTGTAATCGATTTCAGTGTCGGTAGCTTTAACCATGCCATCCCCACCCCGACAGTTCTCATTGTATATATATATAGTTCTCATTGTATTACATTCGCTTCGTTACTTAGTACCGACGTCTTCCCGTCCATGCACTCTCTCCTCTAAACCTAGATAACTGTCCTGAGCCCATTAAATCGTCCAGCATCCATCCCGTCCGTGCTGTCTACGAAAGCGCTAGGCTTCCTTGCTTCACAGCTTCCGAGTCTTTACGCTTGACCTGGGGATACATTGGAGATTCACTATCGCACTGTTGAAAAGATGTCCCCTGATGGAACTGATGGAAAGATGTGATTGTAACAAAAATCAAATGGCTAAAATATTTTATTTATTTTCGATGCTACTTTAATTTATATGGCGCTTTTATGTATCAGTCAATAAACGTTGCATATGTGTTGCAGTGCTAGCGTACAGTAGCTTTTGGTTGTATATTCTTAAAGATGCAATATTTGATTGTCATTTAAAAAATAAACTAGCACATCTTCATCACAGTAACATTTGTGCTTCCTCCAAATGATAAAGAAATAAGATTTCCAATCGTTTTTAAAATAATCATTTTAAATGCATTTCCGTGGTGATTCAGCTGTCTGCCTTTTACTATTCACCTATCCACCTATGGACATGCGTACCATGCTCACCGGGTCATGTAAAAAGGTGTCGTCATCACCATCAGCCATGGTCAATCCACTGCTAGATTAAATATTTTACCACCTCTCGCCATCCTGGGATGTAGGTTAGTTTGCTGGCGAATTGCCCGATGATGCTGGAAGTATTTACCAGCGAAACGTCGTACTCAAACTGTAAATGTGGATTAACTCTTCAACACACCGGTGGGCTGAAGTAGTGAATTATTTGTCTTTTGTCAACGTGACACTTATCTTTGCTGATTGACCGTGTCGGGTGGTGGAGGGTTACGACACATTTATAAATAAACGCGATCTAACCCAAAAACCTTTATTATGAATCCTGGGATGTAATAATCTACCTAGCGCCTTGCACTCGAGCTCACTCCATCGCTCCATCCCCTCGGTCGACGTCGCTCTCCGACACGTTTCATGTCTTGGTTGCCGTTCCATCTTTATTCTTGACCACCGTCCACCATCCCTTCTGGCCAGGATGTGTCCCAGCCAAGGGCTGCTTCATGCTCTTCACAGTTTGGTTTAATGACATTTGTTTACCTGCACACGTTCTGTAAAACCCTGCGTTGCGATTTCTGTCTCCGAATGTGATTTGAAGCACGGATCTTACCCCATGCCTTTTTTTTTACCCACTCTTTTCACTTTTTGTTCTAATTATTTTCATGTTTTTTTTGTTTATTCTATTCACGATCATATTTCCGAACCATGTGTAACAGCAGGTAGTATGCACTGATATAAAATATTTGTTTCTTTTAAAACAGCTTAGACAAGCAAAGAGTGCTGACTACAGTAACACAATACACAGTCCATCGCTCAACACCAACATATATTCGCGTCCCCCCCACCTCGCTACTTGCGAACCGACAAACAAGCCCTCCGCCCGTCCATTTCTCATCGTCCAACGCCACGGCACCCCTAATGCGATGGCACGCGGCGGTTTGCCTCTGCGCACCACCCCCCCCCCCCCCAACGTTTCTGTCCGCCAGGCTACCTGTTGCAGTACTCGGTTGACCGCAGCGAGCAGTGGGAGGAGATGGTCATCTCCCCGCACCAGAAGCGCTTCGCCCTGGAGCGGCTTCGCTGTGGCACGTGGTACAAGTTCACGCTGGCCGCGCGCAACGTCGTGGGCACTGGCCGCATCAGCGAGATCATCGAGGCCAAGACGCACGGCAGAGGTAGCGGGGGTTGTTGCGAGCGAACGCGCGCCCGAAACTTTTGGGAGCGCAGCATTTCGACGCTCGGGAAGGGCTCTCGATCGATCGCGAAGCCGTGTCGGCCGGAGGGGACACGCAAAGCGAGGTGCTGCTCCGAGCCACCCGTTCTCCAGATGTCTCGTCTACCTGCATCTGCTTCATCTTTTGTAGTCTGTTGAACCTTCCACCTCTTTAAACCCGGTTCAGTACTTTGTCTTAGTCGCCCAGCTTGTCTATAGCTGGATGACCAACATAATATATGCCTCTCAGTCTATATTGGTGCCTCTTAGACTAAAGCAATCTAGTTTGAACTCAGACATATGAATAGATTGTTTGAGTTCTTCCAGTTTTCATTGTTCTTTTGACATTTAAAAAATATATTCCTTTGTCCCGTAGGTGTCATCTCATAAGGTCAACTGTCCATTTGGAGCTCTCACAGAGCAGTGGCAACCCCACGTGATTGAGAATTGCCCATGGAAGGAGATAACGCAGAACTACTTCTGAGATCCACAACCTTTTATTGCCCAAATACTTGGATGTAAACTTTATTGCATGGTAGTCAGTATTGGTGTTTTTAATCATAAAAGCTGGAATGTAGCAAAATTGTGTACACAAATCAGCACAATTAAATATTTATTTACATAGCATCCGATTGCAGGTACATCTCAAGATGCAGAACAAAGTTAAATATATATAAAGCCGAAACTAATTCATATCTTCCATTCACGACGATAATTATTGCTTTCAGTTACATTGATATTCAATAAATAAAAATATAATTTATTGGAATTGCCTGAAAAAAATGTGAGCTACGGTCAGGCAACTAAATTGCGCGCAACCTCATTCACATTGTTGCTGAAAAAGCACGTGTGGATGCCTTATTTACGTACCATAATTAGAATTAAGCATTGCAGGAAGTCTCTTCTCTGCGAGTGTTCATTAGCGAGAGAATGTAGCTTGTATATTTTAAGGTTAACTGCGAGGACAAGCAGCCACGACGTACGCCCACACACTTAATTACTTAACATTTCCCCCGCAACTCCAAATTGAGAGCGATTTTTTTTTTTTTAACAAGCGGGACAGAAAACCCTCGCGCGCTGTCAGGTTAACTTCGCGGGGTTTTATTTTCGTACCGGCAAACTCGACGCCCACGTAAGCTAATCACCCGAATTCATCCGAATAGTTTGCTTCTTTGATTTCATCGTCGAGCAAAGCTGTGCACGCCGCGTTGCTCCGGGGGGCAACCCGGCGTGTCAAAATCCCACCCCCCCTTTTTTTTGTGTCACCCCTCGCCACCTCCCTCTCCCCTCTCTCTCCCCTCTCTCAGAACCGCACTTCGTCAAGGACGCCGAGTTGGTGCTGCCCATGAACGCGAGCGTGGTGCGCGTGAACCTGCGAGGCTGGGATGACGGCGGCTGCCCCATATCATCCCTGGCCCTCGAGTACCAGCCCAGCGGCGCCGGCGTCAACGCACCAGCCGGTCCAGGCGGCGGAGGAGGCGGCGGAGGCGGCGGAGGCGGCGGAGGCGGCGGAGGCGGAAACGGCGGCGGCATTGTCGGCGCCGGGGGCGCGAACCCGGGCGCCACGGGAACGGCCGCGGGGGCCGCCCTGCCGCCCGTCGGGGGCCCTGGCACGGCCGGGGGCGCGGCGGGGGCGTCGAGCGCGACCTGGAGCCCGGTGCTGGAGACGTCGGACGCGGCCGCCCCCATCATGCTGGCCGGCCTGCTGGAGGCCACGTGGTATCGGCTGCGCATGCGCGCGTGCAACGCCGCCGGCTGCGCCGAGCACAGCGCCGACTTTGCGACGCTCAACTACGACGGGAGTAAGTTGTGGGAATCCACCGCCGTTGCGGTTGTCCACGAAGACAAAGACCCCCCCCCCCCGGATAGCCTTCACGGACCGTTGGGGCAAGTGCGGTTAGTGAGTAGCACTTATGAAGCCCAGCACGGCACACGGTTGTCCACATGCACAGTGCCCAGTCTTGCTGCTTTACAGCTCGATGTATTGTATCAGTTCCTGCATCTCTGCTCAAAATGAGCAGTCCTGAGCCAGTGTTGGCAAATCCCCATTCCGATTAGTACGGTTGACTACGTCCGGTGCTAAATAAGTTCAACATACATACATACAGGTCTACAAGTAGGACAAGCAATGTTGACCTCTCGACAGAGTGGTTCTCATGTTATCGACCGTAAAGGAATGATGGGCTGAGTCAACCCCTTTCATTTGCCAGCCGCTCGTTCTACCATTGCGCCATCTGGCCAGTTAGGATACAGGAAGGACAAATCTGGTAATTTATCCATATTTGGAAAACTTGTTTGTCATTGCACCGGAGGACATGACCTAGAGATTTAAAAAAAACTGGCAATGCCGTTTTTGCTTGGCATTAACCTACACTCACAAGCAATGTCGCTAGAACATTCAATGCTACACAAATTAATGGCACAGCACATTTAATGAGTAATGTTTTTATTGGACAAGGTCATGAATTAAGACATTGTTTACTTTCTGAAGAAAAGAACTAAATAATAACATGAGCCAATAATGCTTCGACTGTATTTTTAGTTGGATGTTTATATATATAAGTACATTTAAGATACCGTAATGAGTAAAATTGTTTTTAATAAATGCTATTTGGTTAACAGCAGACAGGGCAATTATACTGATGCACGACACTGGAAAAGATGGTACACATCATCTAATCATCTAATTTTTCGTGAAATTACCATGATTAAATATAATGTTGTCATTCTTGTGTTATAGAAATAAATTAATTCTTTAAATTAATGAATACAAAAACTTGTGGCGAGATTTTTTTTGTCCATTACAAATATTCTCTGGTGAATACAACTCTATGATTATTACTGATAATAGGGGTTTTCCCCCTTTTTTCTGGCAACAAAACTGAAACCTTTTACAAGGAATCATGTGTGCACTAACCACAATACTTGTGGTCAAAATGCAAACAAAAAACAAACTATGATAATATATGTGTTGTCCTTGAAACTGATTGGTCCACACTGACTATGAACAGATAATAGACATTTTGTTTTATTTGATGTACCTTTTCTGTTTCCTTAACAATGGAATACATATTCAGCATTATAATTGTTTCATGAGTAGTGTTATTATTATTTTGCAACACTTTAATATATTTTTGACTCCTTTTACTTACCATTAATAAAAATAAACGACAAAGTTTATTTTGTTTAACCAGAGACCAGGATCATTTTTATTCGTAAGTGTGATTTAGGTAACCAAAATAACAAAATACATTACAAATAAAATAATAATGTGCACCAATGAAGCAAATTTAAATCACTGTACTGGTCAGAATTGGTTTGTAAACCGGGCAGGGGTACGGTTAGCAATCGAACTCAGGTCACCTAGTTCATAGCTTGGTATGTGAATCACTTGGGCCACTGCTCTACCCCCATGCTGCTCATCTTCATGATTTTGTGGTCATTGTTAAGTTTACTCTCTCAGAGATTTTTGCAATGGATAGATGAGTGCCACCACAAGGATTTAACTTTTCATTGTGATATTAGAAAGAAAAAAAACATTTTAAAACGAGCGATTCAACTATTGCCATCAAATTAGTAACTAATATTTTGTATACATACGTGCTTGCATCTTCATTGTGATTAATACAACTAGATGTCCTGTTTTGGCAGACTGCATAGCAGTGGCCAATAGTCGATTGGATAATTATTTGCAACCAAATTTAATTCAAAGCCATAACTAATGACTCATAGAATACAAAAAAAAATCAGAGGCTGCCTCATTATGCTTGCCTAAAATTGGCTATGATTTGTCATTGAGTTTAATTTGTCATATCTGCTGCAGCATTTTTTTTTTGTTCAACCCACCCCACCCCACGACACACGGGGAATACGTAGCTAGGTTTAAAATTTACAACAGTGACTGCGTTGGGAAGAAGGCCATCTCCGCTGTGATGATTTATAATGCGTCATCTCCAGCATGGGATGTTGCAAGCCAGGCTGTGCAGGGAATGGAACGGCTGGCGGGGGTATGCTTGTCCGGCGGGCGACTATGGACAGCTGTAAGTGAAGGAATTTGCATCGAAGAGGTGGCGGTTGATGGTGCTTGCCACTTAGAAAAAAAAATTGCTCCATGTTCTTTATACGGTTTACAATGGAACTTGCTCCCCTTATCAACAAAAACACCACCCACCCATATACTCACAATTTGCGTTTTTTTACTATGTTCACACGAACACAAATCTGTTCGCACGTACGTTTTTTGCATTCGTTTGCCTCTCTCTCCGCGATCGTGCCCTCGCCAACGCGCGTTGTACATTTACACGTTTAACAAAACCCGTTGTCTTTGTGAAAGAGGAAGAAAATAACATAACACGACCCACTGCAACTGGCCATGACGACGCCAACCCGTTTCTCCACCCCAAGGCACCATCCCGCCGCTCCTGAAGGCGACGGTGAAGGTGAACAACGAGAACCTGTCACCGAGCCAGGAGCTGCGGCTGCTGCTCATCGTGTCTTGCCTGCTGGGCCTCGGTCTGCTCACGCTGGCTCTGCTCGTCTACGTCCGCCGCCGCCGCCGGCAGCAGAGGCTCAAGCGTCTGCGAGGCAAGCGCCGCCCCCGGTTCTCCCATCGTGGGCACGTGGCAGTGGCTCGCTGACACCCCCCCGCACAAACCACACAGTGGGTAAATAGCCAAGGAAAAGGGGTAGCCCTGCAGAGGCACAACGGCCTCCACTATCGATGGAGCTCTAGGGTGGAACTCCTCTAATTGGATTTTTGGTCTACTCTTCCACGTTGGCCAGATGTCTCGGGTGGGAGTACCCACACTTCACGACCTTCCGATCAACGAACGGCGGTGTACACGTTTATACTTTTGGGTGAAGGGAAGTGGAGGGGGGATTTAAGAAACTTGCACCATTTTCGTGAGAATTTTATTGTGTTATTTTATTTTGTCAATTTATTATTTTATTCTCATTCTACGTGACTTTACCGAAAGAACCAAAGAAGTTGCACCATTGTTTAAACTTCCTGGCCCCGGAGATTGAATCGAACCAGCGACCGTTGCATTGCAGTGTGCCAACCGTTACACTGGGGCAGCATCCCACCATAGTGAGTAACAAGTGCAATAATGATATAATTACAATGCTACGGCATTGACTTCACCATGGCCGCTATGTTCCAGATGGCTGCATGAAAGAAAAAATGGTGAACTTTCCAAGAGAATCGTTTTTGGTTTAGATTCCCACACTGATGCATTATTTTTCTTATTATTATCAAGCATTGCCCTCGCATTCCATTTATCAATTGATCACTTTCATGTATTACCAGCTGCTGGAAAATGTGATTTCGCATGTTCTTGTTTTCTTATGCTGGAGCCATGAGTTCCCATTGTGCCACTAATGTAAAATCTTCAGCAGATGAATTACACTATAGCACTGAACTTTTTCCTCGTTACCCCAGAGATTGATCGATATAGCAAGCTGCCATAACTTCCTTATTTACTTTGCATATTTATTTAACACAACCTTCATTCGCTCAGTCGTAATTGTTTTGTGCATCTCGGAAACCTGCCCCATTGTTTCAACTGCCTTGTACGGGAAAGATGATATAAAACTGGCGACTTCTGGAACGCAAGTGCAATGTACTAACCATTCCATCGAGGCTGCCCCCTGTATACATATATACACACACATTACACAATGATGCCAGCAGCACAAGTGCTTCACTGGGAAGGGAACTATGAAGCAGTTAGAAACCTTTTTGCTTATTATTGAATCAAAGGCAGTTTGATGGCAGCAATTTACGGATGCAAGAACGATGCATGAACGCACGCCAGTTACTCATTGGCCACGCTATTATAGACTTTTTTTGATTGAGAATAGAACCTGTAATTGGAATGTGCATCTGACAGGTGGAATTTGCCCAGTAATTCCATAAGAAGTAACGTGCTCGGAATTAATATAAGCCATGCAAATCAGACGCTGCCGTGGATGTGATTACATATTCACGACAATCTTGATCACTGCCAGAATGGAGGCTGTGGTTGTGCATGCACCAACGTTTATTGTTTCCAATTGTGTCCATAGGATGAATCATATTTTTTTCACGTTCCAAACAAATACTTTGCATAACCTAAAATAACAAAACACGATGACAATAAAGAATAACCTTGCAGTGACATGAAAAGAGTTAGATTACTCTACACACTGTTTGAAAATATGTTTGCAATTCTAATGAGTATGTGCAGGCTGGGTATAATAATGCATCGACTCGTCAATTAATATTAATTCATCTTACAATACATGGAATAGAATTTATCTTGTAAGAATCAACGTTTTTAGCAATGGGTTTAAGTAACATTGCATTGGGTTCAAACAACAAACAAAAGCTCTAATTGATTCTAAAATTACATCATCACCCTGATTCGCAGCGATGTATTGAATCACCCGGATTGGTATGCAATGTAAGTCCCACAATATCTTGAGGGGACGTGTTAGTGCAACGGTTGCCAGCAACCGTCATCAGCAACAAGTTAACCACGAGCAACTGTGGCAACTTGGCGAGCAACCCATATAGCAGGGTGTCCGCTTAACAAACGCACCACATCACACACACACACAGCATCACATCCAGATCCCACTCAGGCATTGCCACAACACTGCCATGTTGTTGATGAAAATAACTCTCTGCAATCTGATTGGAAGTCACCAACCCAGTTGCCCACGAAGGGGAACTGCAATCAGATGTTTTCGTTCGCTTTTTTGGGCAACAAGATTTTCACAATTTGGAAATGCCACGGCAAACGTTGGCAGTGGTTAACTGCCAGCGATGATTGTGGCCTAAAATTGACCCAGTAGATGATGGCCTTGATAGGCAGCACAGGGCACTATATATATGAGTGTTCATGGTAAACACTACAATAGATTGTACTATTATGTAGTTGCTCTTTATGCAGTGTTTACAACAACAACAAAACTCAGACGATAATAAAGATCATTAGGCAATCAAGCTAGCTCAAGGATAAACAAATAGGGTTTATAATTTGCCTTAAAAGATGTGACCGTACGTGCATTTGTTGATTTGATTTGGGGCGGAGTTTTTAAAAGCAGGGCGCAAACTAACAAACTAAAGGCCCTTGCCCGTTATGATTTGAAATACCTTCTCAGAACCACTGAATTTGAACGACTTCCAGGAAATACAGAACTGTGGTATACACAACAATTATTGCAATATGCATGACTACAAAGTGTACATTTACAACTATTGCTATTTATCTTTTACGTCTTTCGTGACTGCAGGAATCCATACGCTTTGGTTCTTTCGGTAAAGTCGCGTAGGTATAATATATATAGGTATATATACCTACGCGACTTTGCCGAAAGAACCAAAGAGTATATTTTACGTGTTTCCGTCATGCCTTCGTTGCACGCACATAGTTCGAAAGTGATTCCGAGGTGGCGTCATGCTGTCGGCGAATTATAATTCTTTTCACGTGTTTTCTGTCTCAGGAGTCCTCGTGTTTTTTTTTTTAGCTTCCTCGTAACATTGATTCGGTTCAGTTCAGCCACTTCCCAATGCAAATGCACGTAAGAGTCATTTCCAATGCACAAATAATAATTTACAGTGACATGGCGGCTTCGTAACAAATTCAATACTCGATTTAATTACGAGCTACATGGTTTTTTTTGGAATCGCTTTCCTTGCTGTTGTTCTTTTTTTTTAATGAAATGTCATTTTAACTTTGCTCTGCTTTATTTTATGTTTGAACAGACGCGAAAAGTCTTGCGGAGATGCTGATAAGGTAACTGCTCAGGAATATTTCCCGTTTGATCACGAAGTCCTCTGTAACCAGATCCACTAAGGATATTTTCCTTGTTCTCTTGATGGTGATTCATGTTGCTTTGATGTCACTTACCCCTTCGACGGAAAGAAAGACAACGGGGTCTGCATGTCGTCCTCATTACCACAATTTCTCTCAATAGACTCGGAACTGCTTCATGATTTTCCCCGGGCATTCACCCCAGAAGCTTTATATATTTTTTTTGCGTGTGGCAGATAACTCATTTGGTGCACGATCATAAAAAAAGCGAATTGTTATGAAAACACCAATTAAGTTATTGCCACGTTCAAAACGTAATTCCTTCCTCATTTCACACTTACATCCCTTTTTTATTCTTGCTCTGAATGTCACTCCAGGAGATTTGGGTAAACCGATTTTCCAGCATGATTCATTTCTATTAAATGCCGCGCCGCGCAGCTTATCTGGAAATCTGGCAAGCAGTTCAAAACATAATGTAATGACTACTCCATAACTTGATTTGGTGCTTTCGTGACTGCAGGAATTACTCGTTGGTTTTTTCGGTAAAGTCACGTAGAAATAATAAATAATAATAAATAAAATTATATAATAGTATACATTTCGATTGCAACGCAAGTAATCATCATCAGGTATAGAAGAGCTAAATTTAAGAGAGAGAGAGAAGCACAGAGAGATGGAGAAGCACATCAAATTGTTTCCAAATTTTACTTAATCTTGTTCAAGTTGATGTGCTTCTCCATCTCTCTGTGTTTCCCCTCTCTCTCTTAAATTTAGCTCTTCTATACCTGATGATGATTGCTTGCGTTGCAATCGAAACGTCGTATGTATACTATTATGTAATTTTATTCTATTATTATTTCTCATTTATACGTGGCTTTACCGAAAAAAACAATGAGTGACTACTCCATAATACAGATTAGTAATTTATATTTAGTTTTTTTTAAGCATTCATTGTTATTTTTTCTCTCTCCATAAAAAAAATCTTAGTTACTACAGCACATTTCTTTGCGGGGAGAAAAATACACTCTGCCGTTGTACAATATACAATATAACCTGAAAGTTATTTCGAGAATGGCTCAAAAAAAGTGTTCATTCTTGTAACAAAAGTGTACTGCCTGGAGGACAGTGAAGCGCCTGTATGTTGCAGCACAGTAAGTAGGTTGCCAATCTATGCGAGTGTTCCTCCCAATCAGAAATTACCAATACATCCATAGGCGGCAGGCTGCTAGCGCTGACAGGGCTTAGCGCGCTAAAACATTCGCCAGCTTACATTTAAACACAGCTTACAGAGGCAAAACCTCTCAAAGCTGGACCCGGCGAGAGAGCACAAGGTCTCCACTAGCCGAGCACGTGGTGGACTGACGCAGTCCGTGAACCCGTGCAATTACATTTTTGTTAGATGATTGATATCCAAAAACAGGGGTGCACGAGGTCACCACCAGCAGAGCACGTGGTGGACTGACGCAGTCCGTGAACCCTTGCCCTCGGCCATGTCAGTCAACTGCCAACTGTGCTCGTGGAAACCTTTGGCTCCCTTGCTTTCTGAGTATGAATTAAAAAAAATATATATTTACATTAAATGTTTTCAAAAAGCAATTCATTTATTACAAATATATATATTCAGCTCCTCCAAAAGCATTTATTTTGGCCTCTCTCAAAGAATACATCCCAAAAGTAGGACCCTCCTAAAAAAAAGTGATATTCAGTGTAACAGTCTCGTGTAAAAAAATATATATATATATACACCTGACTACATCATTAGACCTCCTTTGCCAGTACCAAAATATAATAATAGGGGTTTTTCCCCTTTTTTCTGGCAACAAAACTGAAACCTTTTTACAAGGATTCATGTCCGCATTAACCACAATACCTGCAAAAGGCCTTTTGGCGTCATCTGGTCGAGCACCAATTGGGTCGAGGCTCAAAAGAAAGCCGTCCCTTGGTGTGGACCAATCAGTTTCAAGGACAATGCATATATTATCATGGTATGGTTTTTTTTGCATTTTGACTGCAGGTATTGTGATTGATGCAGACATGAATCCTTGTAAAAAGGTTTCAGTTTTGTTGCCAGAAAAAAAAGGGGAAAAACCCTATTATCATACACCTGACTGTTCAGATCAGGAGTAAAGATGCATTACTCTGTTTACGCTCTTCCGCTTTCGTATTGTTGCTTCATCCTTCCTTCCCGATGCAATGCTGTCACCTGCTCCTGGCGAGAAATATCCATCTTTGCACAACTGAATTGGCGCGTGCCTCTCGTTTGCAGCAAAAACTCGCGCCCCGTGGACACGCCGGTTAAGAGGGAGCAGCAGACTCCACGAATCCACATCGACGTCCCCCGGGGGCAGCTTCTGATTGAGAACAAGGACAGCACGGAGCAGCTCGGTCAGTGGAAAGCCGAAACACGCGGCGGCGCAGCAAATGGCAGCGCAGGCCAAACGACAACGGCGCGTTTTATTTTTATTTTTTTCAAAGGGGACTTTGTCGACCCAGCGAGTGCGTCATCTGTAGCCATCGCGCACAGCTCTGGGTCCCCACGCTGCCCGTTAGTTTTAGCGACGCATGCGGACCCTACCGCGTTGTAAATGTCAGGCATCCGATCGGACCTTAATTTGCAATGTTTTCGAATAGATTATTGAAGTGCTGCACACTTGTGGGAATATCTCACGTCAATTAGGGCAAGGTAGAGATGACAGATTTTTAGAGTTATATTCTTGGTTCTTTCGGTAAAGTCACTTTACCGAAAGAATATGAATCCCTGCAGTCACGAAAGCTTTAAATCAAGATTTAAGAGTTGTAAATAGTAGATGTTGCCTCATCTGTGGAAGCTATTCATAGCTTCATATATATATGTGAAGGACTTACATTCACAGTTATGTGGACATTTATTCTTATTTGCTTATAGAATGTTGTTGAATTTATGTAAATATTGTAGCAAGTGGTTTTCACTTGAGGTAACTATTTACAGGATATTGTTAGCATATTTCAGAATAGGGGGAAAGCTCACAACAAAATGTTTACATTATTTAACATTGTGGGAAAATAAATGTTTGCCTTGTTTTCCTATTTTTAATATTTGTGTTGCCAAGTGATTTACTAAACAGTGATGACCATCATTTGTGAGTTGGTGATTATATGCTTAATATCATGTTATTGGCTAGAAGTGGATAATCAGATGAGAATGTGTTTTTTATATATTATGGTAATATGTTCATGCAATTGTGAAACATATCGTGTCTTGTGTCATAATCTGTTTTATTTATTTATCTTTTTGGTGTTCATTATAACGTACTAATTTGGCAGTAATAACTTTGTAAATATTTGTAATGATCTTTTTTTTCTTGGGGGGATGCTAGAATCCTGTCTAAAGCCAAGAACTAGATAATTTATGGGTCAACATGTTACCTCATCTTCTTGAATACTAACTTAGTATTTCAACATAATCACAACTTTCTAAAGAACAGAAATTTGCACACAACCCACTTGGTTATACTTAACAGCTGAGCAGGTGGTCCAAACAACTGTGGTCTTTATTCAAATTAACATTCTTGTAATGATGTGGAACAGTTGGTGCTCAATTACTTTAATGATCTGGGCTTGTACCAACTGTTCATCAGCCCACGTTGTAACCTTGATCACATATCAGACCTGTTCCCACCTGGCCAATGGGCTTGGCATTTTGGCATTTTCGTGCAACATTGTTTATTTAATGCATGTCCTGCCCCCAGGTGTGTCTTCTTGGCATATGTGTTGTTATTTGTTCCTGATGCCAACTACCCTAATTTAACACCAAGCAATTGCACTGACTTGTGCCAACTAACACGCTGCCTTGGGGGTATAAGATTTAATCATTGTAATTTTGGTCCCCAAAAAAAACCCGCATTAGAAAGCCAAAAGAACATTTCCCAAAGTGCCCGAATTAACATGATGAAGACCACACACAGTTTGTGTATATCACAGTTTAATGGGGTTTTTTTTTTACAAATCCAGAAGGATGGGCCTGAAGGAAAGCCTGTGTCCGATGGAGGCAATCATATTTTCATTCATTTAAAAAAAGTCTTTTACTTTTACATTATTTACTCTGTTTTAACCTAGTCGTGTAAATGTGTCAAAAATTGTGTCGGTGAAACAAGCGAGGCGATTATGCAACAGGAGAATGGTGTGAAAATGTTTACATTTTTTTTCCGCCAAAAAAACGTACTTAATGTTGGCATTGATTTATTTCTCATTTTTAATCACTGTCGCCGATCACAGGCCCAGAGGCCCAAAACATCAATCGGCCAGCAACAAACAGCACTATCAAAGATGTAATAGGTAAGAGTTAACACGTTTCATGAAATTGAGCAGGCCTGTAACAGCTTGGGAGAATACACAATGGTAGCGGGGGGAGAGGATTTCAAAGTTGAACAGTGCGAGGGAAAAATCAGAAGCAGAAGTGCTGTTGCAACATAGTTACAACATAGTAACAACATAGTTTCGACATTGAAACAACATAGTAACATTGTAAAAACATAGTAACATTGTAACAACATAGTAACAACAACGAAATCGTATGAACGACGCAATAATCTAATGGGGTTTTTATTTTAAGACTTCTTGGGCCTCATACTTATATTTGCCGGTGCTACTCCTGTCTGGTGAGGGAATTGTGCTGTGTCGAACGTATCTTCGTGGGGCAACAGAGAGTATTGATAATTTAGCCATTTATTGAATATTTACAATAGATCTCTTTACTCGGGGAATAGCTGCTGTCTGAATGTCCTATATTTACAGGGGGCCTACGTTTGGTTCTGCATGGGAATATATTACCTCCCTATCGCTAGCCACCGAGGGTGAACTTAGCGATGACAACCATCGCTGTGGTCCCGCCGTTGTCGACGCAACGTCCCCCCCCCCCCCACGTGTGTGTGCTGTGCCACAGAGGGGGATGACAAGTCGACCATTCTCCTCACGGACTCCGATTACAGTCAGGCTGGGAAGTCACGGACGTACAGCGGGGGGCACACCTTGCCTCACCCCCATCCTCACCCCCATCCTCACCCCCATCCTCACCCGCACCCTCACCCCCATCCTCACCCTCACCCAGCTCCAGCTGCAGGACCCGTCGACACGCTCATCGATACCTCCAACACACGACCGGGCACAAGTACGTGCGTGTGCGTGGGTGTGTGTGCGTGTGTTTGTTCGTGTGTATGTGTGCGGGGAGCGGTAGTGTAGCGGTTAGTGTGCTCGGCTATGAACCCAATCACCCGAGTTCGATCACCGCTCACGGCCAACACCAGTGACGATTATTTGAACCGGTCCTGGGCCTCCCCTAGATCGACTCGGCTCAAATGAGCACATGGTGTGGTGTGTAAACATCGCCACTGGGGAGACAAAAGCGGCCGAGCGTGGTGTTGGCCACCCACCTCGTCATGTGCCGTTCCATCCTTCATAGGTGCTTGTTAAGGCTATACGGGGGATCTTTGTCTTTATTAATGTGTGTGGGCAGTGGTGATTCAGTAGTTAGCGCACCGCATTACGAACCCCAGCGACCTGAGATTGATTCCTGCTCTCAGCCAATATTAGTGAAAATATATGAACTGGTCCTGAGCCTCCTCTAGGCCCACTCAGCATTAAATGAGTATCCGGTGCCGTGTGTAGCACTGGGGGTACAAAAGCGGCTGGGTGTGGTGCTGGCCACCTACCCCATATGCCATTCTAGCCTTCATAGGTGCTCGCTAACAGCACTTGCCCCAACGGTCTGTTATAGGCTACACGGGGAATCTTTGTCTTTTGTTGCGTGTGTGCACGCATGTTTATGTATGTGCGCGGCAAGCGGTGACACTGTTTTTCGCCCTACGCCACAAACACGGTGACCCAGGGTTTAATCTCCAACCACAGCTAACATCACTGGCTAGTGGCATTGCACATTTTCTAGGCCTCCCCTAGGTTGAGTCAACCTCAAATGAGTACCAGGTCAAGTGTGTAAACATCAGAAATGGTTAGATATTGGTCTTCACGTGTGCTCACTAACACTATTTTCCCCCACCACTCTGCATGAATATACAGAGGATCTTTGTCTCTTTGTGTATCTGTGGGAAGGAGTGAAAGCAGAGTTGTTAGCATGGCCAGGAATAAACCTGCATTCTATTTCTGACCATGGAACTGGCTTGCACCTCCCATGATTTGGTCTTTCATGAGCAGTGAGCACTGATGATGAACATCAGCATGGGGAGGCACAAAGTGGCCGGGCATAGTGCTGACTACTGTATACATTTGGTATCAGCCTTAATAGGCACTGCCTCACATCAAATTGACTTGATATTCCCCATAATTACATTTGGAATATATTTTTTGTGTCGTAAATATGTTGTAATTCAATATTGGCTGCTTTAGCGAATGTGCATACATATACAATATATATGGGAAATTGATATTTTTTTAAGAAATCCAAAAACCTTCTGTTAAATTAATTGAAACGTTTCTTTATTTTGCTGAAGAAACAAATGTGACTTTTTGGGCCATCAAATTAGCATTGCCATTCTAATGCTTCTCAATCGGTGGACTATTTTGACCCGCTCACATTCACGACTGTGTCTGCTTCCAATCACAGTTTACAACAGCAACACAAATAATAAAGTAAGGGGTTTTTTTTTAGACACCAAAAACATATGTTTGGGGCAGAGATAAGCAACAAATGAATGACAGAACCAGTACTTAACTATCTCAGGTATAATTATACCTACTGGGGGAGAATAATAATAACAAAAATAACCCTATGGCAGGTTTCTGACACTGTTGCTTTTAATGAGGTCCCACTAACCTGATTTGAAATGAAATATTGTACATTGACATGCGTGTATCTGTGGTGGGAGCTGCTGTGCCTATTCTTGGATTTATATAGTCAACTTTGAGCGGTAGTGCAGCGGTTAGCGTGCTGTGCTACTTAACCCAGCGACCCGAGTTCGAGTCCCACTCACGACCAACACCAGTGACGATTATTTGAACCGTTCCTGGACCTCCTCTAGGTCGACTCAGCCTCACATGATTACCTGGTGCGGTGTGTAAACATTGCCACTAGGGAGACAAAGGCAACCAGGCGTGGTCTTGGCCGTGCGACCTTCATAGGTGCTCGCTAACAGCCAAAAAGTCTGTCACAAGCGATACAGGGGGGGGAGTATTTGTGCCTTTCCTCGGATTGATATTGTCAACTCTGATTAATTGTGTGCGATGTCTGTATGCTGCGCGTGTTTATCACACCGTGGAATTCAAATATCGGATTTGTTTGCGTGTCGCCATATACTTTCAACAGCACCAGCAAGTGGAGAGATGAATAATTAAAATGTAAAATTACAGAATTAATTAATGTCTGGGAAAATCCGAAATGCGTGACGTTCGGCGGTGTCTGTTGGTTATTTTACGTGACGTTAGACAGATGTCAGTGCGGCTTCATCTTTGCATCGCTGTAGACGGATTTCGATAATTTTTTGTACTTGGTTTTTCTTCAATGCAGGCCTACAGTAAGCTCAATGAGACTTTTTTTTTTAAATCGGTTTGCTGTCATGTAAATACAGTAGTTTAGGCCTCGTAAGCGAAATTAACTATTTTAGATTTCTCAAAGCCATCCTTAGCTTTTTTTTCCCCCTCTACGGTGGTCGTTTCAATTAAGCAGAGAGTTACTAAATTTAATTAAACATTTAATGGCTTTTCCAGAGCCGAGCTCGCTTGTTTTCTCTTCCTGCTCTCCGACCACTTTTCCATCAGCGCCGTGCTTTAATAGGTGGCAATTATCTAAGTTGAACACATTTCTGTCAAATTAGTGTCGGTTAAATGCTGCAGGTGCTGCTTTTTATTTAGCTCCGCCCCCCCCCCCCCCTGAATGATATTGCTAAGGGGCCATCCATTTAGTACGGAAGCAAAAATCTGTCAAAACTTGACCCCTCCCCCCCTCACTTTGACACCCCCAGAATCCTTATTATCGAGGTTTCACCCCCCCCCCCCCGTTCCCTATGCGTACGTACATTGTCAGTAGACCCCCCATACGCAAGCGTACGCATTTGGGTTAACCCCCCCTCCCCCCTCCATGCGTACGTACTAAATGGATGGCCCCTAATTGTGTCACATTAGTGCCTAAAATTTAGATTGTCTCCGGACATCACCGAGTGCTTTTTCTGCTGGCAGAGCCAATGGATTTGTTAATCATAGTTTGTAAATGTAATAGCAGATTAATATAGCATTCAACCAAGCTGAATATGTAGAGTATTACTGGCCAATTTAAGGCACATATTGTTAATTACGTGTATATAAATGCCACATTGTATCATCTAATATGGTATCCAGAAAGAGGCACTTAACTTGGTAATCTAAATAAATATATATTTTGAACAAACACATCAATAGATGTGTCATTTAAATAAATGAGCACTTACTTGTATTAATTTATGAGCGTGTTCAATTGATGTGCTTCGTTACTTTTAATCAAGTCGAGATCCATTGGAAAGCAATGTTCATTCTCTGAGTGGCATCCTGATTATTAAAAACAAGTTATTTCGAATGTAACTTTCCTACAATTGGCAAAGGAGTGGCATTTACAGCAAACAGCACTGCAAGTGATTAAGGTGAAAAACGCAGCTTGTCCAGTATGGTATCATTCACTTTTATCGAACACATAATTAGACAACAGTTTGAGCTAGGGCAATAAAACTGATTTAAAGAACAAAGGCACAGATTACCCGTATAGTCTTGACAGACTGTTGGGGCAAGTGATGTAAGCGAGCACCTATGAAGGCCGGCACAGCACACAAGGGGGGTGGTTGGCCAACACCATTGCCCGGCCACGCCGCACCAGGTACTCATTTGAGGCTGAGTCGACCCAGGGGAGGCCCAGCACCTGTTCAGAAATTCGTCACAGGTGTTGGCTGCGAGCACGAGTCGAACCCGGGTCACAGCCGGGTTCGTAGCACAGCGTAGCGCTAAGCGCTGCATCACCGCTCACCGTGATTCTCGAGGCTCCCAGGTGCTCACCAGAATCTCAGGTGCGGTTGTTTTGAAAACGCCTTTAAAAATGCGCCCCTCAAAACTCTTCGAGCGTTTCGCTTGAGCGAATGTAAAACACGCACACACATATAAGGAATATGTTCACAACGTTTCAACAAACAGCTCTTTAAACCGAGTCTAATTATAATTAATGATGTATGGAATATGATGATTTATGGACATCCTCTAAGACAAACGGGTCAGAATTTATTTTGATTTATTTTAATTTAATTCACAGGCGTTAATGTGAAGAGAGCATATTATGGTGTTTGTCTTCCACTAATATTGACGGTCTTTTTTTATCACGTTACTAAGCAAAGGCTCAAAATCCCACATTTTTATTAGCTGATTTTTAATTAATGCTCATCCTTTTTCCCACGTTTGGTTCTTGAGTTACCCACGCAATGAAAAACATCTATCAATACATTAATAGGAGTATGATGATGCTAATTCATTGGCTTTTGCATTTGTGCAGTCTCGCCATGTGTTGTTCGGTAAGCCGCGTTTTTCATGCTAAGCACACGTGGTACAACCAGAACGTATATCAAGAGAGCAACAGTCGGATAAGAATTTGTGAAAATACAGCACTAAGAGGAAAAAAAATTATAGAAAAAATTGGTGACATTTTCGGCAATGGGAGAGTTTGAGTTTTTGTAATTTGTATCTGTACAGTGCCAGCGCAGTGTCAGAAAAAATAATAAAGTAGAATGATCGTGACTCAGTAAAACAAACCCAGACAGGCTTTTAGATATTTATCTTTTGAAATAATATTTGATATGTTTGGTTTTAACAATTGTACAAGATGAACGATTTCAGTGAAAATAATCGTAAAGGTTCACAGTTCTGATGTGACGTTCCAATCTCACCGGAAAAGCAAAAGTGCTTCCTCTCATTCATTCCAGATTTTTGGGTTGGGTCACGGTAATAATCTGGCCAGAGTTTTGTCAGAAAGACCCTCAACCACCCGAAAAATCCGAATGTACTAAATTGCCACGTTTAGAAGCATTCAGCTTGTAACCAAATGTAACAATGGGACGTGACGTTTCGCTTGAAAGCGCATCAAGCATCTTTAGGAAAATCCAGGAATTCAGAAAAAAACACACATTTGGTCAGATCGCGTAATGATGATGATCTGGAAGTGCCCGGAGGTTCTCTCTCTTCTAACGACGGCTCTGGAGCTCGCTAAACCGCGCTCGGACGCAGCACGGGAGGACGTGCAGCATCGTGCGCGTTGTTCCATACATGGAAAAATCAAAGAGTCGCCAGCCTGTGACTGTGTGCGGTAGAGCCCCAAACCGTCAAATGCATCGCCGACGAGTCGCACCATCATCCAGGCGCGGCACACCCTGACGGTGTCCCTACAATCCGTACAGCGTCTGCTGAAGCCTTGGATTGCTTAAAGGACCCCTGAACATTCAACTTTGACATCATCTATAAAAACTGTTGCTCCCCTCCCCGCCCTGCGCATTCCATACAAAAGAAGAAAACCCCGAAAAATCGCTTGAGAATAATAATAATAACAACAACTAACAATAAAACATTGCCTGCGATAGCACCCCCCGTCCCGCGTCAACCTAAGCCTCTTTTCCCCGGTTGACGCTCGGCCACTTGCAGACCCAGTGTCGCGCAAGCACGTGCGCCACCCGCCCCCGCCACCCCGGAGCCGCTACGCCAGCCAGTGGACCCTGAGCCGCCTGCAGGGATCCGCCTGCGCCCGCACGCTGCCGCCGGACTGCCGCGTGATCACGCCCCGGGCGGCCGACTGCCGCGTCATCACGCCACGCACAGGCGAGAGCGACAGCTACAGCATCAGTCCCTCTCAGGACACAGGTAGCTTGCACGCCAGGCGGGCACTCTTGTTCACTCGTGGCCAAGGGGAGGCAAAGGGGTGGGGGGAGGTTAGGGGGCTGCTGCTGTGTGGCTGCGTTGTGTCTCGTGTGCAGTCGAATGGCAACGCAAAGCAAATGCCGGGTGGATTCGTGATTACGTGGACCTGGCAGCCTCGAGTGGACTCACCGCCCTGATAAAATGTCATTGCAAAGTACTAAAAAACCTCTTCGTTTTCATGTTAAATGTTAAGCATACAGTTATGTGCCTTAAATCTGGGCACTCGGCTGTAATGTATTATTTGTTTTACTTATTATTTTGATTTTAAGCCCTTTTAACGCTTCACTGCTTTTATTGCAAGCCTGCCTACGCTGTGTTGATCGTGTGGGTTTGTTGCTTTACCATACTTCACCATTGTTGGTCAGTGTGGCTTTTGTGAAGGGGTGGGTGGGACTGGTTCAGATATCACTCATCCCTGACGTTAGCTGTGACCAAAAAATCGAACTCTGGGTCGCTGGGTTTATAGCTCAGTGCTCTATAACCACTGTGCCACCTCACACCCCGCTATGTATGTACGTGCAGGAATTACTTTGAAAGAAATTACAACATCAGTTTGTCTAGATTACATTGCTGCAGTGTGTGCTGATCTCATCACTCCATCTCTGCCTTGATCATTTTCTCGGGGACAACAATCTCCCTCCCCTGCTTTGCCAAGCCAACACTATTTTCATCTTTTGGCCATCATCCCTGACAACAATGTATCCGGCCCAAGGATACTTGTCCTTCTTAACAGTCAACATGATGTCGCTAAATTGGATTTGTTTTTGTGCCATGTGTTCCCTTTTCTGTCGGTGAGCATAATTCCCAGGATGCATTTCTGCATTGCTTTTTTTGTGGCACTTTTTAATATCTGTTTTATTTTCAGTTGTCAGTGTCAATGTTTCTGATCCATATATCCATAGCAGGCAATAAACACCTTATAGGCATATTGGTATGTTGCTTTTCGTTATCAATTTCAGTTTTTTTTTTGCAAAATATGTCATCTCTTTATTTTATCATTTTGATCCCAGTCTACTTCCAATAATTTTCTAGATAGTTCTCGTTTTTTTATGATTGTGTTCCTCCACCATTTGTTTTCCTCTTGTTCAGTGAACTTTAGTTTTCCTCACGTGAAAAAAATTTTCCCCAACTTTTCAGCCTTCTGTGTTAAGTTATGTAATTATTACCTCCAGTTGATTTCCATTTGTTGTTATGATAACGAAATCGTCAGCAAATCTGAGATTGTTGATACTAACTTAATTTATGCTCATGCCTTTATATCTCAAGTCTACTTTTCAGAAATATCTTCAAATGTCGCCTTTTAATAACTTTGGCGAAAGTGTGTCACCTTTCCTGACTCTGCTTCTGATTTGTATTTAATTCTTTTTTTGTGAAATCGGAGTGTAACTGTTCTATTTTTAGAAAAGAAAATCCATAAATTTTCTGCATTTAATTACTGAGACCTTGTTTTGTGATAATATATATCACCATGCCTGATTAAAGTCAGATATGGTGATTTTTTATATTAATTTCCAGAAATTGATTGATACTTTTTATGTATATGGTCAATGGTAGAAAAATCTTTCCAAAGTCTGGCTTTCTCACACGGTTGGGTTGACCTCTACATTTTCCATTATTCTCTACGCAGTGGTCTTTTTGAACAATGTATAAATGAGACAATCTGGTAGCTTATATGTAGGCAGGTCTAGCATTTATTTTTTATCTTCATGCAACCAAACAAATTATGATATAATGCCGCATATCACGTTTAAATTGTACCACAGTTACGTTTCCAAGAATCCGTTTTTTTTTCTTCTTCTCAGAAGCACATTTTCAGCCAGTGCCACCACCATTTCGCAAATGTACCAAAATTGTACATTTTGGTACAGGGGGGCAAGCCGCATATAGCCTCTTAAATTATATGGCATTACCCGCTGTTCGATGCTGCGCGCAGACAAGGGCCGGAACAGCATGGTGTCGACGGAGAGCGCGTCGTCCACTTACGAGGAGCTGGCTCGAGCGTACGAGCACGCGCGCATGGAGGAGCAGCTGAAGAACGCCACCTTCGAGATCACCGAGTGCTTCGTCTCCGACACGTCCTCGGAGCAGCGGCTGACGGGCGGCACGGCGGGCACGGGCGGCGAGCCCGGCGGAGACAGCCTCACGTCTGGCAGCACGCCCAGCGAGTCGGGCATCTGTCGCTTCACCGCCTCTCCGCCCAAACCGCAGGTGGCGAGCACGAACCAGGGAAGCATGGCCATGCCCATTGCGCACCGTGCAGGTAACATTGCAAATGTGAGCCCCGCGTCACGTGATCCCCCCCCCCCCCCCCCCCCCCCCCCCGCGTCACCTTGCGCCCCTTGTGTTGTGACTGACTCCTTCATCCGTGGCTTCGGCACAGCCCCCACCAGAGGTCGGGGCATTTGGGCCACCACTGCTCGCTTAGTTTCCGATAAATTCGGCTTCCCGTTTGGCCACCCCCACTGCCTTGCCCTTGCTACAATGGCGCTGTGCTGTAAATCTATTCGGCGGGCGTCTGGAATGCTTCTTCCCAAGGCCGTAGCCATGGAGTCAACATTGGGGGGGACCAAATATTCCAGGGGGTCTGGGGGTCCCCCCACCCCAGAAAAAAATATTAATTTTAAAACTAATTTCCTGCCTAAAATCCTTAAAACATTCACGAACACATAGTACGGACTTTTTTTTAATGTATTTTTTTACAATAATGTCTAATAGTGTATTGTATTACATTGCTATGGTTTTTTTTCTTTTTTACCATTTAATGTTTCATTGTATGTAATGCCAGAGATTAGGGATTAATAAAGTACAACCATAACCACAATCATATAAACAGAAATCTATTTTATAGCGATATATTGGGGGGGGGGGACATTTTGAGCTTATTTATAATTTCGGCCTTGCTTCTTCCTATATTAGGAAGGCACTGGGCGCTGTGCACTTTTACATTCAGATTAAAAACGAATTTCCTTCAGTGCTTTTTGTGTTTAGTTTATTGTCCCCCTCCCCGGCACTTCTGACTACGTATGGTACGAAAGGAGTTCAACATACATACGTTGTACATATTTAACAACGTAAAAATAAGAACACGAAGATCTTTTGTCAATACACTGCTGGGTGAAGGCTCTCATTCTGTGTTGATGTTTGGGGGTTGTTTGACCATATTTCACCACGCTGGTCAGTGCAGGGTTGGTAAAGGCAGAGCCGCATGATCAATGCTAGCTGTGGCCAGGTTCTTAGTGCAGTGCCCTAATCACTGCACCACCGCTCCACCTACTCCATTATTTAAGCGACTCACAACATGATTTTTGGATCGGGATATCAAAGAGTACAATACTTTGTACATGTTACTTCATCGTTCAGCTTAGTACTGTCATCTTTATTGACATTGTATTTAATCAAGCGTGCGGTTGGCACTATGATTGTACAGCATTATATTCTCAAAAATTTTGACCATTTTTTGATTTAAAGCTTTCATGACTGCAGTGATTCATATTCTTGGTTCTTTAGGAAAAGTCACGTTGAAGGGAAACAATAAAATAATAAAATATATATGTTTCCCTTCAACGTGACTTTACCGAAAGAACCAAGAATATATTTTGACCATTCTTTATACACAGAGAGAGTATTGTGCCTTGCTATATAAAACTATGTTTGAAAATGTGAAGTCAACATGATTTTGGCATTATTGTTTACATCGGCATCACATTTTATAACCACGTTCTGGCCACTGTTTGATGAGGACCTCCATATGCCTGCATTATTTACCTCTCAGCATTTTGTTAATACTTAATTCCTGTTTTGTGGATGCTGGCATGGTGTCATGGTTAATGCACTGGACTTTCAATCCAGAGGTTGTTGGTTGTATTCAATCTCCAAGCATGACGGTGTAAATGAAGGGGATGATGATTACAATCTCCCCCCCCCAACCCCTGTCCTCCCAGCAACATAAATGGGTCCACAAAAGTCGATCGACAGGTCGCGTTTGATGGGTTAAAGTGTGGGTACTCCCACCTCTTCCGAGACGTCTGGCCGGTGTGGATGAGCAAGCCAGACACCCTCTACGCGCTCGCTTGAGTTGTACGTGTGTATGTACGTTGAACTTCTTTTGCGCCATACGTAGCCAACCGTGCTAATCGGAGCGGAGGCCCTTTCTGCCAGTAGTGTCACGAGCGACAATTTGCAGGGATGCACCTTAACTTCCTTGATTATTATTATTGCGTTACGAGGAACACACCTGCACGAACGTTGACAGAGTAATCACCTCGCACTGAATTGCCCACCGAACTGCGAATGTGATTGCTTTTGCGGACAGTGCACCAAAGTGACGCAGACTTGTTTGCAGGAGACTACTGTAACCTTCCAGTCTACGTGAAGAGGGAAGGGGCCGCCGGGAAGGTGGCGGCTCCGCGGGAGGTCGCCGTGCCCCAAGCGAGCGGAAGCAACATCCCCGAACCGCAGGCCAGCTTCCCCAAGCCACCGGCTTCAAGCGCTGGCAGAGAACAACCTGCACCGGTCCACACTGCCTTCCCTCCAGCCAACGCGCCACCGCCCTCCTCCGAAGGGCCTCCTCTACCGCCTCCTGCCAACGCGGCCCATCGTCATGGCTCCAACCCTTCCATCAGACCTTCAGGCTCTAGAGACTCGATAGATGAGCAAGGCTTAGCTGGACCCAGCAGGCCTCAGAAGCCTGGTGCTAATGTTTACTCAAAGTCTTACACACTGGTTTGATATTTCTCACGCAGTATAGTTTGTTTGATGCCGATGGATGACATTTCTATGGTCTTAACCAAGATATGAAATGTCTAAAAAGTAGATGACAATTTTTGGAACTTTAGAACTATATTGTGTTTGTGTGTGTCTTAAGGAACCAACAGGTTATAGACTACATTTGCAGTTTGCTTCAACGATTGTGGGCTGCTGAATTTTGAAAGAAAGGGTTTTAAAATGTATCCTTTTGAATGGACCCTCTGAAAGTCAGGCTAGAGTAAGTCAAGTCGCTGCTAAACAGTCTAGGTTTGGCCTTGAATACATATGGCTAATTTAACCAAAGCAAGCCATAGCATGAAAAAAAAACCATCCAAAAACATAGATTTAGGCTGGAAGTATCAGTAATCATCCTTGTGGTAACTAAACAAACCATTAAACATCAGTACATCAGTCAGCAAGTCAACCTTTTTTTATTATTTTTGCTGTAGTTTTGTTTTATTTTAATGAAAATGCGTACATTTTAATTAAATTCAATATAAGGGCACTTGCGATAAACTGAACATCTTGCTGGATACCTTTGATGATTAAAGGTGACCACTGCAACACAAGTAATATTGAATACTGACCCCTGGGGCATGAACCATATGGCTGGTGCTGCAGATATTGAAAGCAGGAATGAATCATGTTGAACTATTTGCAATTCATTGACAGTGTAAGAAGGGGATTAGCTGTTTAAATAAGGTATTTTGTAATATGGTACTTGGACTATTAATGTGCAGATAATGTATTTTGTACATAGTGAAATGGATTGAATGTCTAAGCCTATACTTTTTTATACGGGCAATGACGACCCTATGGTATTTGCTAAGTTAATATTTAAAAATCCTAAATTATGAACCGGTGATTATTTATTGGGGATAAGTGATGTTTAATTCTGTTCTATATATTTGTTTCTGGGTTATAATAAAACATGGCAGAGCTTGCTGCATGGTTTTGTATTTCAATTCAGAGTATGGTATTTCAAAACTTGCTGCTATGCCACGTACACATTAAGATATTCTTAACCCTACTTCATTTTAAGTATTTATGAACTGTGCAATAAACAGTTTTTTGTGACTGTGGATACAGGAGTATAGTATCTCCATCTCTTAGGCTCCCATGTATAATTACAGCATCATGGTTTTGCTGTGTAACAATCAGGGCATTCATAGATACCCTCCATGAAAATGAATTTTCATTTGGATAATTGCCACTTGAAATGTACTTCACATTATGTTTGTCCTAGCTACTATACGGCGCTTTTAAAACACAACTCAAAAACAGCTATAATTAATTTGTGTACATGCATGGAGAGTTTTTGTGACACTACATGTTTTGACCTGTTATTAAAAAGAAATGCAAATTGTGTTTACAATTGGACTAAGCCTAGGTGTTCAGTCATAAATTACAATTAGAAATTAGCTCATGCACTCGTTCAAAGCCAAGAGATTTCAGACAGATTATGATCGTTATTAGTGTTTTTTTGTCATCGTGTCAGCCGCAATGACACAAACTCTAAAAAGACCAACAGGAACCGTGCAGACAAAGGAGTAAAGTCCCATCAAGCTCACCATCTCCATCTCTCAGCTTCCCACTTCTTTGCCTCCATGGTCTTTTTTTATATGTGGTGATTTTTTTTTTGTTGAATGCTGCGATAAAATCCTGGTAATATTGCATCGAGCTGGCCTGGCTTATCAAGTCTGATGAATGGCGCAGGACGAGAACACGACAAATATCCCCGATGCGGAAATCCCTGCTCCACGTTTGTCTCGGCAAATCCCATTTGAAAGCCTTTAATAATGCAGAGGTCAGAAGGGATATGCGCATTTTATTTATTTATTATACATGTATTCTTTATTGTTATTGAATCCCGGTCTGCGTAGTGAAAATGTGGCAAATATCTGATAATTTTTTAAAATGCTTGGCTCAGTGGGAATACAAACACTTGACTTAGTCAGGTTCTGGGTATAGTGAAGTGACGAGACGAGCAAAGGAAACGTTAAAATGGAATGAGATTTTGTCTCGAGGCCTTTGTTAAGCATACACGCAGGCAACACAACTGTGATGGCCCCGGACAAATTATAAGGAGGGACATGGCAATATTTAACTAAAAGTACACCTTCATTTAACTAGTTTTTTTTTACTAAAAGCGTTTGCATAAAAACAAAGGACAATCTTCGACAACAAAAAATACTCACATTACCCTAATGGAAATTTCCCAAGTGCCATTTTTTTTTACTATTTACACATAGCTTTAACATGCCGTAACCAACAATGCAGCTTGTACCAAAAAATTAAATTATATCGCATCGCCAGTCTGCTGCCGCCTTGGCAGTAAAATGTGACTGCGCATGGTTCAACCAGCAGCGAGGAAATGTGGGAGGGGTGGGGGGTGAAATGCAGCCACTGAGACACGGCCAACGAGCCGTGCAGGGAGATGGCGCTGATTACATTTCTCTCGCCAAGGCCTGGCACACCCAAAGTGGCCTCTCCTGTGGAATATGACACCGTTTTTACGGTCCTTCGAAGCTACACGGGGGGGAGGGGGGGGGGGTGCTTTTCTCTCTCTCCCGCCCCACAGCACCTCGAACATTGTGAGTTGTGCTTAATCCATATGTGCACCTACCACATGAATGGTCCGGGCTTCTCAAAGTCGTGGGGGTCAGAAAGCAGACAAGGCATACTGGAGGCTTTCTGCCAGGGTTTAGTATGCTCGGGGTTTAGCATTGTGTGGGAGATCCTGGCACACGAATCTTGGAGAACCCGAATCATCTCTCAGCACTGACTCGTCGTTTGCAAGTTGAATGTCACCGCACTTAAGCCACCTGAACTTTTGTCGCTTTACAATGTCACCGATTAATGATAATTGTGTTTGTCAACGTTTTTTATTAAATGTTCCCATTTATATTTAATGTTTCAAATGAGCTCAAGATGGGATATTTTTAATGCACCGTTTATTGACTATTTACATGAACAATAGCTAATATGTAGCCAATGTAGTGATAGCATAGCCGTATTCCGTAATTAACTTGTCACTCTGTTCTGTTGTGCTCGATGAACCCTTGGTGATGACCTTTAAGTAACTTCTCTTAAAATAGACTCCTTAGAGTGGCTTCAATGTCAAGATCACCTGAATTCAATTGGAAGAGTGGAGTCAGTTTTCTTTGCCAGAAGCAAAGTCAATGGAAGGGATGGGATCGGCTTGGAGATGGCAGTGTAGGTCATCCTCCACGGAGGAAGCTGGAGGCTGGAGTCACAGGTCACATCATTTTCAGCCGTTCCTTGTCAGAAACAGACAGGGTAATACATGAGAGAACTGCATGAGACACTCAGCCGTCAATCCATAGTGAAGCAATTAATGGTTGCTTGGACTTTTGAATTATTGGGATCCCGAAAAAAACCTCTGGGAATTGCCTAAGGCTGAATCAAAAAGCCAAAGTAAAGAGCTCTTCAAAAGTGACAAGGGTACATGATAGAAAACTTTAGCAAGACACGGGCACTTTTAATTAGAATTTCATATGAATGTGCGTTTAACCATCTGAGATGTGCAGGACACTTTTCTTTTTTGATGGACACGATTATATTTTTTGGCCATTCACTCAGGTATTCGTATCGCCGCAGCATTATGTACAGTAGATCACTAAGAGGTGCCTCTGGATGTTGCAGTTTGTATCGGCCAACGAGAAGCTTCATCGTGAGAGCAGGGGTGAGCAGCACGGGGCACCACGGGAAGCCACCGCGAAACACGGCAGAAGACGTTCAAAGTTGGAGATGCAGCAAAGTGGCGGGCGCGGTCTTCCGCGGTGCCAGTGACCTGGCGTTTAAATCCATTCTCCCGCTCCAAATGTCAAACCGCTTAATTTGGCTTCTAATTGGCTCCTCTTCCCGCTGAAGGGTCCTGTGCATGTTGACACGAGCACCTCGGCGAGCCCTAATTTAATCCAATACTTTCAGTTACCAGCTGGAAATCGCTAAACCTCACTTCACAAGACTGGCAGTGAATGAAACGTGCACCGCAAGAACATGTATTAGTAATGCTGGCGAGTTCATCATTCGAGATAATTGGAAACAAATAAGTAATTTACCTTGAATCTGAACATTATTAAACTCTAAACACTGCACCGTAATTTTCTACAGCTGTGGAATTGCTATCATAATTATTCTCTCCCAATAAATATTGGACCTTGTTTGATGGTAAAAAATAAATTGAAAAAGGATTTGCCCAAATGGCAAGGCTTGTTGCCTGTACAAAAGCTTGCCAATCTGAATTCAAATCACATGAAAATGGGAAAAAAAAATACCTATTTTAAGTGTACAATAATAAATCTGCTCTTTTCCCAAACAGTGGACACTGATGGCAGTAATTTATAAATTGCAATTATAATTAATTATAAGTAGCCTTAATTTCTAAACAACCTAGAAAGTGCAGGTGCACATAAAAGCAAACGTAGTTTATTCTGCCATCTCATGAAACACTAAGATGCAGAGTTACGTGTGGAAAGTTTATGGGATTATAAAATTAACGGAAAGTATTATTTGACGGCACATGGGCCACGATTATTTAGCAAGGGTCTCTGTTGCGGATTCGTTTATTGGAAGGTGAGAAAAGTGCTAAGCACCCCTCATCAGCACTTGCATATGACACATTTTTGCTGACTAATTACTCGAGTTGTCTACCTGCCTGTTTCCAGCATTGAGAATTCTAAGCAACACTTCAATTTGGGGAATGCGCAAACAGGCATTCTTTCATGTAATCACAAAATGTAGCTTGACAGAGGTTCCCCATCCACTAAACCTTCGTTGATATAAGTACCACCACTGCAGGCTAGATGAAAATGGTTTTGTGGGCGATTGTATATTTGTGTAAGTGTAATATAAAAAATATATATGTACACCTGTCTCTCAATATATTTGAAACGAATTGTGAAATTATTATTTCTCTTTGAAGACCATCTCAAGGTGAGCATGCAACATAAATAAATACAAGCCAATGTCAATCGACCAACGGTTGAAGGCTTCCCCGTGTCATGTCGGTCATGATGGTTATTATTTTTTTACCATACTTCACCAAGCTTGCGTCAGTGTGGGTTGGTAAATGGTGGGAGGGGGCAGGACTGATATTCACTCGCCACTGATGGTAGCCGTGGCCGGTAACCTAACTCAAGTCGCCGGACGCATCCTACAAGCATGCTAACCATTCTGCCACCGCTCCACCGAATTCGATGTCATTTATTTTATTTTCCTTACAAATTAATATTCATTTTAAAAAATATCACAAAATAACGAATATATGTATGTTGAACTTCTTTTGCATCGGAGGTGCGACTGAATATGTACAATATGAATCGAATACACCCCTGCCGTTACGTATAGGACAGTGCCGTTTAGCTGTTCCAGACAACGAACGTTGCGGGGCCATTTCTCTGCCTGGACCTGCTTTTATTTCCTGCTGATTCCCTTTTTCTTTGCGCTTGCCTCCTGGAAGCGCAGGTCGAAGAAGTGCGAGACCCAGGAACCACCCGCTACAATAGTTCTCGAGTTTAGGCCAACAAGATATTCACAAATATTGCGAAAGTTTGAGAGAGACACACATCACATTACACATCCTTATATCCACACAAAAGCGGTATATTTTATTCAATTGGCTTTCCAGATTTACACGAGCCTGCAGCAATCGTTTAAATATGCAAACACTGAAGCCACATTAGTCTGGAGGTTTATAGGCAAAATTATATTGAGTGTTCATGTGGCGATATTGAAGCAAAAAGTGATTTATTTAATTTGTTATCCAAAAAGCTTCACTGAAGCGCTTGGTGAGATATATGCGTATATTTGGGAAGGAGAGAGACTTAATTTCTACAACAATTGTGTGCATGCGTTGCAAAGCATGGTATTTTGACATCATGTATATAGACTCACTTGTATAAAAGGTACATTTAAATGCGTATTAATCATATATCTTAACAATTTCAGGAATTATTCAACTACTTTTATTGTAATTGTTAATATTTCTATGTTTATGCTTCGTAAAAATATATATTAATGTATGGTCATATCTGGGAAGCTGTAAGCATGGTCCAGGCTGAATCGTGGCTTTAAAAGGGTCACTGCCAATGCACGCAGGGTTGCCCACAGGTGGCTGGCGAGCTGTGCTAAGTGGTGGTCAGCAGAGGGCAGTGCAGAAAAATTCATTGTCGGACTTTTATTCAACCCCCATGTCTATGCTCCTCACCTTTACCAACGGGGCAAGGGACCAGCGCAGTGAAGTATGGTCAAATATTACCCGTGACCGGCATAGCATGGAAGAGACTCTAATGCAGCAGTGTATTGACAAAGGACTGCAAAGCGTGCATCATCATTATCATAATCCTCATTATTGTTTTGATGTATTTGGGCTTTTCGCTAAAATTCCGCACCTAAGCGGAGTCTAATGCGTTACATTGGCATGTGCGAGTGCGTTCGCGTGCGAGCCGAACGGGCCAGGGTTGAGCAAAGCCCTCATCTCCGTTGGCCTCTCAGCCAGCCTCTGATTGGCTGCTGTGGGGTTTTTGTTGTTGTTGCACGATGGAGCTTCACCCATTTTGAAGAACAAAACCTGGCCTGAAATTGCTGATTTCATTCGGTGGAATCTTCAGCTGCGTTGGTGAATTAGGCCTCACGAATTTTAACAATCCCAATCCACCAGGTGTAGTTCCGGTTAAGCTTAAGAATGTAAGAATGCGTCCCACAAATTAAAATGTAGTTGCCATCCTCCGTGCGCTCCTTTTCTCTTTGTCAACCCCAGGTCACAGGGTGGTCAGAATAATTTCTTTATTACCATGAAAAATATGATATCGTGCCCGAGTCTACTATATCCTGGTTTCTTGAGTTCTCACCTAGTTAAACAAAATAACCGTACAATTTATTCGTGAAATTCGTCAGTCAATTGCAACTTTCATGTGAATGATTACTTGAGACTTGTTGAAGAATTTTTTTTATATATATTGAGCACATTTGAAACCCATGCAGTGTCTCTCCCCTGACCTATTTACCTTTACCCTTTTTCAGAAGGAATCTTTAGTGCAGTGGAAAATCTATGGCAATAGCCGAGTCACAGAAGACCACGGGTGATCAGATAGGGTTCTGGGACACTTATATCTGGCAGAACTCGTAGCTTGTGTTAAATCTTCCGGAACATATGGCTGGTAGATTAGAATAAGCTTTGGAAGATAACACTGGATAGCGCATTGAAATTAATTCTCACGGGAAACAGAATAAGAAACATTTTCAGGCCAAACATTAAAACTGACAGTGATACATGACACCCAGAAATGTATGCTGTCGCTGGTCCACCATGCATAAGATTAAATTAATTTGTGCATTAACTTTTAACATTTGTGTCATCATCATCAGCCAGTGGACAATTCACTGCTGGATGAAAGCCGCCCCAAGCTGCCTGTACATCTCACAATCCTGCGGAGTAATTGTCCACCTGCACATGAACTGCTTTTATCGCTCCATCTCCTTCCGTGGACGTCCTTCTGGATGCGTTGCAACCCTTGACTGCCGCTCCGTTATTTTTTCTTGACCATTGGCCATCGTCCCTTCAAGTGGCGTGTCCTGCCCGAGTCCACTTGCTCGTCTTAACCGTGTGATTTTTTTTTGCATCTAAGGTATTTTATTCGAATGTTGAATTGATATAAAAGGAATATATAAACGTTACATCAAATACATTTCATAAAAACGATTACGTTTGAGCCTTTGGAATAGCTGAAATTATTCAATTGCACTTGCTGGTACATGTTATAGGCGCATCTCGTGTTTGCGAGCAAAATTCGATATTTTATGAACAGCTGTCTTTTTTTTAGAAGATTCATTTAATTGGTTTCTTGCATGGGTAATACATGCAAGAACAGAATATCACATGCAACCTGCTTTAATTACCACTGGCATATCACAGATTGCAGAATAGTAAGAACTGTTTAATAATTGGTCTTTGCTAAGATTTCATACTAGTATTGCGTGCTTATACATCTCTGTAGGTGTGTGTGTCACATATGGTGTACTGTATACAAGGGATTAACTTGTTGTTGTTTGATATTTTCTAAACTGTGGTGTAGCCTTGTCCAGTGGTATCTTTATGTACATGACAATCCGCATATGCTGGGACAATTGTATTTCTGTGTTCATATTTCATAGACTATGAAATGCAACTTGACATAATGGGGGACAGGCAAGATAGTGAAATGAAAATAGCCCAACATTACCCCCTGGCTTAGATTGTGAAATGTGATTGGGTGAACAGAGTCCAATCTAATATGAAACGCACACCCTTTGTACCAAAGGTGTGCTGTTGTACCTGACCTAACAAAACAACCTCAAATATATTTCACACACATTTCAAGATGACAATGTGACAAGCTCCCTTTTGAGTTTGATGACCATGGAAGGCACATTATAATATAAATGTGCAATTTTCTTCTGCAGTGTCTGTTCTTTGGAGTCTGATCATGTTTGTCTACATCCGGGGAAAAAATATATATATTTGAAGCACTTGAGGCTAGCATAATTCCAATATGCAGCAAGTCACTTTCTATTACATTATATGTGATTCAGAATATGGGACTGCCATGGCATTATTTAATATTACAGGGATGACAGGCACTGAAAATTCTAATCCTATAAGGATGAAATCCACTTCCCTGACATGTGGCAAATCCAATTTATCACACAGGTTTGGATTAAGGGCACATACAATTAAAGTCATTTTAAGCACTCCCTGGGTATTTTATCAAATTAATGTGTATATCCAGAGACTATTGGTAAATAGTTCCCTATCCGATAGATATTGAGTGGAAATAACAAAATTACAATTTAAATTTTTATTGCATTCACATGCGTGCATCAAATATACATGAATGCAATGCTAGTATATGGTGGGGTGTGTAAGCTTTATTGACTTTCGTGTCGTATACCACAGGAGGTGATTTCCTTGCTTCACCAATGATGGGGACCATACATGGTTGTGTTTAACATGAGACTTAAAGCGAAGTAGAACTTTAAGCAGACCCTGCCCTATTAAGTGAAATCAATCAACCAACTAGTCACAATATTAGGGACCCCCAAATTGGAAGGAAATTTTTTTTTTGGATTTGTCTAATTCTAAGTGTAAAATCTTGATTTGAAGCTTTCGTGACTGCAGGAATCCATGCTCTTTGGTTCTATCGGATCGAAAGAACCAAAGAGTATGTCTAAGTGTAAATGTGATGGTTTATCGTAAAATTCAGTTCACTTCACTCGCTTGCTTTCCATATTAATGTCCATCCGTTTTTTATGTTTCCAGCTGGTTATATAGATTTTTGTTTCTGCATATAATTTATGATTATGAGTGGAGCAGTGGTATAGTGGTTAGTGTGCTGCACTACAAATCCATTCGGCTGGAGTTTGATTCCTAACCACAGCTAAAATCAGTGGTGAGTGAATATTTCCCCCCCCCCCTGCCCCTTACTAACCAGCATTTTCCAGGATGGTAAAGTATGGTAAAACAACCCCCACGAACGATACAGCATGTGGAAGCCTTCATCCAAAAATGTGATTAACAATCGACTGTAAAGTATTCTTATTATTAACATTGTGTGTAGCTGTCTCCAGGGGTAGAGTGAGAAACTAACAACCATAAAGTTCTAGATTTTAAGCTTTCGTGACTGCAAGGATCCATACTCTTTGGTTCTATTCGGTAAAGTCACGTAGGTAAAAAAATAAAACAACAAAAATCACGATCTTTCGGCCACAACACAAGCGGCCTTCATCAGGTGAAGGGATCAGGCTTTCTCGAGGACAGCGCTGGAGTGAAACACAGCCACGCTCAGACCGCGACCTTTAAGGGTTAAAATCCTGTGCTGGGACTGTTGACTCAGACCGTCGTCTTTCCGGGGTCAATAAAATAGAAGTAGCACTCGGTGGGGAAGTCCACAGTGATTGTCTTATGGATAGACTTACTCCTTGCATAGGAATGAAGAATTTATACCACGACTCGAGGGCTCTAAACAAAATGAGCAACCACCTCAAAGCTCATTTGAGCAAACAACAGTCACTTTTCATTTTTTTGTATCAAATTAGCAGGGATATGCTCTAACCAAAACCCTCCTACAAAAAAAATACATCACAGTACAACGAAAATAATGCATTACGTAGTCTAAATAGAAAGACAGGCTCATTAAAATGAAGTTTTGAAATGTTTTTGTTTTACAATTTTATCCCAATTACTTAAAAGGCATCGCGTCATGAAATGAAGGATACATTTGTACATTTGTCACGGTGCAACTCTGCGTCAGGGAACAGCTGTGGAAGATATTTTTCACAGGCCTTCAAGCAGCCTTGTTATTTACCACTTGCACCGTATGGGTGACGCTTTCCCATACACTGTGCTGTAAGATCACCTGTTTCTCGACAGTCTAAACAATATCTCTATTTCTCATAGATGGAATTTAGCAAATAAAATGTTATATGATGGGGGGGTATTTTTCAGTTCTGCGCAGGTATTGGTTTCTGGGTTTGGACCATCATCTCAACCCACCTGAGGATCCAATTTAAATACGCGCGGCTGCAACCAAAGATTAAAACTCAGGATCTTAATGGTGCCGGCGTTATAATTTACTACAGTAAATGTGTATTTCAATGACTATCTTATATATTTAAAGTATTTATATATGTATCCCATCAGGGGCATCAGCAATGATTGAGTTTAATTTCATATTTGCGTATATTTTACTTTGTATTATCATAGGTATTATATATGTATCGTTTTAGCATCCAGCATGCATTCAGCATCAGTATGGAACTAACCATAGATTAATTGAAAGCAACACGTGTGTCAATAACACTGCCCTAAAAAGGAAACATATATAATAGATTATGTTTCAGATACTGGCACTTCTTCAGAGCAGAGAGAGAGAGAGAGATCTGTGTTATTGAATGTGGTGTGCTCTGCCAATATGTTTCTTCACTACTGCCAACACAGTTTTACAAAACAATTAATTACTTGAATCGCTTACATTGATTTCTGATACTGGCAAACAAGACTTTCGTGTTCACATGTCGAGGTGACCAGAACGAAGGCATTATGACATTTTCCTCCGATCTAAATGCTATACATATATCTACGACATCGCTTGGCTCCTTTGCAATGAGGATGAGGTCAGACGTCTATGGGATCGAATACAAAGGAGAAATGTTGTTTTATCGTGCTTACTATACAATGGGCATTGGTGTCCAATGTTGCCACGGGTACACAATTTTCAGACTCGTACCACCGACGGCAGAAGGAACCCTCACTTAGACGGGGCTCTAGAAGGCATTTGGTCTCCTCCTCCACGTTGCCAGGACATGTCCGAAGAGGTGGAAGTAGCCACACTTTTACCCCCCCCCCGCTACCCACCACCACACGCTACCTGCTAAAGACCTAAGAGTGGTGCACCCATTTATACTGTTGGGTGCACAGAGGCAGGGGCATTTTAAGAAGCTTGCACCGTTTTTCAACTGCCCACGCCGGAAGATGGGGATGGAACCTGGCGACCTCTACATTGAAGGTCCCAGTGGGCAAGTCGCTCCTCCATGGCAGCCCCTTGGTTTCACATTCAAACGACAAGATGGTAATCGCATTACATCCGAAGTACGCTATTGTCCATCTGCCATACGTTTTGCATTGTTAAGATGTTTAACTTTTTATCGCAACCATAGCTGCAAAGTAGTCTCTTCAAGAGCAAAAATGCAAAGGCAGAGAGCAACGTGGCATGATACTGTTTACCATAGAAATGAGAGAAAAAAATTACAATATGCTTCCAAAGTTGCAGTGGGTTTCAATATTAAAGTTTACTACTCGGCAGAAGGAATACATTTTAGCAGTCTTTGTCAAATTTATTTAATCAAAATCACACCAAAAATAGAATAAGAACATCCTTTGTAATGGAAATGCTTATTAATGGAAAATAGGAATGTGGTTCCACTAGTTTAACTTTCAATTTTTAGGTTGAATTAATACCTTGGTTTGAAAGAATGGGGGAGTCCAAAACTCATTCTGACCTTTACACGTGACTGGGTGTGAAAAATGGAGTCGGACAGAAAAGCCTCACTTCAAATTTTCTGGTGAGAATTTTGCAATGTTCTGACCTTGAAACATGAATTGCTAGGCAAGATTTATAATCTACATGACTGGACATAACATTTCCAAGAAAATGATTTGTTTCCTATTATATCCCCGACACTTTTCCCATGGAATGCAACACAATGCCTTCTGTAGCAGTTGATCATTGCAACCAATCGTTAACCATTTCACCTATATTCCGTGCTGTTAACGTATTCTCAACCGCATTCCTATCTTACAATCGCTTTGTTTAATGTCATTTTTAAAGTGCATTTCTTTTCCATTGGTATGTCCCTTCCCAAATAGAATATGCACTGCTCTTGACTCTACAACTGCTAAAGGAAAACAAGTACATATCTATGAGGTTATAAATTGTCATCTGTGTGCACAGTAAATTTAAGAGGCATGGTTACACATTTTCACCCTGTTAGACTCCCGAAATTAAATCCTTTACAAATGGGTTTACTTGTAAGGGAATTAATCATAACCCCAGCCAATGGTCACTATACAAAGACCTCCCGTGTAGCCTTTAGCAGACGTTGGGGCAAGTGCTGTTAGCAAGCACCTTTGAGGGCCGGCACCATGCCTGGCCACCGTTGTCTCCCTCTTGGCGAAGTTTACACTAGGTACTCAATTGAGGCTGAGTCGACCTAGGAGATTCCCAAAACCAGTTCAGATAATTGTCCCTGGTGTTGACCTTGAGCATGAATCAAACCCTTTTTGCCGGGTTCTTAGCACAGTGCGTTAACCACTACCCTACCGCCACTAAATGGTGTCGACGTCACCACAGCGCTTGTGCCAGGCTACGTGCACGTTAAGGCCACGTGAAGTATCGAACGCCCGCTGGCAGGAGGTCACGGGGCAGACCAAGGTGCCATGACTCGACTGACTGAGATGACTGGCCGATGCACCACCTGTGCCCCCTACTGTGGCAACTTGCTGTGTTTTAGCCGCCCGGCACAACGCACTTTGTTGTGAGCGTCGCTCCTCTGCCCTCATTTGCTGCTGGAAGGCGACTGCCTCCAACTGCCCAGTAGCATCCTTCACGAGCCTCTTCCACAGAGGTCGATCTTGACACCACTGGTACCTGTCATCAGCAAGTCCACTCAGCTCCACATCCTCTTGTACCACATCACTCCATCTATTCTCTAGCCCATGCCGCGCCTGTTTAGCCCCTTCTATCCGGCCCAACAAAAGCTGTTTAGGCATGCGGTGGCTGGGCATGCGGGTTAGATGACCCAGCCAACGCAGCCTTGCCCGCCGTAGGAGCTCACTGATGGGACTTTGTCCAGATCTTTCAAGGAGTTGTGAGCTCCTCACACAATCCAGCCTGGTT